CTAATCTTTTCTTAGCTTTGCCAATTTCTACCATTGCTTTATACATGAATATTACAATATTGTTATTTCTCTTATATAACTCATCTGCAAAGGAATTCTATAAAAATTTGACAACAAATGCATGGCTGCTTTCAATGAATTGAAACAGGTCTTTACATATGCACTCATCCTTATCCACTGGATCTCTGATCAGCAGATTGTCATGGAAACTGACATCTCTAATTATGCAATTGCAGCCATCCTTTCCATCTATCTTGAAGATGGTGAAATTCATCTCATCACCTTTCACTCTCAGAGTCTCTAAAATGCTGAACTCAACTATGACACCTATGACAAAAGGCTTCTAGTCATTTTTGAAGCTTTTAAGCATTGGCACCACTATCTTGAAGGCTCTGCAGATCCCATCAATATTGTAACAGACCACAAGAATGTTGAATACTTCACCACTACAAAAATTCTAATCCACTGACAAATCTATTAGTCTAAATATCTATCCCAGTTCAGCCTAGTAATCTAGTTCCACTTGAGAAAACTTGATGGGAAACCAGATGCACTCATTAGATGATGGAATGTCTACCCTAAAGAGAGAGATAGCCAATATGCCCAAGTCAATCTCTATAATTTCTGATCTGTCTTTACCCAAGAACAACTCTCTGCATCACTCTATGCAATCTATCTTGAAGGCTCTACCCTCTGAGCTAGCACCATTATAGATATTGACAAGCTCCACATTGATATCAAAAGAGCACAATCCTCTGACTCTACATCCTCTGACAGTCTCTGCCAGGCCAAAGCCACTTCCAAATCCTCTCTCTCTCAATGATCTATTGATGAATCTGACACCCTTTGCTTTGAAGGCCACATCTATGTCTCAGACTCTGATGATCTCTGTCTCTGTATACTATAAAACAATCACAACCATATTCTGGCAGGCTACTTTAGTTAAAACCAGACATTAGAGCTAGTCTGATGGGATTACATCTAGCCAAAGATGCATGAATATGTTCAACACTACATTAAGTTCTGCACAGTCTGAGCACAACAAGACATCTAGACACTACCCCTATGAGTTGCTTAAACCTCTACCAGTCTTTGAATGGCCATGAGATTTTATTTCCATAGATTTTATTAAACAACTATTAGACTCTAATAGATTCACTGCCATCCTAGTAGTCATTGACTATGCTAGCAAACAAGCTATCTTCATTTCCACTCATGATATCATCAACTCTATGGAGCTTGCCTAACTTTTTGTTATCCATGTCTTCTCCAAACATAAGGTATCCAGTCATATCACCTCTAACCATGGCTCTAAATTTGTTTTCCAGTTCACTCATGCTCTAGCTATAGCTCTTGACATAGAACTCCACTTTACTTTTGGTTACCATCTAGAGGCTGATAGACAAACCAAATGGGCAAACCAAACTCTGGAGCAATACATCTGCATCTACTGCTCCTACCAACAGGACAACTGAGACACTCTCTTACCCATTGCTGAGTTTGCCTATAACAATGCTCCTAATGTATTTACTGAAATTTCTCTATTCTTTGCTAACAAGAGTTACCACTCTGACATCACTGTTTACTCTGAATAGGATATCACCTCCACTCAGATCTGAGACTTTGCAGTCAATCTTGACAAGCTCCATCAAGTACTAAAAGATGAAATTTCTGAAGCTCAGTCTCACTATAAGACTCAAGCAGACAAGTATCAGATTCTGGCACCCCTGTTCAAAGTGGGTGACAAGATTTACTTTAGTTTCAAACACATCAAAACTATCTGTCCAATCAGAAAAGTCTCTGAAAAATACCTTAGTCCTTTCAAAATCCTAGCTCAATCTGGCTTCTACTTGTTCACTCTTAAACTTCTACCAGACCTCTGCTCTATTCACTCAGTCTTTCACATATCACAGCTGGAACCCATGGAGGAAAATACTATCTCTAACCAAGTCCAACCTCTGCTGCCTCCAGTCAAAGTGAATAGAGAAGAACAGTATGAAATAGCTCAAATTCTCAACTTTAAGCTGGATCACTGATTCTACTATCTGCTACTATACAAGATCCAGTGGTTAGGCTATGAAGGTACTGATAAAGAATTTATCTGACTGCTAGCCTCTAAGTTCTCTGCCAATAAATTCATTGAGAACTTCTATTACTGATATCCAGACAAACAAGGACTCTTGTCTAAGATCACCTCTTGAACACTCTCTTTTTAAGTTCCAAGTCCACTTGACAGTCTCTCAGCTCCACTGGTTTCCACTGCCTCCAATCCTTTACCACAAGCTTCACTCCTAACCTTCCATTCAAACTTGAAAATAAGAAAATAATTACATTTTGTTTTTTTTGTGGACTCTGCTGAACCCCAGCCACTTGCTACACCAGCTTATATAAAATACAAGAAATAAAACAAATCATTTAGAAAGAAGGACTGATGCTCAAAAAACTTGCTCCACTCTCATCTCCACCAGAGTCCACATAGGCTCACCTTCTTCTCTCTCTCCTGCCCTCTCACTCTTTAGTTGCATCTGCTTCTCTGCCTCTATAGCCTCCCATTCTCTCTCCCTTTCCTCAGCTTCTGCTAATCTCTGTGCATCCTCCTCTGCCCTCAACCTTTCCTGTTCTTTCTCAGCCTTCTTCTGGACCAATCTTTTCTGCTCTCTCCACTCCTTCACTGCTCTTCTCAAGGCTTCTATTTTTTCCATATGAACTGCATGCTCTGCCTTCACCCTCTCTTTCTGCTCCCTCTTCACCCTCTTCACCTTCCACAATTCATGCCTCTCCACCACCTTGGCATGCTCCTCCTCCACTGTGAGATGATCTAACTGAAACTCCTCTCTTTCTCCTTCAGAACAGTCTGGCATCAGAGCCTGTATAAAGGGCTCAAAAGTCACTGATAAATGATATACTATAATGGTCAACATTTTAGCAAGAAGAAAAAAAGACAACTAAATGAGAGATGATGATAGTAGCAGATCAAGTTGCAGGATTCCCATGGTTGCCAATAATTCTTCATATGGCTCCATCAGGTATCAGGATCTGTGCTCTTGAGAACAAGATTGCTAAAGGGGAGATACTGTTATATGCATGCCACCAGTCTCCATTCACCTTGATCAATCTAGAATTCAACCACCAAGTTCCACTGGCCTCCAGCCATTCTTCACTTCTACTAATTTTATTTTATCTTGATCATTTCACATCTGTATTTCACATCATAATATCTAGATCTTGAATGTGGTAGCAAATAGTTGACACTGGAGCCCAATGAACCTCAACTCAGAATTAGCTACTGTTAGTATATAAACCATATACAATCATTATAATTACTCAGTTTGAATATCAACTTAGATGGCCACTTACACTTTGTACTCACTTCAGTTCCCTTTATCTCATCAATTGGACTCTGCTCCAAAGGATACTCCTCTCCACTTCTCTGATAAACCTCTGTTCTGCTGATCCAAGTCCTTGCACCTTGACTCAAGGATGATATTGCCAATAGCTTCATTAATGCTCACACACTCTGTCAGTCTCCACATGTGCACTCAAGCCCAATTGTTTGGCATGTTCCTAATACAATGGCAATATGCTTTATGCAGAGGTCCTAGATGTGAGCATCCATATCAGTGCCCTCTGTATACTTCATGTTCTGGAGTATCTGTTGGGCTTCAAATAGTGCCATATCATTTTGGACAGCATAGGTGTCTACTGGTGAGTCTCATGCCTCCTTCACTGTCTCCATTGTCTTAACCCCTAACCAAATAGGGTCAGAGATATTGAGAATGATATGTGAGCATATGTGAGAGTCATGAAATTTCCATTTATCATATAATAGTGTGAATGAATATAGTGGTGTGGGATCCAGTGGGAGCAGTGTGGTAATCAGTGTTGTGTCCATAGTCACCTGGGCAGTAGATGGGCATGGAATTGTTCCATCCACATATCCCCATAAGCCTTTACCACTGATAATTTCAGTGATCTTAATCTGCCAAAATGCAAGGTTTTTCCCATTGAACTGAGAGGCTTTGGGGAGTTGGGTAATGGAAGGGCTTATTGTTAACATGGTTAGAGATTACAGTTATTCATGTAAATAGTTGTGGGTATTGAGTCACTCTTGTGAGTAAATTATACTGCATATTCTCCTTGACTGATTCAGAGGCTAGGGCAGAGCCACATAACCTAATGTAAGATGAACAATGTAATCAGAACTAAGAAGCAAGTAAAGTATGCAAAGTATATGAGCTAGATAACACATATCTCAGTCAGCACAGTACAGGTGAAATGACTGAGATTGCAGAAGTAACTACATGGTATATATACTGTCAGTATGAAGTTTAGGGATATGGAAAAACAAAAGAGTCCATAATGAACAGCATACAATGTAGTCAGGACTGCATCAGGTATTACATGTCTCATTCAACACTCTTCAACATCTACTGTCTTTCTCAAGTTCACTTTTGAGAGGACTCACTGATCAGTGACATTTCACATCCAATAGAACATCTTTTGAAGAATCTGTCAATGTATGTACCATGTCTATCTTATATGACCTTTTACTAATCAGCATTTTTAGTTAGTGCTATTATTGCTGCTGGTAACACAATAGATTTTGTGATAGTGATGGTTGATTATGAGACCACCTTAAAGGTGTCAAGGAGAAAGTGGAAAAGGTGAATCACTATTTACAGGAATTAGTGCAGCTTTGTGAGTTTGAGCTTTCACTTCTAGAACTCTCAGGGTTTCCCTGCAATACCAAGACATATAAAAAATGATATTTCAGGAAATTTTCTTCTCAAAAAGTTCTTATTTCTGATATTGGAGATCCTCCTGTCTATCCTTTATTTCTCACTTTATACAATTAATTGCACACATCAATGGCAAAATATACCTTGTATTTCTCCACAGCCTCAGTGAGATCTGCAATTTGACTAAATTCTACCAATGCATGACCAAAATTACGTTATTGGTGCATGTTGATCAGTGTCTTCCTGAAGAATTCAGCCATCGTCATCGCGAACAGTGAGCTCGCTGGGCGACTCGTCAAACAAAATGGCGTGCTCGCTCTTGTCCATCCCTACAGTATCCCTTCTTTTGCTCTCTCTGATTTCAGCAGTACCCGTCCTGGCGTCCAGTGTCTTCGTCTCGGTTGAACTAGCAACACAACTCCCATTTGTTGCGCGCATCGGCGAGAACTACCTTTGGGCCATTTCCAACAGTACATTTAGCGGCTGCAGCGACGTGTTGAATCTCTCGACCTCGAGCTTACCTGCATGGCTGTCTTTTGACCGCGACTCAACCACATTCTATGGGAAACCGATGGCGGATGACGGAAACGACTCGAGCATTGACATTACAGTGACTGCTCGAGGCTGCGATTCCTCTGCCTCTTCATCTTTCTCTCTTTTCCTTACATCCAACCCTGCGCCTACTCTTAACACTCCCATTGCATCACAGTTTCGAACTTCTAATCCTTCGCTATCATCTGTATTCGAAATCAACGCAACTTCTGCGTTGGCGACGCCGAATCCTGCACTACGGATCCCACCAAAATGGTCTTTTAGCATCGGCTTTCAAGGAAACACCTTCACGTCACCGAACCGTCTGTATTACGCGGTGTTGCAAGCAGACGGCTCGCCTATTCCCTCTTGGATGCGGTATAGCTCCCAGGAATTTACTCTCGGAGGCGTTACTCCGATAAGGGATTCTTTGCCTCTACCTTCTACATACAGTCTGGTCCTGCATGCATCAGATGAAGAAGGAACAACGGCGATACAACAACAGTTCGATATTGTCTTAGCTGATCACGATGTTTCTTTATCTCGTTCAGTTCTCCCTACCATCAACATCACTGCCGACACACTTTTCAACCTGGCTCTAAACTCGTCGCTTGATTTCTTGGGTGTTTTAGTAGATGGCAAACCATTCCAACCCGAATATCTAGCTGATCTGTTGGTCGACACGTCTTGCTGTCCATGGTTATCGTATGATCACAAGACGAGGCATCTGTCTGGAAATCCCGCTTCGGACTTTCAGGCCTGCGAACCGGTTCTTCCCGTCAAGCTGGTCACCATCTTTAACGAGACGCTCCAGACGAACATTTCCATGGCGTTGGTGCCTTCCTATTTTTCTACGGACGCGATACCGGCTATCGTTGCCGGCAAAGATGGACACTTGCAATTTGATCTGAAGCCTTATTTCTCTAACACCAGCGGACCGAATGATGTTGACTTGAGCACTTCCTATGATCCTAATGAGGCCGGTAACACAGTGTACTTCGATGGTCAAACCGCCGTGCTGAATGGCACCATTCCAAGCACCTTTTCCAAGAAGCCTATTAACGTCACATTCGCTGCGTATTCCCGTATTACACATTCAACTTCACACACCAGTGTTTCCATCACCCTTTCTCCTTCCGATCACAAATCAGAGGATTTTGATGGCTCGGATCACCATGGCGGTCTCTCTGCTCACGCTAAGCTTGTACTGGGACTGAGCATAGCTTTCGGGGTAGTTGGTGGAATGCTTGGTCTTGGAATTCTTTTCGTATTGTTCAGGCGTTGTGCGCGAATTGAAGATACGGCTTTGGGAGGCCAAATGGGTCAGCAAGCTTCGTCTGATAAATGGTATGGTATCGAAGAAGGAAAGGGATACCGGTATTCAGAGAAAGTAAGTTTCCGCTATCTTGAGCCATTCTAAAACATTGACTTGTATATCATCAGCCGCCAGAGCATGCTCGAAGCCCTCTCAACTACGGAAATCTTGGTCTACATCGCATGTTGGAGAGAAGTCACTCCGATCTATCGTCCAATGATGGCAGTGCTACCACGCAGAGTCCCGGAGTAATGAGCAAACGGGAGTTCAGTACGAGGATTCGAGAAACCGTACGAACCGTCAGTGACAAATATGCACGATCACGGCGAGCTCCTCAGGCCCTCAGTCTGAACCGACCAGTCATTGGAAAACCAATATTAATTTCTGAGGTTCCGGTTTCTGGTTCTCCTCCTGATCCTTTCAGCGATTTCGACTCGGGTCCTGGCAGCAGTTTTTTGACGAGAACGTCATCGTCCTCCGATGATGGCTTTATTCCCCAGAGGCGACCTGACTGTTTAACTCGTTCTCCGCCCGCTGTTCATCTCGAGGATTGTCGAAATGAATCCAGGGACTCCATCGCATCGGTGGTCGCTCATGTCGCCGAATCTGTCGTGCAGACGGCGTTCAGGGCTAGCATACGAAGCGACATGTCTATATCTTCTGACCATCATGAACCTCTGCCGTCTCCTGTCGCACAGCGACCTCGTCTGGTACCTTTTACCAGTGCGATGCGCGTACCAGTTCCCAGTATGTCCATGACATCTCTTGATTCTCCCCAAGGCAGTTTCGAGGGCCCTCATTGGGTCCTGAGCCAGAAGGCGACGGTAGAGAAGCAGGAACAGACGCCATCCCCACGTATAAAGAAGAGCAGAAGCGGCGACGAACTTGCTATTGGTATTCACTGTGTGCAAGCGTTTGGCGTGGAAAATCCTGTAAACACTGTTGGATCGACGCTGACAGTTTCGACGAATGTCCGGTCCTCATTTTCTTCTCTAGAGTCTTCTCACCATGGGCATCAGACGGGCGAAATAGAAGTGGTGAAAATCGTAGCCAGAGTTGGGGAGCGGTTCAAATTCCGGATTGCCCTTGGGGCCACTTCTCCAGGCTCATTTGGTGGATCCCACAGATTGCAAGCGAGACTGGTGTCTGGGCAAATGTTACCGAAGTTCTTGCATGTTGATCTTAATGGGAGACGAGGATCGGGCGCCGTTGTGTTTTACGGTGTGCCCAGCACCGGAGATACCGGAGAGTTTGATACGGGCGTCTACGACGGTAATATATGTGTAGGCCGACTCTACTTGGAAGTCATTGGCAGGGAATGAGATCTCTCACCTTCCTCTTTTTTATTCTATTTTCTTGCGGACTATAACATGTATCAAGAGACCTTATCCAGTACTAGTACTCAGTAACCTCCCTACCATCTGTATCCTACATAGTATTCTCTATGCCCTTATTTACACTTGTCTTTCGTCACGGTCGAATTGGAAATCATTTCACCAGACTGCCTTGTGCTTCGATCATCGGCCTGTAGAGACCATGTTGTTCCCCCAGTCCATAAGTAAATGTCATGTGCTCCAGAATATCGATGCCACTTGCGGCCGTGGTCTCGAGCTGGTAGATGAAGCGGATCAGTCAAGGGGTATGTATCATAAGTTGACGCCCACCAGAGATATGACATCGTCCAAAAGATGTGCCTGCCCAACAGCCATACCAAATGCAGGGCCTTCATAGCCTGCATTGGCGATGTGAACATGGAAATGATCTGACTGGGAATTGGGAACAATCTTGGACAAAAAAGATGAAGGACACGAACAGTAACTGGGTTGATAATGGATCCACATCCTAAGTGAACCCGTCGGCAATCCCCATTTCTCTTGAACGACTCGATAGGCCTCCTTCCGAATGGATTTCAAGAGGGGAACATGCCCTAGAAGATAACTATCAGCCCGGCCGAAGCTCCTATACTCTACCTCCTACCAAGACGCAGATCGCGAAGACTGTGAATGGCAGGATCTCGCGCGATCGCGATTAAGTATAGGCTGCTAATGGTGTGTAGATCCCATTTCATGTCGGGCAGCAAGATAAATTCTGAAGAAGAGAACAACACGGCCTCTTGTTCAGCTTCCCCGGAGAGGATTTTTGTTACCCTGAAAATCATTATCAATGAGGACACCAACTGCGCAACAATAAGGAAGGGGCGGACTCACCAGCGTGTCCGAGCGGGGGGAAAGGTGTTGATGTAAGGTCTCACTACGCTGGCATATAGTTCTGGCGTCTCACGTACGAGGGTAGATTTCTGCGGGGAATACTGTTACTGTTTGTGAGTATCTAGATCGCCCTCCAGGGAGGCAAAAGCGTAGCAGGTACGCATGATACCTTCCAAACATGATCGTCTGTGGCGGGGCATATGATGTCAATTTTAACGTCCCCCTGCCGTTGGTGCTCCTCTGAGGGTGATAGCCAACCCGCGAGCCACGAGTACTGTACCAGGATATTAATTCAAGAACGGGTATCGACTGTGGGAGTTGCTACCTACGATGTCGGTTGATTGGATTAGCTTCACGCTGGTGACGATCGTCGGCCGCTCAGACTCGGAGTGGAAGAAAAGTTTGGCAAGCTCTGGAGCGAAAGCGGTCTTTTCGATGCGAATGATAGCCCTCAGGTTCTTTGATGTATATTCAATTCCGCGGGTCTCGGTACCGTCTGGACGGGTCAGCGACCAGGAGACGGGAAATGTCCCGAGCAAGGTTATCCTTTTCTTTTCGGGCTCTAATTTCGAAATTGTTAGTCCAGTGAGTCAGAGAGCAGGTGCAAGGGCACCTTCGTTCAAAGTCCTTTCAAATTTGAATGAATTGAGTGTAGACAGAACATCCATGATCAAAGTTCGGAGTAACTTGCGACGTACGGCTCAAATTCGTGGCACAAATGTACTGATGCAATATTATTTAGTTACCCCAGGGGATCGGGTCGCATATCTACACGCGAAAGCAACAACATGAACAGACAAAAAAAACAGAATATGCATCATCGACTACTAAACGGATAGCTAGCGTAGGTCTTCAATGTTCGTTCTACCGCCCCTATTACACAGCGATAACCCCTCTCATCGCTGCACTACTCGATGTCGCCACGTACCGCACGATAGCTCCTTATGATTTCCAGATGAGGATAGCAAGTGAGCCAACGTAGAAATAAATGAAATGTTTAGTTTCTGAGGGGATCCATGAGCAGACTGAGCGGGACGCGTCGAGGGCGGCCAGCCCCATCGGGAATGGCAGAAGTACTCACCATGTGTAACGTAGCTCCCAAAGTTCTTCCCAACGACGACGTGCCATGTAGGACCGTGTCTTCTATCAAACTCTTTCTTGATCTGGGCAGCAATGTCTTTCTCGATGTTGTACTTCTCGAGTGCTGCCGACGCGATGTCCACACTCTCCTGCTGCATCTCCTCGCTCATGTCCACATTCTTGATGATTGCCTTTGGTGCCGAGGTCCCGTCAGCAGCACGGGGGCCCGAGCCGGCATCAGTGGAGGACGAGGTGGGCGCGTCTGTTTTCTCTACCATCATGGTTGCGTATAGAGGTGATCTGGGCGATACGGTGAAACGAGGAAGCTTTTATACGGAAGAATGAGTACCCTTCTGTGATCTGCAGGGGAAATGAAATGGATGTGGTGGTGGAATGAGCCGGTCGTATGGCAAGAACCAGGACTGGAAATTGGGGCACGTGGCCTGGGCTTATATGACTTGGGCACGGACACTGGCAGGCAATCCACTCGCATGCACATGGTACCCATCCCCAACGGCTGCGGTCGTCCTCCTTTCGGGTTTCGGGCGATTTATTTACCACCAATCTGCCTTCCGTCTGGTTCGTTTTCCGTATGCTGGTTTGTCTGTAATCCTCGAGCTTTCGGACAGCACATGCATCCGTCCCACGGGTCTGCCACTACTTACTTACTATCCCATATCTGAACCGGTTCACGATTGCTGGTCTTTTCCAAACTCAGAGAAGCCGCTGCGGTGGCGTAGCGAAATAAAATTTATATAGTAATTGTCGTGATTTGCTTTCACCCTTTGTTTCCTCCGTGCTCAGGTCGTCTTGGCCATATGCCGCCTCCTCGTAAACTTGCTTGCCCTCGGTCTGACTGCATGCTCTGTCGTGGCGTGTAATCATAGAACACCGTGCCTTTCTGTTGCTCTCACCCTCGACTATCATCGTACCTGTTCTCGCCTGGCTAATAATGCGAGTTTGCCGCCTCGCATTCATAATACTATCAGGGAAGTTTCATCATCGATCTATTCTAGTGTTCTCATGATTCAATGCCGCTCCTTCTGCTCCATATGCTTACCAGTGTCCCTCAAAAACATTCTATTGGCCTCTTCACGTACACATAAATCCGAGAAGGCGCCTCGTTCCTCATGTTGACCATCACTTGAGCACCCACTCATGTGGACTGGCGTCGTGTTACGCTTGATACAATGCACAGGCCACATGTTCGCATTCGCTATACTTCTCTCATTCAATGTTGTTGACCTCAGGCTCTATTTTACGTTCTGATTAGACACTATCGCGTTAATCCGCAGTCTCCGAGTCCAATGTTATCTCCTGGTTATCATAGATCACGCATCGGGGAGGACGCGTATTTCCTGTGATGATCTATCATACGGGTCCTGGGAAAGCACAACAGCGTCGGAATGCTCACGGAAGCTCAACTCAAAGCTCATTTTAGCTATCTTTGCTTGCTGATGTAGAGGGCACTCTTGGCAATCTGGTTGGAAATCGATAGCACCTCTGAAGCGTGCTGGACAAGATGTGTTCAAGATTACCACGATTAGTATGGCCTATGGTCATCACATTTCCTGACATACTTCTTTTTCACAAGCCATGACATTCCCTTCAAATAGATCTGATTTATTCGTCAAAACCGTCACGATCAATAACGATTCGAAGTAAATTGCTAAACAGCCGTACGAGCCCGGACCCCATGAAAAAAGAGCGCGGCCAATTTCCTGTGAGAATATACGCACGCTGCAAGAAGTGGGGGCCCAATATGTTACATGTAATTTGCCCGATAACTGGATGTGAGTAACTCCTCATACGGCACATGATGCAATGCTCTAGAACGAATTCAGAGCGCGTTGCTGTGCGCGGTCCATTTACGGCTCGTATACGCCCCACCGCTTTGCAGATGGTACCGCTATGTAATGTGCATGCTATTTAATTTTCACAGGGACGGCCACGAAATGCCACCTGGTGAGAAATAAACAGCCAGTTCGTCTTGGAAATGGTTTCGCGAGGGTTATGGACTCGTTCTAGATTTGTATGCTCAAGTCTTCCAAGTCCTCCATGAGATGATGACCTGATCCAGGTTGTGTATCGCGTTGGTCTGCCGAAGCTTCTGCCAAATAGCAGCGGACCGGGAGATTTTGGTTCCGCTCTGATAGGCTGGGAAGGGGAGGGGTTGGTGACAGCATCTACTCTGGTTCACTTGAAGATTAATGAAGATTTACACTATGAACAGATATTAGTGCGAAATGCATTAAATAATGCCAACATTTAAGGATACAATATTCCGTGATCGGTATTTTGTTGTGCTGAGATCGCGGCTAGTGGTAACGGAGAATCGTTATCGGTAAATTAATCTATCATCAATCAGCTGTGTTGAGTGACGTCCAAAGATTGCCTCTATGATTTCGCCGGATCTAGGGGTGGCGTCCATGGCTATCGCGCTGGCACCGGGATTTGCTATCAGTGTTTTCATATCCATATTTTACGACCTTTCGTTGTTTTCGAAGCCCAGAGCCACGGATAATGTTACAGCTCCCCCAACTCGCGCCCGAATACCTGGGATAGGCCATTATACGAGATATTTGGGGCATCACCGCGTCGACATAGGCCGGTAATTATCCCCAGAAGAAGAAAAAGAGGTTATTGACTGCTGTAAAAAGATACATACCAATATCGACCAGTAGAACTGTACATTTTCCTACAGACTTAGAAAAGAAAGCACCAGTGTCGACTCCGATGACCAGGCAGACTCCGTAGATGCATAGGCAAAGAATAACGCGGGACTTTGTAGTGGGACCGGATGAGGTAAGCAACGAGATTTTTGGGGCGCTTCCGATCATTGACCCCAGTAAAAGCTGCGTGATCCTCTGCTTTTCTTTCATTACTTCCACTGGGTCCGCTTTCTTAACAACCAGTTCGACCTTCCTCGTCGTTCTGCACGTCTAGCACCCACTCTGAACAGCCATGTCGGCCTACGATCACTCCAGAGTGCAGCAATTCATCGGTATACCCTCCTTTTCGCGTGCTTTCATGTGGGGCTAACGTGTATTTCTCGAAGGCGGCAACTCGTTGGACGCGGCTCCATTGAGTAACATGCTTGATTTTGTCAAAGCGCACGGAGGTCATACTGTGATCACCAAAGTTCGTAGAAATACAAATTACGGCTGTGGGAGGTAGCTCATCATCATCATCATCATCATAGGTCCTCATCGCGAACAACGGTATTGCTGCCGTCAAAGAGATTCGTTCCATACGTCAATGGAGCTACGAGACGTTCGGACGAGAACGTGAGGTTGAGTTCACCGTTATGGCGACTCCAGAAGACTTGAAAGTCAACGCCGAGTACATTCGTATGGCTGACAGGTATGTCGAGGTCCCGGGAGGTTCCAACAACAACAACTACGCCAATGTCGATCTCATTGTCGATATCGCTGAACGTGCAGGCGTGCATGCCGTCTGGGCTGGATGGGGTCATGCCTCCGAGAACCCACGTCTGCCGGAGAGTTTGGCGGCCAGCAAACACAAGATTGTGTTCATTGGTCCCCCGGGAACTGCGATGAGGAGCTTGGGAGACAAGATATCGAGTACCATCGTCGCTCAACATGCTCAGGTTCCTACCATGCCTTGGTCAGGCACTGGCATCTCCGACACTATCCTTTCGAAGGAGGGTTATGTCACCGTTCCTGACAAAGCATATATGGACGCTTGTGTCACTTCGGTTGAGGAAGGCTTGAAGAGGTCGAAGGAGATAGGGTACCCTATCATGATCAAGGCCAGTGAAGGTGGAGGCGGAAAGGGTATACGAAAGGTGGATAGTCCAGAAGGATTCAAGAACGCATTTCACGCTGTTGCTGGTGAAATTCCTGGTGTGTTACCATCTTGTGTCGTATTTCCTGCTTTGTTGATCGCGAGATAGGGTCTCCAATATTCATCATGAAGCTCGCCGGACAGGCACGCCACTTGGAAGTTCAGCTTCTTGCTGATCAATACGGAAATGCCATCTCCCTCTTTGGACGTGATTGTTCCGTCCAACGACGTCACCAGAAAATCATTGAAGAGGCGCCCGTGACGATCGCACCAGAGGCTACTTTCGAACAGATGGAGAGGGCTGCTGTTCGTCTGGCTAAGTTAGTGGGATATGTCAGTGCAGGGACTGTCGAATGTTCGTTTTACCACTTTCTTCCTTCTTTCGTTGTTCCATTTATGCATTTCCTTAGACCTGTATAGTCATGCAGAAGACTATTTCTATTTCCTTGAACTGAACCCACGTCTCCAAGTCGAGCATCCGACTACCGAGATGGTGTCAGGTGTCAATTTACCTGCCGCACAACTCCAAGTTGCCATGGGTATTCCTCTTCATCGTATCCGTCATATCCGCCAACTCTACGGTGTCGCACCAAACGCCTCTTCCGAGATCGACTTTGACATGATCAAGCCTGACGCCAACCAGCTTCAGCGCAAGCCCCGCCCCAAAGGGCACGTCGTTGCCGTTCGTATCACTGCTGAGAATCCTGATGCTGGGTTCAAACCATCCTCCGGTTCTCTGCAAGAACTGAACTTCCGTTCTAGCACGAACGTTTGGGGTTACTTTTCTGTTAGTACTGCCGGTGGATTGCACGAGTTTGCGGACTCGCAGTTCGGTCACATCTTTGCTTATGGCGAGGACCGAAGCGAGAGTAGAAAGAACATGATCATTGCTTTGAAGGAGATCAGCATCCGTGGAGAGTTCCGGACGACTGTCGAGTATCTGATCAAGCTGTTGGAATTAGAGGCGTTCAAGAATAACACCATTACCACTGGATGGCTCGACTCCCTAATCAGCAACAGGCTTACTGCAGAGCGGCCCGACGCCACCTTGGCTGTTATTTCCGGTGCTGTTACCAAAGCATACCTGGCCTCTGAGGCGTGCTGGACCGAGTACAAGCGCATTCTGGACAAAGGCCAAGTTCCTTCTCGAGATACCTTGAAGACGATTTTCAGCATTGACTTCATCTATGAGAACGTCCGATACTCGTTCACTGCTGCTCGTTCTTCTATGACCGTATGGACTCTCTACCTCAATGGTGGACGGACTATGGTCGGCGCACGCCCTCTGGCCGATGGTGGATTGCTCGTTTTGTTGGACGGAAAGAGTCACTCTGTGTACTGGCAGGAGGAAGTTGGTGCGTTGCGGTTGATGGTTGACGCCAAGACCTGCTTGATCGAGCAAGAAAATGATCCTACCCAACTAAGGAGTCCAAGTCCCGGAAAGCTCATCCGGTACTTTGTCGACAGTGGTGATCATATCAATGCTGGTGAACCGTATGCTGAGATTGAGGTGAGAGCTTTATACATGACAGTTCTTTGTCGTACTGAAATGTTATTCCCAGGTTATGAAAATGTACATGCCGCTTGTCGCCTCAGAAGATGGTATCGTTCAGTTCATCAAGCAGCCTGGTGTCAGCCTCGAACCTGGAGATCTTGTTGGAATCCTCACCCTCGATGACCCTGCCCGTGTCAAGCACGCTAAGCCTTTTGAGGGCCTTCTTCCCTCGATGGGCACGCCTGGTGTCGTCGGCAACAAGCCTCACCAACGCTTGGTCTATTGTTTGACTCTTCTCAATGACATCCTGGATGGCTTCGACAACCAGGCAACCATGGCATCCACCGTCAGAGATTTGATTGAAGTTCTCCATGACCAAGACCTGCCCTACTCCGAAGTTCGTGCCATCCTGTCGGCTCTTTCGGGTCGTATGCCATCCAAGTTAGAGGACAGCATACGTGCGGCTCTTGATTCGGCTAAGGCTAAGGGAGATAACCAAGAATTCCCCGCCCTTAGAATCAAGAAACTTCTCGAACACTATATTCTGGATCATGTTCTTCCTCAGGACAGGACAATGTTCCGTGCTCAACTTGGCGATCTCTTTGACGTCATTGATCGATTTATCAGCGGCTTGAAGGGACACGAGACCGAGACGATCACGAACCTTTTGGCGCGTTACGAGGCCACTGAGAAGCTCTTTGGTGGAAGCATAGAAGCTCGTGTTTTAGCTCTCCGTGATCAATACAAGGACGATTCAGACAAGGTCGTCGCCCTTGTTCTGAGCCATATCAAGGTCCAGAGCAAGGCAAAGCTTGTCATGGCTCTCCTTGATCATGTCAAGACTGGCGGCCTCGCTGTATCGGACCCAGAAAGCCGACTCTACCAGGTTCTGCAAGGCCTTGCTGCTCTCGAAGCGAAGTACGAGGTTCACTACTTGCTCTTATATCAATCCTGATCTTCTTTTCTGTTTAGATCCTCGACGTCTGTGTCTCTGAAGGCTCGTGAAGTATTGATCTTTGGCCAGATGCCATCATACGAAGAACGCATGACGCAAATGGAGTCTGTCCTCAAGAATTCGGTCACGAACCAGTACTATGGCGAGCAAGGCCGGGGCCGAAGGTCCGTTGCTTCAGATCGATATTGTGCAATTAGATCTAATGCTTAATATAGGACTCCTTCTGCTGAAGTGTTGAAGGAACTTAGTGACTCTCAATTCACTGTATATGATGTGCTTCCGACATTCTTCAACCACCCAGACCCTATGGTCACCCTTGGTTTGTTATTTATATCACACTCTATTTGCTGATCTTCTGATTCATCATCAGCCGCGTTCGAGGTGTATGTCCGTCGTGCATATCGAGCATACAGTGTGCTTTCAATTGACTATGAAGAGGGTGATACCCTAGATGATGGCGAGATCCCAAGTGTTCTTACGTGGCGGTTCAATATTGGGCAATCTCACTCTCCTCCGTCAACACCGCGTATCGCTTTTGGGTGAGTGACTCACGTTACACAATTATGTCCATCTCACTTAAGAGCATTATAGCGAACCTCGTCGCTCTGGTTCAGTCAGCGACCTTACGTACTTGATCTCCAAGAACCAGGCGCAGCCCATCCGCACTGGTGCTATCGCTTCCTTCCCCGACTTTGCTGCCCTTGTGCGCGGTTTCGGCAAAGTGGCTTCAATGTTGCCACTGTTCGATGCCGAGGAACACGAGCAACGTCATGGAAGAGATGGCCAGCCGCCTAACGTCATCAACATCGCTTTACGTCTATTTAATAAAGAGGACGATATGCCCGAGGATGACTGGTTTGCCAAGATCACTCCGTTTATCAACGAACAGCGCGAAATTCTGGATCGTCGTGGCGTTCGCCGTGTCTCCATTCTCCTTTGCCGACAAGGTCAATACCCTGTTTATGTTACCTTACGCGAGGTCGATGGTGTGTGGGGTGAGGAGCAGGCTATTCGTAACATCGAACCTGCCCTCGCTTTCCAAATAGAATTGAGCCGTCTCAAGAACTATATCTTGAAACCTGTGTTCGTCGAGAGCAAGCAAGTTCACATGTACCATGCTGTTGCGAGGGAGAATCAGCTGGACAACCGGTTCTTCATCCGAGCGTTGGTCCGACCTGGTCGCCTCCGTGGTACCATGAGCACGGCCGAGTACCTCATCTCTGAGACCGACAGGCTCATCACGTCTATTTTGGACGGTCTCGAGTTTGTCTCTGCCCAGTATCGCAATGCCGACTGCAACAATATCTTCATCAACTTCGTCTACACACTCGCTGTGACCTACGAGGATGTTCTAGCTGCCATCTCTGGTTTCATTGAGCGCCATGGCAAACGGTTGTGGCGTCTGCATGTTACTGGTTCTGAAATCAGGATCGCTCTGGAGGATGATGAAGGGAACGTAACTCCCATTCGTTGTATCCTTGAAAATGTGTCCGGCTTCATCGTGAACTACAACGCCTACCAGGAGATCACGACGGACAAGGGCACGACCATTCTCAAGTCGATTGGTGAGAAGGGCCCTCTTCACCTCCAACCCGTCCATCAAGCATACCCTACGAAGGAGTCTTTGCAGCCCAAGCGGTATCAAGCCCATTTGATCGGCACCACTTACGTCTACGACTTCCCCGACCTCTTCTCGAAGGCATTGCAAAACGTTTGGGTGAAGGCACGCAAGACTGATTCGTCTCTTGTGCCGCCGAAGGTGTTCTTGGAGTCTAGGGAGCTTGTTCTTGATGAACATGACCAGATTACCGAAGTAGACCGTGCTCCGGGAAATAATACTTTCGGAATGGTTGCTTGGGTATTTACTATGAAGACTCCGGAGTATCCCAACGGAAGAAGGGTGGTTGCAGTTGCCAATGACATCACCTTCAAAATCGGTTCATTTGGACCGCTTGAAGACCAATTCTTCTACCTCGTCACCCAATACGCCAGGGACCATGGTATTCCTCGCATTTACCTATCTGCCAACTCAGGTGCCCGACTTGGTGTTGCTGATGAAGTCGTACCGCTGTTCTCTGCTGCATGGAACGACGACGCGCAGCCGGAAAAGGGCGTAAACTACCTCTATCTGACACACGAGAACTTCCTCAAATTGCAAGAGAAGGGTCCTTCCGTTAAGACGGTCGAGATCCACGAGAACGGAGAACGCCGCCACAAGATCACCGACATTATTGGTCTGCAGGATGGTTTGGGAGTGGAGTCGTTGAAAGGCTCTGGTCTCATTGCTGGAGAGACGTCGCGCGCCTATGATGATATCTTCACAATCACTTTGGTTACCGCCCGTTCTGTCGGTATTGGTGCCTATCTTGTTCGTCTCGGAGAGCGTGCTGTACAAGTAGAGGGTCAACCTATTATCCTGACTGGTGCCGGAGCACTTAATAAAGTGCTTGGCCGAGAGGTTTACACCTCAAACTTGCAACTCGGTGGTACCCAGATCATGTTCAAGAACGGTGTTTCGCACCTTACGGCCAGTAGCGATCTCCAAGGTGCTACTCAAATCTTGGAGTGGATGTCCTATGTTCCGGATGTCAAGGACGGTGCCATTCCGGTTCGTGAAACCCCCGATAGCTGGGACCGTGACATCGGCTACACACCGCCGAAGGGACCATACGATCCTCGTTGGTTCATCGAAGGAAAAGAGGATGAGACTTCGTCGGAGTGGCTCAGTGGATTCTTTGACAAAGGTTCCTTCCAGGAGACATTGAGTGGTTGGGGACAAACAGTTGTCGTTGGTAGGGCACGTCTTGGCGGTATTCCTATGGGTGTGATTGCCGTGGAGACTCGCACCATCGAGCGCATAGTCCCTGCTGATCCCGCCAACCCGGCCTCGTTTGAGCAACACATCATGGAGGCCGGTCAAGTATGGTACCCCAATTCCGCCTACAAGACTGCCCAGGCAATCTTTGACTTTAACCGAGAAGGTCTTCCTCTCATCGTCTTTGCCAACTGGCGTGGTTTCTCTGGAGGTCAACAGGATATGTACGATGAAGTCTTGAAGCAAGGCTCGAAGATCGTCGACGGTCTCTCAAGCTACAAGCAACCCGTCTTCGTTTATATCGTTCCTAATGGCGAACTTCGTGGTGGTGCTTGGGTCGTTCTTGATCCTTCTATCAACAAGGAGCAGATGGAGATGTACGCTGACATTGACGCTCGTGCTGGTGTTCTGGAACCTGAGGGTATCGTAGAGATCAAGATGCGTCGTGACAAGTTGCTTGGACTGATGGAACGACTTGATGAGACCTATGCTTCTCTCAAGCGCGATAGCAAGGACAGCGGCAAGACACCCGACGAGCGCGCTGCTGCCAGTGCTGCGTTGTCCAACCGTGAGCAGCTGCTGACACCAACGTATAAGCAGATTGCCACTCTGTTTGCTGATCTCCACGAGTAAGTTCAGTTTCATTCAGTGTCGTTGCCGAAAATTGATAGTTTTTCTCTAGCCGTACTGGTCGCATGGAAGCCAAGGGCTGTGCAAAACCAGCCGTGTGGAAAGACGCACGTCGACACTTCTACTGGGCTGTGCGAGCGCGGGTTGCACGGTCTGCTGCTCTTCGCGAACTCGCCGATGCCAGCCCTGGAGCTACGTACGAGTACCGTGCCAGGCTTCTCGATACCCTTGCCTCGCTCGAGCCGACAACGCCTTACCGGCAGATGGCTGAAAATTTAGAAGATTTGGACCTCGCACCCACGATCGTTCAACTACGCGCTGACCATCTGCTACGGCGTCTATTGGAGCTTTCCAAGGAAGATCGCAAAGCAACAATGAACAGTATCATGCGTCTGGCAGACAATATGTCTGAAGACGAGAAGACATCGTTGATTGGCGTTCTACAAACCTCCTCTCGTTCACCAGGTTAGCTACGTTCAATTCCTTCCATGTTCACTGTCGCTGAGTGTCCTTTATTTAGGGCCTCCTTCGTACGCTCACTCGTAAAATGTGTAACCTGCACTCGCCTCTTAGTTGTAATTATATCATTTGTTCTCTTTCACTCAATACGTTTACCCTCAATTGCTGTATAACCACTTCGACATACATAGACATACTTTATTTTGCTCACGCATTGCTTTACATGATCGGATGTCCACCTCCATAAGTCTAATCGTACTTCTTCATTGTGTATCAGACAGCCGCGAAAGAATCCATAAGAAGTCAGAAACCCGTCGGGTTTTCTTTGTGTAGTGAGCTAAGTATCACAAACGATGTACATATTGTTAAATAATGAGGAGACGTGTATGATATGAAGTCCAACCCCCTCCAAAAGGGTACGTGACATGCAAATTTTTTTTCTGCCACCAACTAATCAATCGTGCTGGCGGTATTTTCCGATTTTTGAATAAGCAATTGTCCACTCCACGCGATCCCAACATGTCCGTGCCACCCAACCATCGTATCGAACCTGCGCGATTGCAGATATTTCAACTTGATGCGTGTGGTCTGGAAAGCAAGAGAATGTAGAAAATGGAAAACAAAACAGAAGAGAAGAAAACTTAGCTCTGAAACTCCGCGGGACTTTTTCGTCTTGCGAAAAGAAGAATCAGAGACTGTTGTCTCCTTTGCATCGCAAGCGTGGCGAATATCTTGGCCTGACACCGTGGGGAGAAGGTCGCGGCGGTAAAGCTGGCGGAGGACCCATTGGATGTCCAGATATGACCCGTACCTATGTCGACAAAGGACGTCTTTACCTGAAAGAATGCCTTGGCGGTGGCGCTTTTGGCAGCCTGTTTCACGCACTGGACCTCAAGACAATCGCTTGCCCGAAGCATATGTGTGCCATTAAATGCATACAAGCCGATGGAAACTATGGATGCTCCAATAGAATTCGTTCTACACCCCAAAGCCTCCCAGCGCTCTAATATCGTTGGTCTTCAAGACCTCTTCTGACGACGGCCGTATGGATTTCTGTTCTGAAGGCGACTTCTACAATGCTATCCAGAGAGGCGCATTTTTAGACCACAATGAACGTATCTGGTCGATATTTATTCAGATCCTGGACGCCGTCGCACATTATCACGATCTGGGCATGTACCATCGGGATCTCAAGCCAGAGAATATCCTTTGCGCCACGGATCAAGCACCATAAACGAAGTACATATAATTAAATAATGAGAAGAGGTGTATGATATGAAGTCCAACCCCCTCCAAAAAGGTACGTGAGATTTGAATTTTTTTTCGGCCACCAACGAGGACTGCCGCCACTGTTATCACCTCAAAGAACAGCCCCGCCCCCACTCGCCACCGTCAATCCCATTCGAACTTCAGCCCAGGGAGAGCGAAGGTGCCCTCCGCCACCGCTTCGACCTCATCACGGTACCGCAGTCCCACCAAAGTTCGGGCTTCAAACCAGGGACGGCGAAAGGGCCCTCCGCCACCATTACCGCCACCTAGGTGATCTTCTCGTGGTATTGCAACCCTGCCTCCGCTGGCGGTCATCAAGCCCGTTCGGGTTCCAGACTTTGTTCTGATCACCAATGTGAGAAGACATCTGAAGGGGAAATGAGCACGAGAAGACAGGAAGGAGATGAAATGTTAAGATTCTAAAAGTCGATAAAGAAGACTATCAAAGCCTTTTTTTTGCAGATAAAATTGTTGTTGAAAGAAAAGAGCAGGGGGACTGTCAAAGTCTCCATGCTCAGGAGATAGTGGGGGTAGGAGGTCAAAGAGCAAAAAGGGGATTTCTGATTCGATGGGCGCCTTATGAGTACCCCTGTGAAGCCAAAAGGAAGCACCATGTCAAAGACACGCAATCATGTAAAAAAATTCAGCGAACAGCGCGCTTGGACAGAGAGCGTCGCGGTCGAAGTGAAAATGGACGAAAGAAAAACGCGAAGATACGCGTCGACGGAAGTGACGTCATCGGATCAGGATTTCCTTTCCGGGGCGGCTCCGCTAACGGCGCTTTCGTCGAATTTGTATCCTTTTCGATATCAGTGAATTTTTTACGCTTTAGCTCACCCTGCGCTGAAAACCCTTGATACATCCTTGATAGATCCCGCAGACCTATTAGAATTTATATAATATTGGAATGGCATTCATGCACTGTGCAGACCACGGCCCGGACATCCCGGTTCTTCGGCCTAACCTCACACGCTTTCTTTTCTCATTCCACCTTTATTCCACCTGAATTCTTGTGTATGTCTTTTTCCTGGAACCGCCCAAATGTTCCTGCAGATTTCTAACATCACTCGTCTCTGAAGCGCAGCCACGTGATGGTATCTCGCTCCTGATTGGAATCATCGCATCTTGGCTGTTCTCTAAAGACTCCGTTACCGTACTACGACGACCAGGGCGATGCCGTCGCCCCTCAGCTGCGTTGACGACAGCGACGTATACTTGGCAGACAAGAAGTGCGTAGCTCTAGCCTTAATTTGTTGAATCTACTAATCTTATATAGTTGAAGGAAATATCACTTGTCGATAAACGACTCTTGCATTGCCGTTACCCTTCCGACGTTTACATGTCCAATATCTCCACGGCAATGATGCATGGGGAGTCACAGCTGGTGCCATCGAAACCATGCTTGCGTCCCCAGCTCTCGAGGTAGTTGCAACCGATACTAGGTGAAGGTTCTTGATGCGTTGGCGTGGTCATTAGTCGCGCTGACATATCTCCCCAGATTTTTCCATGTTCGAATTCTTTATCATGACGATGACGATCCCATGCCTTCCTTTCTTCCAGGTCGACTTGCCGGGTTTCTGTCGACGCCCTTTCACCAGCTGCGAACTCTTGTCTTTAGTATTAAACGAAAATCAGGCTCAAACCTTTGGCAGCAAGTTTATCATGGAAGGCGTCGAGCTGCCTACCGTCACTATTCTCATGGTTGGAGCTTATTGTGATTTTATGGTCCACCTCTACCGGAATGTTGAACATGTAGCGACCTTCGGCTCGGTATGGCTTCACTCGCATCGTGGGTCCATGATTAGGGAACACTCGTTCAGGCTTATTGCTGCCGCGAACCAGGCAAAGATGTTAAGCCTATTGCAGGGTGCGCCAACAGCCTGATCAACCGCAGCGCATCAAAAATTTATTCTCTTTCAAGCTGTATATAATGCAATGCCTTCCATCCAAAAGTTGACTTTAGATGGCGGTACGGTCAGAGATAGTTTTTAGGTATTTGCCGATACTACATTAATCGTGCAAGTATGGAACTTATACTCCTAATTATTCAGGAGCTTGTTCCGACTCTGGATCAGTTCAAGTCACTGGAGATACTTGGTCCGGTGGACGCTTCCTCTCTATGCGTTGGGTTTAATCCTCAAATGTGCGGGAATATATATATGGGTCCGAATGGTGGTGAGATCCGCAAGAGGGTGCTAGCACTCGCCGAAGCTGCGCGTACTACTCGCATGCGACGCGATCTTTCGCACCTGTCTCAATGTCGATGTTTTGATTCTCGGAAATCGTTGGAAAGCAATCGCTACACGGTTTCCTGGGGGGAAAATTCGAGACGTTCAATGTTGTGTAGAGGAGCAAGTGAAGATCATGAAGGTCTAAAATTCGTTTTAACTTACTCCACCGCCCATAGATGTCTCTCTGATCCTCCATCCTGATGCATGAGAGTTGCGGGTATAGGCCATGCGCTATCTGATTCAGTCTGTTTTGGACAATTCAGGTACTGTGATTTAAGAGTTTGAGCCATCCTGTGATCAGGAGATGGTGTGATTAAGAAAGTAAGATATAGCTATCTATCTCACGTTCATTTCACTCACGGCATGAACTCTTGAACCACAGGTCGGTTAGAACTGGGTCTCTCACCTGAATGACGGACAAATTGCATGACACAAGACTAAGCTCGGAGATCGGGACGAACATCATTAGATTGTGATGTTGGAATACGGAGACATTGATAATAGCCTAACTAACTTACGTATCATTTCAAAAATGCCAAAGCTGTACATCTTCATCATCGATAGATGGTCCTCTTGTCTCTTGTAACGAAGTTGTTTGAACAAAACTTTGAGATGCGGAGTTCGGGGGTAATAATACAGAAAAGGTACAGATATACTGAAATACATGCCTGAGAAATCAATGCACATCAAAGAAAGAGGAAAATGAACCGCTTTGGCTGTTCTATCTCAGCTTTGGAGCCGACTGTATCATCAAAGGCGTCCGGAGCCTGGTGCATGGACGGACACCTGACCGCCGGCAGAACCAATGAACATCAATTCCCCCCACAAGCGCGCAGGTATCTCATGATTATGTCGTAGGAAGACACGTATGCGCCCCAACCATTCTCGCAAAAGGGCAAATCTACATCCTGTACGAGCAGTTTCGTCTAACCATCCTGAACCTCCCTTTTCGATCGCATAAAGTGAAATCTGTGCGAGCCAATAAAATTGCAAGGCATTGTAGACCAAGGACGATTTATTATAGCCCGGTCCTACGATGTCGCAGCAATGCGTCCACGTTCGGAGCCAGTTGTGTAAAATGGACTGCAAACGGAGGTAGTCTCTGTTGGAGGTGGACAGCGAATAAATGTCTCTGAGGATAGCGTGTATCTGAATGAAATGGGAAAATGGATTTGGCGGGGTAGGGCTAAAAACATAGCCGAGATGAGGGAGCAATGGTTCTGATTCCCCAGCGAGGGCGGCAAGCGCCTGATGTAAATTGACGCCAGACAACCTCGTTGTATCCGTGGAAAAGCGTGAAGGTCTTCTTGTCAATTCAAGCCATTCGATTGGGTCGGACGCATTCCACAGGTCGTCATCACTTGGCAAGTTGATGTCAAATTCGGCTGATTTAAAAGAAGGCGATTTCGAAAAATAGATGGGGTAACAACAATCGTGAAAATAAGAGAGCGCCAGCACGCTATAACGTTGTGAGTTGAGCAACGCGGATCAATGCATACAACCCACCGTTTCATAGTTTCGTGCATGGCCCATTCACGCCATGACTGCTCCAGCGAGAGTGTATCGTTCAAGTCAGGAACCATCCAGGAGCGAAGGCGTGTGACCGAGCTAGCTTGGCGAATCATCTGCAAGGTGTATGAGTGAGAAAATGAGAGGCCATGGTAGCGGATATACCGTAACCAGCATCTCATGATAAACGCTGGTGATCACCCGTTGTTCGGCGTCTGGGTGAAAAAGTCCGACAGTCTGAAGAAGAACAGCTGTCAATATGAAGAGGTCTTGATCGATTATGGGTTTCGCAGCCTGGGTGCAAGCATCAACACTTAAGGAATACCAAGATCCGAGGACTTACAAACTCCCGCATGAGAAGATTACGAGAGGATAGCGTTTCCTCGATGAATGTTGTTGCTTGTCTTGTCTTGACGAAGAGTGCGCCACACGCTTGCATGGCGCGAATGAGAACCGAAGGTTTACGGTCTGTGGACCACGTTGCAGGATGCACCAAAGGAAAATGTTTACAGAAGTCGGAAAAGAAGTACCGGACTAAAGAAAGAACCCCCTATAAGAAGAGTGATGTTCCATAAGCAGAGGACTCACTGTATTCATCTTCTGAAGCACTCGCAAAAATACCCATCAACGGAGATGGATAATAAGAATGATCATACGACGGAACTTCATTGCTACTAGTGTCAAACCGTAAGAAATCGAGGCCGTCAATTAATGGCTCGTGCAGGTCCAACCAGTCGTCAATCGGATATAACCCATCGAAGCATTTCTCCCACCTGCGTTGATTTGAACCACGTTCAATTTGGGGTGATACCGTCTGAGAAACCTCGTTCACAGCCCACCGGTCCAAAGGCATGGGCGGTGGATGAAGCGTCTTGCTCTCCGCTGTGATGATGGTAGCCGGCAAAGAAGAGAATGGGGAGGGCGGAGTGCATGACGCAGACAAAGTATGGGAGCCTCCGGACGTGTCCGTTATTTCACCTTCATAATGCCGACGAGGCTGTTTACCAATAAATACGCATTCCCTTCTCTGAGCAACGCATCCAGAACAGGGTTGTTCTAGCTGTCTATCGCATTTGGTTCTAGACAGAACACAAGCCTGTATATCAGACTGATGATCGGTACTTTGTTTCTCAGCTACCACTTATGTGTCGCACCTCGCATGACCTTCTAGTCCTTGAGTGTTGGTTTAGCCTAAGGTAATATTTATTTATCTTAATCCGACCAAGTGAGGCTGGAGAAACTTACAGTCCCTTACAAGTTTTCATGTGTCGTTTCAAAACGTCGCATCTGGAAAATTGAGAGCCGCATTGCTGAAGAAGATATGTCGGTAAAGAATCATTGTTAGACTGTATTTGTGACATGACACACTATGCACTTATGCACGCGCTCGTAGGTGTCTGTAAAATGCTCACCATCTCAGTAACATGCGAGGGACATCGGAGCGGGTTACCCACGAGAGCGTATATGCTTATGCAAATGAGTAGGCCGCATATATCTAGCCGAACAAATTGGACATGTCAGATTCTGAGGAAGCATAGCACCCTTTGCTTTCGTGCCCAACGCCGTCGCCGGCTGGAAAAGCTGAAAAGTCACGTAATCATAATCGGAGGAGGGTACTGCCATAGGGAGAGTATGTGTAGGGAAAGACGTGTTTGGCACTTGTTTTATATGGCGAATTTCCCGCTGCGAGAAGTCAGTATACGCGCATCAAAGGGGGAGGTTGAACGGCGTAAACCAACCTGTCTAAGCACCATCATTACCGGTGGTTGCTAGATGTACGAGGGATTTCAACTCTGAGATCCTATCAAGTCGCCGAATGATAATATGGCACCTTTGGGGCCCCACTTAGACAACTGTCACCCTCCAACGTGAATGGGACGAGTGACACCCATCTATTAAAGAGCATTTCTTCAGGTAATGTGTGTATATCGTGTGTATCATTGGCGCAGTCACTAATTAACGTGAAAACTTTGAAGCAATCCGGGTTCTTATTGACGCCAAGGGTTCTCACCGTTGTGCTGATTGTCCCAGTCTCCGCAATGATACTTGGTATAATGAGCTGGAATTGTAGATGCTGGATCAACTCTTGCCAGAACCGACAGCGACGTGTTAAGCATCGGAGAAACGGGCAAGGCTGTTAGCTTGCTTGTTGTTAGAGGTTTCTGCATAAAAGACAATCAGGCCCAAGCTCTGTGCTTTCGGAACTGCTGCACCTCTCACTGTGTACTGAAGCGCAATGTCCTCTGCTACACATGCGTCATGCCGGCGAATGTGACCGGTGAGAACTTGGGCATCTTAATGGTGGGTTTTGAAACACCGCAACAGTGGATAGACCAGGGTAGCTACACCAGCCAGGAGAAGTAGAGAGCCGGTCATGGCCTGGCAATCAATCTAGATGACCCAGTCATCTCGTTGGCTTGGATATATAAAGCATGCTTACTTAAATATTCCCCGAACCTTACATGTGCCTCGCTGAACCAAACGATTTGTCTGGTACCCGGACGTTAGTATGCATGAAGGGTCAGGAGAGATATGAATAGGACCGGCACAACTATGATGACAGGTTAAACATTTCATCCCAAGTATATCTGAAACGCAGTCTAAACATGCAAGTAGACCATTGTCAGTTAATCACTCTTAGATTACTAACGTGATATCGAGTTCGACGGAGTAAAGGTGTCGGCCGGCCTTGAATATTTTGAACCGTGGATGGGCAGCTAAGTTTCCGGCAGTTCAGCTTGAGGTCCATAGGACATTGAGCTCGCCAAAGAAATTCCTGTCATTTCTCGAGACTACCACGCTTCCTGAACCTCTAGCAACTTCCTTGTTACCTTCGATAGATATCACAGCAATGCATAGCAGCGTTGTGTTGCGTGGAGACGGCCTAGGTGTTCTGAATCGCTTTCATCCAAGGAAGATGTCATGATCTGTTTTTGTATGTAAAAATATGGGACATGGAGGGGACGTCTGAACGACTTTTAATTCCATTGATAATGAAGATGGAAACGCACCTTTTGTGAGGAGAAAGGAGACGCTTGTCAGATCAATGACGCGTTGTTTGTTCCTAATATATTCGGAAGGTGATCCAAAAATTTGGCATTTTCCCATTTTCCTAATTTTCACATTTCCTCAATTTCGCATTTCGATGGTTTCTTCAAAATACAAAAAGCCGGAAAAGCGTGCAAAGGCCAAAACTGTCACGACCCCTGTTGATCTTCCCGCGAATCTTTCAGACTCGAATGATGAAGGTTCCGATTCTGATTCTGATAATGGAGGTGTCGATGAGGAAGGAATGGAACGTCTCATGAAGGCTCTAGGAGACGAGGGTTTGGATGAATTTGACCAGGCGCGGCTAGTCACTCTCGGTGGTGTCGAGGAGTCAGATAGTGAGGGTGACGATGAAGATGGAAGCGACGAAGAAGACGCCGAGGGCATTGACGAAGAGAACCACAGTGAAGAGGAGGAAGAACAAGGACAAGAAGGTGATGACGATGACGCAGAAGAGGAAGGCGTCGATGTCGAAGAAGAAGGTATTGCCCTTGAGGACATCGAAGATGTAGACGACGATGCTGTCCCACGGCAAAAAGTCGAGATTGACAACCATGTAAATTTTGTCTTTCCTTTTGAAGAGTATTATCATTCACTTTCTTTTTGCGCAGGCCGCTCTCGCGCGAATACGCGAATCTATACAATTGGATGCCTCACTTCCATGGACAGAGACACTCGTTCTGTCGTATCCAGAAACCATAGATGTCGACGTGAATGACGATCTGAACCGTGAAGTTGCATTGTATGCATTCTATCTTTGGCTACTTGAACGTGTATTAAATTACTTTACTTTCAGTTATAAGCAGGCACTACACGGAGCTAATGCTGGTCGGGTACTTGCGACAAAACACAAATTTCCATTCACACGCCCCTCAGATTACTTTGCCGAGATGGTCAAAACGGATGCACATATGGAACGGATACGGCAGCGTCTTTTGGACGAGAGCTCGGGCATAAAAAAGAGCGAGGATAAACGCAAGGAAAGGGAGGGTAAGAAGTTTGGGAAGCAAGTGCAGATCGAAAAACTCAAGGAGAGGGAACGCTCGAAGAAGGATATGGAGGAGCGGCTGAAAGGTCTGAAGCGAAGTATGCCTTCCCCTTTTTTGTGCCTGTCAGGAACTAAACGTCCTAATAGAACGAAAGGACGTCCTCGATAACCCCAATGCCGATGATGATGCGTTCGATGTCGCTGTTGAGGATGCCATCTCGGATCGTCCTGCTAAGCGTGGTCGTGGTGGAGGCAATGGAGGACTTTCGCGTCAGAGCCGGGATAAAAAGTTTGGATTTGGTGGTGGAGGTCGGCGGTCAAAACAAAATACCCGAGAGTCAACGGACAACTTTGAGTCTGGGCCTCGAAAAGGGTCTTTTAGAGGAAGTGCAGGAGGGGGCAGAGGCGGTGGCAGAGGCGGTGGCAGAGGCGGCAGAGGCGGTGGAAGCAGTCGCGGACGCCATAGTTCAAAGAGACTTGGTAAATCCAGACGGATTACTGCTCGCAGTAAGACATGATAGCACATCTGGATGTGATGCAAAATGATCGTATTTTGCCTCAGCATTGCATAACTGAACTGAAAAAAATACTGTTTTACAGAGGCTACGAATGAGCTGTATGACGCTATATATAATAAATATTACAAGATCATTATTTATGCCCACCTAATGTATAACTCCTCTTTCGCTTTTAGCCATGCTATGTCCTTCACGCCCCTTCAGGAATAGTACACAAACCCCCGCGATCACAAATACAGCAACACTGGTGTACACGGGCACTGTCCTATCAATCATCAAAAGCATTCCGCCAACCAGAGGAGCTACCATTCCTCCGCTAGGATGGCAATGAGATATACTACACAGGAGTGGTGAAAGAGAAAAACACTTACATTCGTGACAGTGCAGACGCGATCCCACACGCCGTCCCTCTAACTGTGAGTACAAGGTTTTAGGAGAAGCTGAAGTGTCCGGGAAAATGTATGAACTATACCTTTCGTGCCAAATATCTCTGGAGTCCAGCTAATACCACAATCATCAATATGCCGGCTTAAAGAAAACAAAGGTACATACCCATACAACACCGCCCACATTGTCGTTGCACTAAGACTGATCCCAACTGTACTTGCTCTAACTGCCCACTGTGATTCCACCATCACAAACACCACACAGAAAATAGCCGTCACAAACGTGCTCCCGGCCAACGACCAACGGCGGCCGAGACTAGACTCTATCATATATGCGCCAATCTGTTCAGGTCATTTAGTCATGAAGGAGATATGTAGCTGAAAAACCGACAATAGCCCCAGGACAGCCACCTATAGTGAATATTACCACATCCCATAAACTGTCTTCTAGTGATTTTTTAGTCTCCCCAGACGAGTCTTTACCAATTTCGAGGAGTTTTGGGAGAAAAACATTAAACATGGTGTAAGCTGGACATCCAAGATAAATATGTTTCCCAGAAGGTGGATAGGAGGGGTCTCCTCACCGAGCGACATAGCGCACCAAGCACCCCACACGAGCAACGTTGTTCTCAACCACTCCGGAGTAAGGACCATCAATATCCGATCCCACCATGCCCATAGAGGACGTCTCAGCCAACTTGGTAAGACATTGTATAGCTGCTTCTCGCACACAGACGGCGCGCCCCTTCGAGGTAAGGACCTAGAACGTGATGAGACTCGATGTGGTCGGACTACCGGTTCGACATCTTCTTTGGGCGAAGCAGGCTCTTGGTGGGGGATTGTCGGTGTCGCAAAAGAATGCGACTCGAGCTGCTGAGCCGGAGATTCTGCTGTCGAGTGATAGTCAGCAAATCTAGGAGAATTGGTGCCATCATCGCCTGTAGGCCGCGTATCCGGCACCACAGCTGGAGCTTGGTCTACGTTCGGCCGGACGTCTTCCACATCGTCAAGGTCGAGAGAGAGCGGAGCGCCATTGAATCTTGCTATCATTTGTAGCGACTCAACGGCTTCTTGATGACGACCGGCGTGTACTAGGAAACGCGGGGACTCGTGCAGCCGGAAAAAGACCATTCGGGCAAAGAACATGCTGAGTGTCTGCGTAATGAAGCATTAGTTGATCTATAAAACTTTCCTTTTTCACGTACAATGAGACCCAATGCGATGAGAAGGTATTTCCATCCTTGATTTTCCACATCGACGTTGCACCCGGCCGGGGCTGGTGGACACGAGTGGTGGGGTACAATGAGCAGGGCTACAATAGCAGACAGAACGGCCCCAAAAGAGAAGAAGACTGATAACGCAGTTACCAAGTATTGCTTCCCTTTTGGCATGTGTTCCAAAAGGAGAGTGCCATCGGTAGGCATTGAACCCTGAGTACGCGTCAATGAAGTGTTGACCTGTGTAATGAACGCGACTTACACCCACAGCCGTGCCCAGCAAGAAAAGAGAGACACATAGAGACGTGTACGACCAGGATAAGGATGCTAATAACCCAAAAAGTGAAGTAAAGAATAACGTAGCGTTAAACGCGGTGCTTCGACCCATGAGGTCGGAACCTGCAAAGGGGGTAAGCTGAGCGATGCACAAAAGGCAGGTTCCACGTACAGGTCCCCCAACCCACTGCGCCGAACATCATGCCACAGAATAATGAGGAGGACACGGCCCCGATGTACCTACCCGGTACTGAAAAATATAGTTGTAAAAAGCAATGCAGTATGCTGGGTAGTACACACCGGCATAATGAACCTGCACGCGAGGTAGGATGATGGCCACTGCTTGAATCCACATCTGAACATCCTGTCAAGAAGGAAGAGTTTGGTGCAAATGCATACTGACATTGTCGGCCATCCAACCTAGGGAACACTGTCAGACTCGACGATGAGACAATAAATACTAGGCAGACTGACCGAAACCGCACAGTGATAGGAGCGTCCACTGATAGCTGCCCATACCAATCCTGTCTATCGTTTTGTCCAGCTGCAGGGGCGTGAAGAAAAAGAGATCGCCAAAAGTGGGCAACGCACCGGAGTCCGCTCATCGTCTAGGTCGTCGCCATCATCGATGAGCTGCTGCTGCTCGACGTCGTCATCGTCGACGAAATAAGAGTCCATTTCATCTGACCAAAGCAGAGAGACACGCGGGGTTACACTGCCCATTTTGGAACCCCTCTGTCAGCAAGCGAGATATCGCAATTCAGTAATCACAATTCGCAATTTGTCACTCTTCAGTATAGTAGCTGTAGTCGAGCCCTGAGGATATTAGTGTCAAGTGAGCGCTAGTGTCTCCGACATCGACGTCAATGGCGAGCAGGTCGTGGGAATCCGTCGTCGACTGGCTAACGGACCGAAAACCCGCAGCCCGACGATGAAACAATTTATACATTGACGGCGTCGACTCGTCTCCTCTGCACAACTGTGGGCTACGACGAGGTACGCGGCTCTCTGTCAGTTTGCTCAGTGTTTTGCCAACGTCGAGGCAGCTGTCGATGACGAACAGGCGACTCCGAACATCTGTCAGCGCCACGTAAAACCCGGAGCATCACTGACTTGCTTACATGGCAGATTACTACCCATGGCGCCACAAAAAGTCTTTTCTTGACATATTTCCACGGCGTCCCATCGAGTCAAACTTCAAACCTTGATTTTCTGCGTGAGGGAAGGCTAGGTCCAAAATCTGGCTGACCAGCTCAATGTGGAACTTCCCACCGTAAGTCATCACTAATGGTAGGCATCTATTGCGATTTTATGCTACCCATTCGCAGAGACGTCGAACATCCGGCGATTAACAGCTGGGTATGGCTCCATTCGAACGTAGTGTGCATTCCACACAGCATCCGTACGGACTTTATCCATGCGGCTGGCGATGCTAAAACCTGAAACACTTAGAAATGAATGCATGGTGGCGGGTGGGCCTCCTTCGGGGTAAACCCTACTGTATCCTACCTATCCACGGCTGACTTATTCGCCTTAGCTGTAGACGATGCGATGCCCAATAAGTAGTTAGACAATGCATTTTGAAGACTTTCTAAATGTTGTCACGGCTTGCTGTACACGTCTGGCCAAAGCTCATGTAGACATAAACAGGATTGGTTCCCATCTTGTGCGAATTCAAAGGGCTGAAGAAGCTGGTGCCAGCTTGCAAAAAAGTCGGATGACATCCTTCGATGCGGAGTATCATATGCATGGATCCGCGCGGCGATGAGATACGAAAATTCGTCGACACGGAGAGAAGCCAAGCTCATGAACGCGTTGTTCGTATGGTCTTCGAGTCTTGCGATCAAATCGAAGTAGTGGTGGTTGGATTCCTTTCTAATGCCACCATAATCTGGGGAATGAAAGATAGTGTCTTGGATATTGTTTGATCTGCAGAAGAGCAACGAAAGATGGCGGCGAAGATCTGATCATCGAGTGCTTCGTTGGCTGAAGATCGAATTCTCTACTCATATATGAGAATTAAAATTTAAGTTTGCGTTGTGTTTCGAGATCATTAAATGCTGAGCTCGTTCCAGATATCCATGTCAGTGTCGAAACCCACAGATTTGAAGAAGCAGCATGCTTTCGGGTCGTCGCCAGTTCCGTGGCGGGAAGGCAAATTGTGTACTCAGTACACGATTAATGGAGGCAGACAAATGGAAGGCTTAATATGACAAGGGACCAATGCAAGGACCAATGATGTTATGACTGCAATAAGTACGTGCTCAAGATAATTGAGTAAGGCTTGAGCCCCTTCTCATGATACGTAAGATTCACTCATTCCTTGTCATGTTGCCACTGACTCATTGGCAACACGACACTTACTTCATTTAAAGCAATTTAAAGCCACTCCAAGCAGAATCAATAGCTAGTTGAACTGAAACCTGAGAGCTAACTCCGGACCTGGAGGATTAGTAATAGAAGTAAAAGAACAGGTACATTAGTAAATGTCCGCAACCTTCTGCCATTGCTCCTCACACCATTGAACATCTTGAATTTGTCTCCCAAGACCTCTGCTAACAACCGCCTTTGATCGATGTCCGAGAACCAGGGCATCAAGACTGACGCAAGCACCAAAGACTATGTCTGCAACACGCCTGTTCGCCGCCTCCTCCTGCTCTTGCGACATTCTGAGAATTTCGTCGCCGCCAGGTCCCATGTATGCATTTCCACGTCTCGGAGGATTGAAACCTACATCCGGGCAGGAAGCATCCACTAGCGCAAGTACTTTCAGTTTCTTGAACTGACTCAGAATACGAATAAGAGCCTGATAAAATATCCACCATAAGGGGGGTTCTGGTAGCGGTGACGGGATGATAGGCAAACCCGCAAACCATCTCTGACGTGACCGCCGTCCAAGGTCAGGGTCCCATTGGAAGACATTGCGTCATATACAGCTGAAGAACATAATGTAAACCAGAGATAATGGGGGAGAAGAGCTCCCCTGCTCACCCTGCAACAGATCGACTGACCACCATTCATTCATCTCAAAGTGCTGCAGCATTTTTGCCCTACCCACTGCAGCAATAAGCCTGAATGAATGCTCTCTGGAAGCAACACCACAGTTCGAATAAGTCACTCCTGGCCATAGGTCGCCACACGTTCAACATTGGGACAAAGAGGGACCATAAAGTCAGAATAAGCGCCGACCATGAGAGAGATGACTGTAGGGAGCTCGATGCCTGCCTTGCGAAAATTGTCGTCAAAGATCTGGGTCTCTTGTTCATCAATTACGAAGACTAGTGTGTGCAGCTGATGAAAGGGTGCCGACAACAATTCGGCAAGTCGACTGGGTAAGCCGGAGAGCTTCGAATCTTCACTTTGATCATCCGAAATGCGAATATCAAGAAATCTATGCAGTCCGGATGTTAGTGATACCCCAGTCCACCATGATGCACATGAGTAACCTAGTGTTCCCGACAATGACGTCGAAAGCCATCGAAGTAAGCATGATTGCAATGGCGTCTGCAGCTAACTTCCACACATCCTCCCGGTATACGAATTGGATACACACGCGTCGGAGAAGCAGTGGTAGGGACCTCTCTCTTAGCCGTTTATCGACGAGTGAAATTTGTTTTAACTGTACATGATAAGCATATCAAATGTAGTAATGACAATTAATCACACACTTCTTCCTTGCCAGGTATGGCACAGATAACACAAAGTACTACGTCGTCAACGCAGCTGAGGGGCGGCGATATCGTCCTGGTCGTCGTAATACAGTAACGGAGTCTTTAGAGAACAGCCTCGATGCAATGATTCCAACCAGGAGCGAGATACCATCACATGGTTGTCCTTCAGAGACAAGTGATGTGGGAAATCTGCAGGAACATTTGAGCGGTTCCAGGAGAAAGATATACACAAGAATTGAGGTGGAATCGACGTGGAATGAGACAAGGAAGCGTGTGAGGTTAGGCCGACGAACCGGGATTATATAAATTCTAATAGGCCCGCAGGGATTTATCAAGGGTTTTCAGCGCAGGCATGAGCTAAAACATCAAAAATTCAATGATATCGAAAAGGATACAAATTCGACGAAACTGAAAACATAGACACCATTAACGGAGCGGTCACGACCATGTTTAGCTCCAGGACCGGAAGGGATGACGTCACTTCCGTCAACGCGGATCTTCGCGTTTTTCTTCCGTCCATTTTCACTTCGACCGCGATATTCTTTATCCAAACGCGCCGTCCGCTGAATTTTTGACGTGATGGCGTGTTTTAGACATGGTGCTTCCTTTCAGCTTCGCAGGGGTATTCATAAGGTGCCCGAATCAGAAATCCCCTTTTTGCTCTTCGACCTCCTACCCCCGCTATCTCCTGAGCACGGAGACTTTGACAGTCCCCCTGCTCTTGTATTTCTACTACAACTTTTATCTGCAAATGAAAGGCTTTGATAATCTTCTTTATTGCTTTTTAGAATCTTAACGTTCCATCTCATCCTTCCTGTTTTCTCATGCTCACTTTCCCTTCAGATGTTTCTTACACTATCCCAGATATGACCCGTACCTAAGTCGACAAAAGACGTCTTTATCTGAAAGAATGCCTTGGTGGTGGCGCTTTTGGCAGGGTGTATCACGCACTGGACCTCAAGACAATCGCTTGCCCAAAGCATATGTATGCCGTCAAGTGCATGCAAGCCGATGGAAACTATGAATGCTCCAATGGAATTTGTTCTGCAGCACAAAGTCTCCCAACACTCCAATATCGTTGGTCTTCAAGACCTCTTCCGATGAGGGCCGTATCTATTCGGGGTTATGGATTTCTGTCCTGAAGGCGACCTCTAACACTGCGATCCGGAGAGACACATTTTTCGAAGACAATGAACATATCCGGTCAATATTTATTCAAATCCTGGTCGCACATTGTCACGATCTGGGCGTATATCATTGGGATCTCAAGCCAAAGAATATCTTTTGCTCTTCCAATGGATGGAAAGTGTTTCTAGCCGATTTTGGTTTGTCTACGTGGGATGCAATGTCCAACAACTTCATATGTGGGACGCCTGCGTATATGAGCCCTGGTCAGCTAGTATTCCTCGGGGAAATTTCTAGGCATTGGCACTTTTGTGCAGAGATCATCGACAAGTACGATATATACGAACGGCACTCGAGCCGACACTGCGATATATGGTCCCTAGGCTTCATTTTTCCGGTTTGCCTCCTCTTGCTGTCACGAATCTCGACCGAGCTTCAAACATTGCCCAGGGTCAAGGCCACCCCCGTGAACGTTACTCGCTGGCAGAGTCGAGGTCCATATCTTGACGCAGGACACATAGAAGGGATATTAACAACTCGGACGACACTCCAACACTCATAAAAGTTGAGAACCAGCTGTAATGAAGGATCATGTCTTCCACAACTAGGAACGAGCGGACAACACGTATTGCAGCAGCAGCCAACAGGTTCTCTTTCCACCTTGGGTCCATTGAGAAAACAGAAGTACGGAAATACCTGCGGTGAGCCAATCAGACTCGCGGCGTACACACGCGTTCATTTTCGTAATGCAGTAACATTAGTCCTGGGAAATAAACGAGCGACACAGAGAATACTGATCGATGCCGCACAGGAGGGACACAGACCACGACATTCGCACAAGGATAGGTCAGGCCTGAAAAATAAACCCCAGATTTCCAGGATTGATCTATATGCATTTATCTTCTTGAATCCTCTGGACGATAAGCATTCCCCTTCTGGCTTCAACATGTGGTCGGTTGGGTCTTCCATGCGAAACGTGCTTCCGTCATGGAGCCACTGATTGATGCTGATAGGCTCTGTGGCCTCTTCACCATCGACTGGGCATTTTCTTCGCCCAAACACTTCCCTTCAGGGTGTAGGCCATGTTGCCATGCACACGAATTGGAGAAAGGTATCTTGACATGTCACAATGGCGCTGCAGCAACTCCCGAACCGCTTGAAATTCGGAGGTCATGACGTCACAAGTCAAATGAGCTCCTTGCGGAACGTTGCGAGTGGAAGGCGATGATATAATATTATTACCTCGCCTTCTGGGTCCCTACCATCTCGCCCTTCATCCACGTCACCTTCTCACAGCAGCGATTGACAACCTCATGGCAGCAGCTCCACCTACATCTTCCTACCACATTCCGAACCTGTACAACCTCCATGGCCTAGTCGCCGTGGTCACAGGTGGTGGAACGGGTATCGGTAAGGCGTACCACTGCGCTCCGTACATCTTTCAGCTCATCTGTAGCGCCTAGGACTGATGATCGCGCGTGGTCTGGCCGAGAATGGTGCGCGAGTGTATATCACAGGACGACGGAGAGAAGTTCTTGAAAGGGTGGTGAACAGTGGGGCTATCAAGGGTGAAGTCGTCGCGTACGTCCACGCTGGTTCCTTCTTTAGGGTACCACTGATGGGAGAGGTGCCTTAGGCTTCCCATGGATGTGACGAGTAAGCCAAGCATCCTAGAGGCAAAGAAGACGCTGCAAGAGAAGGAAGGCAAGATCCATGTCCTTGTCAACAACGCAGGCCAAGTCGGACCCATATCGTCGTGGTTCAACGATCTCTCTTCACCTAATCACAAAGATGCCGAGACACTTGGACAGGCATTATTCGACGAGTCAGAACAAGGCTGGGCCGACCTCTATGCCATCAACGTCTACCCTCTTTTCTTTGTGACGATGGCTTTCCTCGGATTACTCGACAATGGCGCCAAGGATCCACAAAAACCTGGGTACACATCCAGTGTGATCAATATTACAAGTATGAGCTCCATGATGAAGCAAGCACAAGAGCATTTCGCGTACAATGCTGCCAAAGCTGCAGCATCACACTTGACGCGCATGATGGCAACAGAATTTGCCCTCAAGCACGTCCCAGTGCGGGTCAACGCTATCGCGCCTGGGATGTACGAGAGCGAGATGACTAAAGACGTGATCTCGCCGGAAGAGCTCGATAAAATGGCCAAAGGAGTAGTGCCTATTCCTGCAAAGAGACCTGGAACGTAAGCATGCAATCTTATGGAGGTTAGAGACTCACTGTTTCTGATTAATGACAGCGGTGAAGAGATGGCCGGAACTGTGGTGTACCTTGCGTCACCATCAGGCTGTTATGCAAACGGCCAGGAGATCGTAATCGATGGGGGTTGCCTCGCCGTGAATCCTTGAAGCTGAGTTGAAGAAGCTATGAGAAGAAGATGGAATATACCATTCAATATAGACCCGCCGTAGACACGTCGTATCGTGCGTGAACTGCAAGTTTTCTTAGCAAAATTGAGATTATGAGGTATAGGCTCATACATATTTCACATCTTGTGTATTATTATCCGCGGATGTAATACTCATATGTATCGTCATATGGCTCATACGGATCGTCTCCCTCGCTTTCAGAGAAAGTTTGAAAATCTAGAAGATTCATCATCAGACTGAAAAATTAGAAATATAATTCACGTACTGAGGTGAAGCAAGTTTTTGCAATGGAGGTTTGGAAGTGCAGCCTGTATTTCGTTGGTAAAACGGGACACAGCCTCGTCCCAATACTCCTCATGCGTTGCGAGGAACACAACGCGCACTCGAACGTGGCAGTCTGTGCTTGAAATTGAGTTCAAAGTAAGCCAGTCCGTAGTATTTCTAGATCGGTTTCTCTGGACACGATACACCCAGAAGTGAACAGTGAGCTCTTCCAACGCATGCAATTCTCCCTCAATGACATCCTGCACAAAGGACATAAACACGGAAGGGACAAAATTACGCTTGGCAAAGTAGCTGCTTGGGTGCCTTCATACGACAGCACCGTGAGCCGCCGAATTTGCTCAATATCAATGCGAGAATTGTCACTTAAAAGCCACTGCGTAAAGTGTTGCAGGAGGGCAGCGTTCAAATCAACGTGAAGAGAAATCAGGCAAAGGCGCCCTCTGTCGTGTCGCTTGGCGGGCATAACAGCGTCGAATGTTTTAATAGTGATGATCGAGAGATTGAGCTTGCGAACAGCGACAAGATCAGAGAGAAGATTTAAAAAATTGGAATAGAGATCGAATGTCATCCAAGATAGGTGGACATTAGTGAGGAAGGCGGTGCGAAGTGTTGACTTGTACGCTTCGGCGACGGATACCCCAATAGTCTGTCTGGTCCCACGTGATCATGCGTAAATTTGAATGAAAATACCTTCAAGGTCGTCAAGACTTCGGGAAATGCTGTTTCCATTTCACGGTGTCTCGAGGGTTGTACCCATTTTATCCAGCCATCTGGAAAAGCATACAACTTGATGATTGATTTTTACGAAGGCACCTAAGTGGGGAGACATGCGAAGGAGATCTCTGAATTTATGAAGGTCACCTCGGATGTGATCAGGTGTGCAAAAGCGCTGTTGGTGGAATATGTTCTCCTGTGCATGTTCTGTCCAAGCCCGGCATACCAAGAAGCAAGCACGAAGAGAAGGAATGTCATTCGAAAGGCGGTCAATGATGGCATTGAGCAGCTCTTGGGATAACTGTGGGAGTTCGTCCGTAGGACTCGAGCTCGGCGTTTGAGTAAGGAGATGGTAGTTACAGGTTGAACGAGTTCCGGCACGGTTCACACAGTCTCTTATTATTACATGATTTAATTATTTTTTTACATAAAAAAAACAAAATTCATTACTCGACGAAGCCCACGAAGGACTACTGGCCAGACACTGACAGTGATATCGATTGACCTGGCCTGTTAAATAATTCACGTGAACTCGTTCCTCGGATGCGTGATCTTGTGTTTCGTTCTTGTGGCCCAGTGCGAAAGGTAATGTTTCAGTATCTAGCTTATTCAATGTTCATTGATATATAATATAGGCCCGGGTCCTTATTGATTATATTTTCAGTCATTAAAGCTGGTCACAACTTCGTTTACTACGTCCCATCTTCCAGGATTCTGGGTCACCGGCATTGCTGAAAATGACTTTCTGCCCTAACCTCCAAATGACGATTTTGTGTTGGATCTTTCGCTTAGATGAATGACTCCAAGATAGCTTCTGTCACTATTAGAAACGACTCCAAGGATAAGTGTTCCAAAGATGTGTCAGTGGAACACCGCCACCCAACCTGTCATCAGTCAAAATCACCATCGAAAGTATCAATGCACTGCCTGTTTGAAGTTCCAGTACTTGAACCTCGATCAAGGCATCTTTATCTTCTCTTCAAAATGTCTCGCATTGTACGTACCGGACTGTACTGTACGTTCCATTTTTCGGCACGTAACGACGAAATAACACGCTTTCTACTAGCAACAATGCCGTCATTGTGTCACTGTCTGTACTACAGACTGGGATCGCTTGAAACGGCGCAATTTTCCATAGGGATACGAATTGAAGACCATAGGTGACACAGAGTACGTTCGGTCTTCTTTCAGTGCGAAAGATAGGCTCATTTTCTTGTGGCTATCTTCGAGAGCTTTACAGCTTTTTTTCGCTGTTGTCACGGAGTGTGGTCGTGCATTCTGTACGCCTTTGATGGAATTCTCTGGGGGCACTCATTATCAGCAGCTAATACATTCCCTCAGGCTCCGTAACAGCACCAAACCGCACTCGAGACACTTTCTCGCCCAATTTATAACATACATATATTTTTTCGGCCTATTGACGATCATATGGCTTGGTGAGTTTTCTCATGTTATGTCAATGCACCGCTCTTACCTTATATCCAGCGCTGGCATCGGTGCTGTCCCCTCAGTTTCCGTATAACTGCGACTACAGAATCATCCACCACCGGATAGTCTTGAGGACAAATGGTGCTCTCTCAGTGCAATATCAGTGACGTTAACCTGCATGATATGCGTATTCTGTACGACATACTTAGTGCTCCGATCATCGAAGAGGACAGCGTCGGTGCTGGATAACGTTGCCATACATGATACTCAGGACAAGAGAGACAGACCACGCCGCACACCTTTCTCGAAACTGCGAAAATTCGGGTGCATCTGTATTGTAAGCGTATTGAGTATCAGTCGGCTGTCTTCCATACCGATTGTACCTGACCCGCGTGGATCCTTGTCATTGCATTCATGCAAATGGGATGGGGGATCTTCGCAGCGGTATCGAACCGTGATGTTGGGCATTACCCTCTGTTCAAAGTCCGTGATATACTCACTGCTGGGGCCAGTTCCTTTTCGGCATGGAAACGGACATTCTGAAAATGTTGTGACTTTCAATCACCTTTATATGCTGGGATAAGGAAAACACGATGAAAGACTTGCTATTTTTAGCACTTTTTATATGCCAAAAACAAACTCTTTTCTGCAAATCAAAAGTGGTTTCCTTTGTTCTGGCAGTGGGAGATGCCTCTTTCAATTCAATTTTCCCTGCTGTTTTCCTTTACAGAAAAGAATATGGAAATGATCTCATTTATCATCTCATTCTACTGAACTCATTTTTACTATTGCAAAATTGAATGAAAAGTTGCAAATTTTTCAGGTCCTATTTTTCTGCTGAGAAAATGTACCGGTCCCAGCAGTGATTATATTACTTCTCTGCTGCATATGCCATGACTATCTTGCCACTGTTTTTGGTTCACGGGGTTTGTCGCCCTTGTCAATTGGATATGGGCTAATGTCTTGTGCATCACTCAATACCTCCTTGCCTATCATCGTTTGGTCCTGACTCGCTTATGCCTTAGGCTCTCATACAACTACCGCCCTGATTCAAGACACGCGCTCACAAGCACCAAAGCTCACCTCGTATCATATGCCACCCTCTCGTCGTATGGCTAGGTATGCAGTTGACTGGATGTAGCCTAATTACGCGGTTAATCTTCGGTCGATGGTAGTCCTGTCAATATGTCTGACAGAACCGCTACCTCACCAGTGCGACTTTATCGTTAAGTACGAGGGCCGGCCGACACTACTATTGTTAAATTTATTCACTTCAGTCTAGAAAATCTATTATACAATTCCAAAAACCGGATCCGCTGCGACTCTTAATATAAGAACTTAAATCAAACCTTTAATAATATCCGCCGCTACGAAGGAATTCAGTAGAAAGTCGACTCAGCTGCAAATAAAACTCACCCTGCTCAGCAATTCCATATGCGAGTGCTGGGTGAAGCAACTTAATTATGAAAGGAGAGGAAACAATATATCGCTTACATTGGGTATGTGCAGCGACTTGCATGGGTGAAATGGAGAGATCCACAACACGAAGATTGGTGGTACCATACACCTTTAGTATTTCAACTGTAAACACATCAACATACAGTAGACGAGTTGGAAGATACCTTGAGTTTGGAGTCTACGACCCCACCCTTGTCCCTCGGAAGCATCGAGGCAGTTCCGATCGTGTCTGTAGTTAAGTTTATAAGTTCACTTTTAAGCTACTAGGTATTCTGACATACGCCAAGTTGAGGACAGAACCTGCTTGATCCAAGCTAGAATAACGCAATGAGAAGATATACATTCATGCAGGATGTCATGTCTTTTACCGCCAATCTCTTCGTCGGTCTGGACATTCGGACCTGGGTTGACTTCCACCGGCTCGTCATCTGATATGCGCAGAAATGAGTGAAGAACCCAAGTGAAAGATACCTGAGAATTTCGTACCGAGGACATCTTTGAATGGGGCTGTTCGGCAAGCCTTCCGTGCAAATTTTACAGTTTCGATTAGGGCTTCAATATCTGAGAAGGTGACTTGAATAGCGATCAGTATACAGCAACTGTACTCCTTACCAATTGTATCTCCAAAGTAACAGGGATCATATGCGGGATGCACCAAGGGATCACTGGAGGTGATATGCTATTATATATTCAGGTGCAAATATGCGAGATTTTTCAGGGAAGAGCATACCGCCGTTCCCCTCGAGAACAGACTATTATTCATGCAAAAAATGGTGAAATGTTTTTTTCCTGGTCTAGGGGGATCTGAAGAAGGGCATTGAGCGGAGCACTGGCAACTGTCAGAGGATCTTTACTTGGGCCTGAAAGGAACCCGGGCAAAGTCGTGATCTCACAATCCAAGGCGTTTCTTCCGACCTTCTGAAACTGCATTTTGAGGGTTTCCGCAGCTCCAGAAGAATACTTTCCTTGAGCGATCTTCTCCTTGATGGTATTAATGCTCGTCGAATATATGGTATGGGAGCGGGGAGACAGTGCATTTAGGGGCAGGAAGGCGAAGTTGACGATGCCCATACTGAAGACTCCTTCACCGTGGGCGCTACAATAGATGGATGATAAGGCGCAGCAGAAGTCAAAGGTGTGATATGAACAGACTGAAGATCAATGTGCTTCTGGCGTTCATCCTCATCGTCAAGAACGTCGAGAGTGTCATCTGCTACTCCATCCTTCAATTCTGAGATACGATGTCAACAACTTGAAGCGACAAGGCATGATCAAAGACTGACCGTAGCTCAGCGACACAAACACATGCTCTTGCACATTCTCCCCCACAGGAAGATCAAGCCTCTGAATGATGCCAGCTTGTTTCAATACATCGGGACGTCCGATTCCGGAGAGCTCCAAAAGATGAGGGGTCTTTAGCGCTCTGAACCATGATTACTTCACAAGTTTACGATGAATAACGCAACCCACCCAGCACATAGAATCACTTCCTTGTCCGCGCGCACCACATAGGACTTGTCTTCATGAACAAACTCAACTCCAGTAGCAGTCAGATCTCCTTCTGCATCAGAAAAGACCACTTTGGTGGCATATGCGGATAGCAGAATGGATAGATTCGGGCGGTCCGAGTTTCGCAGATAGAAGTTCTGTCACTTAAGTTCGAGTCAACTTCTTCAGTGAAAGAAGTATATTATACCGTTGAGTAAGAACGCGAATGAGACGAGGGATCTAACGTATTCGCTGCGAAGAAAGTACCGTGGGGCTGTAAGGAGTCAGAATAAAGAGAAAAGGTACACAGATACTGATCTACTCACATCTCCATCGAGCTAGAACATTTGCATATTATCAGTGACTGACTCCTCAATCAATATTTCACAAACCGGTAACGGGGCATTCGGCACACCCAAATTCACTAAAGCCTTCGAAAACTTCCTATCAGTATACCATTGCAACTGACAGCGACTGAAGAGACCTCGTGAAAACGAATATCTACATCCGGGAGAGTACGTGGAAAAGATACTTGGAGGGGACCTTAAATAGTTAGTCGTGATTAGCATCAGCTTCCTGTGCGGTTGCTAAGAAAGCTACCGTTCTTCGGTAAATTCCAAGTTTCCAGACTACCTCGCCGTTCAAGCTGTGCTGAGGAGCCGCTTGGCGGAGTGATACTGAGGAAATGTATCTGTGAGAGAATGTTGACTTGATAAAAAGGAGGGAGCTTACAAGATTGCCTTTGAAAGATATTTGCTGAAGTTTTGCCAGTTCCAGCCGGCATTGCCGAGCCTCTCCCAGTCTGTTCACTGAGATCAAGCGCGTGATGATGGTGACGATGATAGGAGACGGCATACCATCTATGTCCCCTTTCGCGGGATTCGTCCAAACAGAGAAGTTGATTGCAGAGCTTCCCCCCAGAATTTTCCCTCTTATCAGCGACGGTAAGCCATAGGAGTCGGTTCAAGAAAATATTATACTTGCCTCTCCCATCCAATCTGCCTTTCCGCAACATTCTCCTGAGGGACCTGATTGCGAACATTGAGGTTGCTACCCGTCTGTATGGCAAGCTGCGACGGCACTTACAGTCTTAAAAGTCCAAGCATAAGCATCCTGACCGAGATGAGCGCCATACTGTACGGGACGCGCTGTAGGATGAACTTAAACAATACTCGAGTACCACGAATTCAGACTTCAAAGCTCACATATCAACTGGTCTTCTGGATTGAAGCTACCAGCTTCAAGAACAAGGACAGATACCGAAGGATCTTCTGAAAGCCTTGCTGCGAGGGTCAAACCTGCTGTCTATGGTCCGTTGGTAAAAGGGTGTGCGATTGAGAACATGAAGAAGGTTATACCCCACCGCCTACAATGACCATAAGGCAAATAAGGCTTGGATTCGACAGTTGGTTGGAAAATACTCGCCGACAAGCACATAGCTGTAGGATTGAGACACATCATCGTCCATAGAGATGATCGGCATAGTTTACAGAGTCGAAGTCACGTCGCGGATAGAGCCTCATATAGGGATAGCCTGCCACACAACGTGACGAGTTTCTTTGGCACCACGGAAGTGCATTCGATAGGAAAGAGAACCTTCCCGCGCCCCTTTCGCCAATTCATCCACATGGGCAGTCTACGAATTCTACATCAAACGATCCTGCAATTGCATCAGATGAATCAGAAAAGCCGTGATGCGACAGGAGGGTTGCAAGATGACACCGTGGGTCATTCCAATGAAAGGTAATTCACAGGTAACCTGTCTAATTTTAACTAATAAGATTAGAGATTCTCTGCTGAATTTCTGAGACGCCGCTTTGACCTTGCAATTGCGGAAATGGCATGGGTGTCATCGAATTCCCACGCTCACACGATTTCTTCAACTCCGACTCCGAGTCGACCGCCAATCTTCCTTCTATCATTTCAAGTCCTACATTCGGCCAGCATGTTCTACACTTTTACTCCTCAAAAGCAACGTGATCTAAAAGCCCAGTATGAACTAGTATTCAAGTTTATTTCTTTCCTTCCTTACTGACTCCCCAAATTGTCGCAGTTCCATGCTTTGTGGATCGACAAGCAAAAAATACAAATCTCCACATGTATCTATTACGAGAGCATATAGATCGGAATGTCATCTGAACCTTCGGGTGCACACTGCACAGTTGATAGGGGTCTAGCGGTCCTTCTGCATCTCTAACGCCGTAGGATGCACAAGTCTCTTCCACAGCCTGCCGAAGGCAGAGGACACTTTTTCAAGCTCATTTGATGCGATCGTGCTGCGAAGTGTGCTTGTACGCGTCAAAAATGGAGGTCAAAAAGATGGCGCGGCGACCCTGGATGACGGACCAAGGTTTTAAGGTTCAGGTTCATTTGCTACCAGTCGACATGGAAATTTATCGCCGTAGACCATGTAGTTCCCCGAAGGGTGATTTCCGAGTGGAATATGTCAAGCTGTCTTGACGAAGTTTTTTTCCAATTGCCTCGAATTAACCTCTCCTTCTTCCCCCCATCAAGGGAATATGTCGGACTCCTCTGAAATTCTCGCCAATGTCGAGGTGTTGTGAGTACTCAACTGATAACGGTTTTCTCTCACTTGCTCATCCCAACTTAACTAGAACCGCCGCCTTGGTAGGTACCAGAGATTGAGAGGCTTGTACATGTCGCCTCACTTCATTCTGCAGTTTTTCGGCAACCTTTTCAATTGGGGACTCTTCGGATGTCTGGTGGTCCAAATCTGTACGTCTTTTAGAGCTGTTGCGCGCGCCACCTTTCTGACGTTTTGAGCCAGACTTTTACTATTTGAATTACTCGACAGACGGACCTGCAGTTCGGGGCGTCGTCGCGTTCGCGCTTGTTCTCGAGATTGTTCAGACAATATTAGTGACCCATGATGCTTTCATAACGTTCTGTTCACAATGGGGCACACCGAGCGCACTTCTACAGGTCGGTTACATCTGGCTCACCCTACCGATATTTGGGTCTTTGAGTGGGTGAAATTCTACGGCCTTCATGAATTCCTGATCATTTATCCTCTTTAGTGAGCTTCATCGCGCAATCATTCTACGCATGGCGGCTCCACCTTTTAGCTAAAACACGTTGGCTTCCTGCGATTATCATCCTGGTAAGCTGATTGTATATATAGGTACCGGTGTACCTACTATTCTGCAGATCTCCCTCACACAATTGATTGCTGGTATTGTAACGGGAGCAATTGTGATAGGCATAAATGACGTGAGGGACTGTGCGTGTTGTCTTCTTCGATATGGCCATATCATTAACTTCTGAGTATTGACAGTACACAAGTCATTCAAAGCCGCATCAGTACGATTGAACTGAAAATTAATGGACATCAACTCACCGCTTGGACTTATAGGTCTGGCTCGCAGGAACTGCATTATGCGATATCATCATCGCAATGTCCATGGTGATCTTCCTAACAAGATCTAAGACTGGGTTCCACCGGACAGATGTACTCCTAACACGGATCATAGTCGTCACCATAGAAACTGGCTTTGCCTCTGCAATAGTAGCCTTGGTAGACATGATATTGTTCCTCACGTTCCGGGACGAAAATTGGCATCTCTGCACAGCGATGATGCTATCGAAGCTCTATGCAAACAGTCTGCTTGTGGTGAGGACAGTGATATCCCGGTAGTCAATATAATGACATATATCTATTCATGCAGGTTCTCAATTCGAGGAAACGCATAATTACTCAAGCATTTAGTGAATCAGACGAATTTTATTCCATGGGACGTCTGGCATCATCAAACAGGGTTGCAAATAGACCACACACTATCAACATCTCGGTATCTCGAGAGGTCCATGGCGATTCCGAAGCCATTCATGTTCCAATGACTGGCTGTGATATAAAGGACATAGAGACAGTCGATTCTTCCAAGCAGGTTTGAGCCTGTACGTATGTCCTAGAAATATAGTAATGTGACGATGCTGGATTATCGCTCGCACACGTATATTATCGTTCCTCATCTTAATATATTGTGAGCAACCTGGCAGTCAATGACGCACATAGCTATAATTGTCAAACATTCCAAATATCGGTTCTGTATTAGGCGTCGAAGAAATTCGTTTGCCAACGATCGATATCACCGCCCAAGAATTTTAACGCCAACCTCGTCTTGACTGTCTAATTCACAATATTACATTTGAGGTCTGTCAAAGGATGTCTGCCATAGCACATACCAGATACTATGAGAATCACCATGGCGGAAACGGCATCGCCCAACTTGAACTTCAAGTTGGGGGTCTCCGTCACAAAAGTCACCCTGCTGTGTCTCAATGAAAAATTCAGTTCCAGCCCTTGACTCAACAGCCTAGAAAGTTCATCATGCCACAGGTCTAGTAATATTCCCGTAGCTTCCCACACCGACTTAATCATTGATGCTATCTTTGGCCGTAACGACACCATCAGGCTTCTACAGCTTCAGCTCTGAAGCACCGTTCCCTGTCGCGAATGACCCTTTCGGACTGATGGCCATGAAATGTACGGTGCTCGATCCTGCATCAGAATCCATAGAACCTGCGGAAAAGTCTGAATCGAAGGCTTAACGGCCAGCCCAGCGGAGAGAAGGTCTGCATCAAGATGAGAAGTGGTAAGATGACAGTAAGCATTGTCTTTTGGTTTACAATGAAGACGACACGACCTTTTTATGTATATCTACATTCCAGCTGTATTGTCGACTCGTTATCTCCTAACGACGAGCCAAAATTCTATAGCCCAAGGCGGCAGCCATAGTTGTGAATACAATGTCGCTGATCGTTACAATCTCACTGATGGGAGGTGAAGGGAAACCCCACTTCTGTTGTGTAGCTGTTATCCTGGATAAATAAAATTAAAGTACACATTGTTTAATAATTATCTGAAAATACATAGATTCAACCCTTAGGGTGTCATGGTGCTGCACCTCGTCCCACAAGGAACATCTCATCGAGAATTTCATCTTTCTCAGTTCGTTTATATGTTCTTATGGTCTCCCCATAATCTGAAATCTGGTAAACCCGGAATCGACGATCGAACCTGGGCAGACCGACTCAGAATGCACCTCAAATAGGATGAGGTAGCTGCTTACCCTATCTTCCCATAACCCGAATACGACCTGACCGAACGTCAGCATTGCGCCAGACGGCATAGCAAATCGACTACTCACCCTCCACCTCCAAAGCAAAGCCAAATACCATGCACACGCCGACAATTTTCAGTGACTAGCAATAGTTAGAGATCAGAAACATGGGGGATACCCGTAGCAAATAGAGTGGCGTACTATGGCAATGGCCATTCGCCACGACTTTGATTTCATGCTCAGTTCCCTTCGAAACATGTTCACTTTCCAATGCGGTCAGCAATGCTTTTTCAAAGAATCCATCAGTTCCCTTCGCATTTCCGGCCGCTTCTTCTCCATGGATGCCAACATCGAGCGCCTGCCCTGTTCGAGGGTCAGTATCTGCAGGTGTATAGGATTCAGGTCTAATCAAACATGAGAAAGTGACGTCTATGAAAAGACATGTAACATACAAAGGAATGTGGAAAAACATTAGAGCGTTTGGCTTTGCTAACTTGGTGGTTGTAGGAGTCACTTGGTCCTCTTGTCGTTTCGTCCATGAGTCGCCAAAGTCCTTTCCTGTATCAGGTGAAAACGGACGTTCTATTGGCGAGATTGTACCTATAGGAATCGTACTGCATTAGCATAAACAGAGAGGAGACCAGTTAAACTGTTTCACCTGATTCTTTCAAGAACCAATCGATTTGACTCTGCCGTATCCAATCGTATGCCGTGGGCATAAATGCTCCCCAGAAGTTGTAGAACCCATTGGAGTAGGATCCCGAGTCCAAGAAGTATAAGGTCAATAAATGCATCTTAGACCTATAATTATCCATGTCAGCTTTGAGTTAAAGCAAGCGTACCAGAAACCCACGCGTCCGCACTCAGGATTTTGAGAACATAATTCCCGACGCCATGTACATCCTCTGGTCCCCGCTGAACAAGACTATAAGGCAACGCCTTCATCAACTCTATCTGCTCTTCTCTCCCTGCCCCAACTTCACTATCATGGTTTCCAAAAATTGCCGCCCAGGGTATTCCTCTTTCTGTTACAGCCCTAGCAAACTTTGCCAGAACCGATTTTGGATCCCAAGAAGTACCTTGACCATTAAGCTGATCACCACTAAAGACCACAAGGTCAGGCTTCTCCGCATCGATCACCCTTCCCAGCATCGTGGAAGTCAGATTGTCTGAATTCTCGCAAGGGAAGTCGACATCCCGGCATTTCCCTTGGGACACAGAAAAGTGAAGATCAGCCACTTGCAAGATCTTGAAGTTGCCAGAGTGTGAGAAGTGAAGCGGTGGGGCGCGAGGAGGAGGTTTTACACCACGGCGGTACGTCAACCAAGTATCAACGGTCCGCCCGTTGGTAGGTAGCGTGGGGGGCTGCAATATCTCAAAGCCGTACCACGGAATGTCTTCGCCATACAAAACATCAAGCTCAGTTATTATTTGACCGCGTTCTTCCGCAGTCATAGCGCCCGCAGTCTTTCCCACACGATACCACAGGTATATGGGTGCAATCCCAACAACGCCGGCCCGAGCAGAGAGGGAGATCTGATGCCAGCCATCTTCCGAGTTCAACTCTTCGTCTTTGGGGAGTAAGCGGATATCAGTGACGAGGTTTATATCTTGTCGTCGTGTCCGTCTGTAGTACAAGCTCTGTGCCGCACTCAGTAAAGTTAGACAAGTTTATTTAAAATATTGCTCACCAGATATCCAGACCAGTAACCTGCTTCCACATTGAGATTCCTTTCTACACGGACCCAATTGCCTCTGATAGCATCCTTTTCTGGAGTCGTATCAGGAGCACAGAGATCTCCCGCGAACTTGGGATCAATTACACATCGCATAAGAGTAATCTCAGACACTAGGTACGTGTAAGCTGACACAATTATGATCAAGTAGGCAGTACATACGGCCGGTATCGTGAGGCAGTAGCGGTCCCCATACATCCAGAGGGAGACTACCTGAGTCATAAGTTGTATCGCCTTGGGTGACATTCCACCAATCCACACCGTCTGGTTTGTCTTCGTCGGTGCCGGATGCTGGAGTAGTGGTGGAATTTGCAGCGGCCAAGTCGCTCTCCGACATAGTTACAGTGTCCCATGACTGCCAGCCTAGTCTTTGCTTTATACCAGGTCCAGGCGTCGGCTGATAGAGAATGAAAACATAGGTGAGCATAAGAGAGAAGCATATTATAGCCGTTATGGGGCCACATGTCAACCTCAGCGCTCGGAAAAGGCGGTTTAGGACGAAAGCCATGGCGTCTGTGCCACCCTTCGAAAATCCCTTACTTGAACGTCGAGTCTTTCTGGCGAAGATGGAGGTAGGAAAGAAAGAAATTTAAGGGAAGCACTCAGTGCCGCACGGCGTGTCTCTATGTCACGTGGCGAGATTTTCTCCTCGACAGCAACGGTCATCACCGGGTCAAGTCTTCGCCAACACCGCGGTCGGCAACAACATGCTAGGGATAGCATTCCGACGTCTCTACTCGACGGGGCGGGTGACGCCTAAAACAGGCATCGCCATTCAATCGGCAACGGCAACAACTACTGCTCCCTCTGGCCCAAAAAAAGTCAAAGTCAAGCGACCATCGTCAGCTATGCCTGAAGCTGCCCTAGTCGCCCGGACAGCATCTACTCCCATCGCTGTTCGAGCCCGTCGCGAGAAAAAGTCCGGTCGAGTCGTCAAGCGAGGCGAAACCGACGCAACACCCCTTGGACTCACACCGAGCGACCACGCTCGCTACCTCCGTCGCAAAGCACAGGGCTTACTTTCTCACAAGGATGGAGATGAGTCGGAAAGGAAGTGGCATGAGAGACAGAACAAGCAACGGTCGCGGATTCGTGGTATGAGGACGATCACTCGCGACGGGAAGCAAGAAGTCGAGGTCGTTGGGCAGACCATCTACCTTCCTAATGTCATTTTTCGACTTGTACGGAACAATACACCTCCAGGAGAGCCTTACAATCCCTACGAAGCCACCTTCCGCATCCCACCCTCCATCACAAAGACCGACATTCGTTCCTACCTCCTCGCTGTTTACGGCGTGAAGACTACATACATCCGAACCGACATCTATCGCCCTACCATTCCCCGTCGCGGAGCACCACAAACCAAGACATCTTACAAACGGGCCGTAGTTGGGCTTGTAGATCCCTTTTACTACCCTCATCGCCTGGAGGAGATGGAGGAAAAGGCGAAGGAGGAAAGGACAAAGAGGCTGGAGGATGCATTCCAAGTCAGCGAGGGCAAGGAGACACAGAAACTGATGTTCTTGAAGTTAACTCGGGAACTCAGCGCGAACAACAAGATGAAGAATCCGATGGCCATGACGCGGGCTGCCATATTGGCACGGGTATCGGAGCGGAGGAAGTTACGAGAGAGCACTGTCGAAAATGTGGTAGAGGATTGGTGGCAAAAACGGGCAGAAGGACAAGCTATCCAGCTGGAGGATCTCAACGAACCCATCTCACCACCAGCGACACCTTCCTGATGTTTTAATTAATTTTACTTTTTTCTTTCTCGGTCACATGACTCAATGCTAAGGCGCGTATTTAAGTTCTTCCATCAAGTGCAGTAAAGTACCATGTTTACTCTCTCGCTCTATGTCGTTCTCCTCGTTCTCATACATGGATGGGCGGTTGAAGCGTTCAGTGGCATCAGTTGCAAAGCATTTCACATCACGTTCCCTTCCGACTCAGTTTCACGAACTGATTCAAGCTCGCTCTTCAGACCCCTCAGACCTCTGGAAACCTACGACACTGGTGATAATGGACTTGCGATGTATCTCTCGAATCTGAAGGATCTATCAAGACAAAAGATTACACGAACGACAAGATCGGCGAAGGCGCGACAATTAACTCGACAGAACTCTTCATGTGTGTATTAACGCCTTTCTATCAACACGTCTTTGGTCAAACGATCATATTAGGCGTGGAAAATTATCCTTTGAAGTTTCTGCCTCAACCATTCCGGGCGTGGTCATTGCAATCATCCTCAGATAAGAATTCAAGGACCTACCGTCTGTTGAGTCCCCTCATAGTTACTCCTTAGATTCCAAGGATGAAGTCGACGTAGAGCTTCTCGGCGGCGAACCCATCCACTGGTCTACCAACGTCTTTGTTTTCCTTCCAGGAGAGGAAAAACCAATGTACAAGAAGTACGCTTCCGTCGAGGACGTACTGGGTTCCGATGGAAGTATTGCCCAAAGGCATACGTACTTCATAGATTATTACAACCCGAACAAAATTGTGTGGGACATCGATGGGAACATCGTACGGACCCTCACGAAAGGTTAGTCAATTTCACATCCCGCACTGAGATTGTCCATTAGTTTGCTTTTCAGAGCAAGCGGGAGAACGTTATCCCAGATATTATCTTCGCATTCAGTTCGGTATCTAGGATGCTGGTGCATAAGAAGGGACGTCTCAGTGGGCGAAAGGACCTATCAATTGGGACAAGCAACACGAGAAAATAGCGGCATACATTCACAGTATGACACTGGAGTATTGAGTTTGTAGCGCATTCCCTCGTCATAGATGTTTATTTCACTTTGAAGGCTATTTGTGTAGTATGATTTTTACGGTTATACTTTGGTTGTATTATTGTATTCCCCGATGTATCCTCACTCTGATCTGTTAGATATCGACTCTGCTTCACTGTCTCGTGCATTCATATGTACTACCCCTTCTGCTCGTGCCTGCTGCCAACTCGCAGCGGCATCGACATTTGAAGGTACTGTACCATCAAAGCCCAAAATACCATCAACGTAAGGGTAAACGCAAAACTCGAACTATGGAGTCCAAAATCTGATACCCCTCTGAAATAGTAAATGAATGACGTAAAACCAGGAATGCGGAATGCAGCAGAAACACGGCTCAGGCCGTGTCAAACATACGATGTAAAGAAAACAGACTCCAAAAACGTATGAAAGTATATCCTGAAATTACGAACCCGAAGAAATATCCGGCAAACTCGACGGGGAAGCTTCGCCTCCCACTACTGCAGCTCCCCCAACACCGCCGCCATTAAACATGGCCTTCAACGTTAGCTCGTTCCTCTTCTGCCTCACCCGTTCTGCCTCCTCTGCCCCTCCCGTCATCCTCAGCTTCTTCCCACCAACAAAGTCTGTCAATTCAGCACGCAGATCATCCGACTGGCTCTCCAGCTCCTTCGCCCGAATCTTCCGGCTCTCCTCAATAGCCTTCAGCCGCTTCTCTGGATCAACAGCCGCACCACGAATTTCCATCATAACCGTGCTCAATCCGCTATGACCATCTTCCGGCGGCGGTAACTGGAATTGGCGTCCCTTCGGTATCCGCTGTGTGCCCATGCTTACCACCTGCTGTAAATGCCCAAAGAGTTCAGCCAACGCCTTGTGATCCTCGAGGAGGTCATTGAGCAGCTCTTCATTGTGGTTCATGAACTGCTGCTCCTCAACGATGTTCTGGAGCTCCTCCTGCCATGTCTTCTTCCACATCGGCTTAATCGTCATAATGTGCTCCTTGAGACTCTCAAGCTCAGACGCTGCTGCATTCACGTCTTTCTGAACCGTCTTCATATACTGTGGCTTGGGCGTTATATGCCGTTTGAGCACGTCCGCCTTCACGGTGTCAATCGCATCTTGCAGCCTCTCGACTTCGGTCAAGATATTCTGACTCCTAGTGTCTAGATTCTTTTTGCCAGCATCAACGAACGCCCGAGCACCGCCAACGCTCACGTTAGCTAGCTGCTTCACTGATTGTGTCTGGGTGCGCAAAGTTCCCAAGGACTCTTTCGTCTGCTTCATGAACTCAGTATACAACTGTCGCACGACTCCAAGGTCTCGTCGGAGATTTTGCACCTCGTCGAATTGCGTCTTTAAATCAGTCATAACGCGCGTTGAGTATTCCGAAAATACGGAGCTTCCTGTCATCTGTGGCTGTAGGGATTGACCAGTGATTTGGGGCATGATAGAAGGCACGGGAGTGGGAGTATGGGGAGATGAAGGGGAGGAAGCTGAGCCAACGAATCGAGACAGCCGTCTAGCAACATGTTGAAACTGCTTATCAGTGGGACGCGGGGGTGCGGGTGTACTCTCTGCGAGGGGTTGACTAGCAATACTAGGGAACTGTGCGGATTGCCGCTTGTTACTGACGACAGCGGATCGCAGCTCTTTGATATCTTGAGACAAAGTCGAAATTTGAGTATCAATATGCTGCTTGATCTGGTCAAGAGCTGCGAAGAAGAAATGAGTAAAGACATCAAGTACCGTAATAATTCACTCACGTTCGATGTTCAAAGAAAGGAGACATTTTTCTTTCACCTCATCCATATCTTCGAGTTCATATTGCACGCCACTCGAAGGATCACGAATATATATGGCAGGAAAGTTATCGAGACCAGGATTATATGAAAATCGGTCCACGAATAATACCCTAAGCGATGAAAAAGACATGCCAGGCTCTATGGTTGCCTTTTTAACTTCCCTGCCAAGCTGCAAGAAAACAGTGAGCTTGGATGTCTCTGGTTCCTCCTCAGAAGTAAACGCCGTTGCCGGCTTCTTTGTTGAGAAGGGAGCCTCAGGCGGTTCCGGTGTCCGAGCAGGCGTCGACGGCAAAGGCGGCAGGGGAGGAGTTGTTGCATGTCGTTCTGAACCACGAGAAGGAGAACGGAGAGATACAGACGAGCTACCTCCTCCTCGAGTTGGAGGCGGAGAAGAAGTCTCTTCGTCATCTACTTCCGTAAGAACGGCCAATTCTCCTGGCGTAAGGGCAGATGAAACTGCCATGGAACGTCGGTTGGCCTGTCCTCGTACGGATCGCTCTCGTGAGGTAGAACCTGTCATTTTGGATATATTATATGTTGAATACCGTTTTGATGCCCTGCGTTCCAGAGCATCGCTTTGTTTGAGCGCGGCGAGCGAATCCGCCATAGCTGGAGCTTGCGCAGCATCTATTGGTGGAGTTTCTGAGGGTGGAGTCTCTGGCGAGCCATTCCTTTCGTCGAAGGCTTGTTCGGGGCTTGATGGTTCGACAACAAGATTAGGAGCAGGAGGAGGGGACATCATGGGTTTATCAACCAAAGAATAACGTTTCACACTGGACGGGACAGTGGGCTGAGCTGATACAGGAGGTGTTTCTGTGGTAGCAGATGATTCATCATCAAGGGAAGGGTCGGGAGGAGGGGGTTCATTGGGTGGCAGAATGGAAGCAGGTCCCGGTGCTTCATGTGGATTAGGCAACTCCCCAGATATCTCTGGATCAGGGCCAAGTGGAAGCGACGTGACCTGAGGAGAAAAACCTCCCACGAATGAAGAGGTTCCATTAAGTTGTTCACGGGATGACTGACCAAGGCTCCTTCTTCCCGATGACGATCCACTTGTTCGATACTCTCCATTTTCTGCGATAGTTCGCGACAACTGGCTTCGGTGAGAGGGTTCCCGCCGTGCAGTTCGATCGGTACGTGACGACCGACTATCGGTCCTCTCATGGCCAGACTGTTCAGACCTTCGTCGATGGTCAGAGACAATGCGCCGATATATGGACTGCTTTCCCCGCAGACCTTGCAGGAGATGGGTGATGATTTGTCTCACATTCGGGAGGTATATCTCAAGATTCTCGGGTGTAGGATCTTCAGCGAGACATTGCTCTAGAACTGTTCGCAAGTCGTCTGGTACAGATAGAAGCTCGCTGGATATGGTGAATAGACATGGCTAAGATATACAAATCAGCACTCACTTCATGTCGATATTGAACGCGGCGAAGGCTGCCACTGCAGCATTGAAGTCGTTCCCCAACTGAACGTATACATCACTGACATTGATTTCGTCCACTTGCATGAGGCTCCATTGTGTAAGCGCCTCCAACAGCATCTTGATAGACATCAGCAGCCGTGTCACCGCAGACTCTACCGCTGGCTGCAGAAAAATTAGCACGATGAAAGACTAGTCAACTGCAGCACGCTCACATGTGCCCGTGAACTTCCTGTTCGCTCGCTGCGTCCCGAATGGTTTGAGGAAACAGATTGGTTGTCGCGACGCGAGGAGTGGCCTTGGGCGACAGCATTGGACGAGTTAGACCGACTCGATGACATTGTGGAAAGGAAACGTTGGGTGTAGGTGCATGAGGCACGGTAAATGAAAAGAAGCCGAAAGTGGGTCAAGCTTCTGTATCGATCGTGGGAGTCTATTTCCATTAATGGACAAAAACTAGGCCTGCAGCACCGGCCCGACCTCGTGAAGGTTACTTCTGAACTTTGCGGTGGATTCTTCGCCTTTACTCACTTAGTGAAAATTGACGCGCCATTGGGGTCGCAGCAGCGCAAATTGATTTAACGAATGTCACACAAATAAACAGTGCTAGTCGCGTGAGACCCGCTAGCTTTCATTGGCGTGCCAGACGAGACGAAGGGGCGAGAGAATCTGCAGCTCTTGGTCGCCTTCATCCGGTCCGAGTCTCCAGAGAGTATCGGGAAGTGATGTCCAAACTAGGACTCAGCACCCCATGACATTATACCGACATGTCGCTGTGCCCAGGCTACAAGCACGTCAACGCGTTCGGACCAGACGACGAATATGATGACGAAGAAGAGGTATCCTATGTCACCCTCGATCTCGGTCCCTACTTCTCAGCTAAGAGGCAGAGGCGGACGAAGACAGCGTGAGACACTCACTGGATCGAATGACGGGAAAGCAGGCCCCACCTCCGCGAAAGAAGCGAGCGAAGAAAAAGGCGGAAGATATCGCTGAAGGGGAAGGTGGACCAGAGCAGACAAGGAAGAGCGAAAGAAAGGGAAAAGGAAAGAAGGAGCAGGTCGATTCCTATAGGGCTACTGCTACAACGGGCTATTTATCCGTATCGGTTTCTTCACCTATTCATATTTCGTTGCAGCGGGACACTCTGAGTGTTTCCGCACAAGTGACCGGATCGGTACACTGGCTAACAGAGACACGTTACTATGGATGCATAATTTCGAATTCTATAGAGCTAGAATACTTCAACGCCAACCCCCACTGGCTGACTGAACAAACGCCAAACCGCTGACATTTAGCAGCAAGTCCACTAATCCTCTGCCATTCTTTCTTTTCTTTGGTGCAGATGCGATAGCGATTCCGAGACTAGTGCGGACCAGGAATGCAATGCTCTGCACGCCGTAACCTTCATCTGGTAACAAGGCCCACCTCATGTTTCTGCTGAATGAGACATCGCCTTTTTATCCGCAGCATTCTTCTTGACATAGGTCCTCTGATGATATGATATCATTTTCCTCTTTAGCATAAGTCTCAGTTAAGTAAGACTATGGCGCTGGGCATCTATTGTGAGCTAGAATAACTGGCTGTAACATCCAGTCCATATCTGGTCCTCAGGGTGCCAAATTTTTACGAAGAATATGCGCATTCTGTCATTTATCTTCTCCATCATCTTTTTTAATTCCCTTCGCTGTCTACAGACTTCTTCTTGCGAGTCTAGATGCATTCTTTCATGAAACTGAAACACCAACAAGCGGCTGAACCAAATGCTGGAATTTATCATGATGTGATATTGTCGCACACTGAATGTCCGTCCTTCCGCTGCGCAGGGTATGTGAATCCGTTCGGGATCAACCGCTTACAAGAACTAACATGGTAGGGAAGTCGTAAAACCAGTCGCCCAAAAATAGTCAACAAGAACCAGCCGCTATAACACACACTAACTGTGCGTCTCATTGCGCTAGAAAGGCTTCGTTTCATTCATATCTTCGGGATAACTTAGAACCGACGTATAGTCTCGATAAAGATGAGTTCAGCTGTTCGTATTTCCGGCGATAGAACGGGGCCGTAAGCCATCTTAATCCTAGACCAATGGATGTTAGACGAATCAAAGGAAGGAGGCTCCACCCACGCACCAGGGTGGGGCCGTTTAGATGCCATCCATAACCTCCAATTGATAAACTCCAGATCCCCAGGCAGCTCCGATTTGTACCAAGTTTGATGAAACCATAGTGCGTCAGAAACTATTTTCTGAGTGTGCGGCAATAGGGGTGAAAAAGAGTATGCAGTGATATCGACTTCATTCAATGCGTGAGTAAAAGCCTCAGACTGATTGTCATAGTATAAACTCGACGAAAGGTCTGGGTTCGTAATGGAGATATCCACGTCCATTCGTGCGCGACATGCAGCGTGATGAGATTCTGATAGGTACCGACGACAGATAACATGGATGGGAAGACCATGGAGTACCCGTAAATGTGGTCTCTGTCCACTGCCGCTCCAAATGAACTCGCAAGAGATATATCTGATGTCCCGGAAAAGAGCCTTGAAGCCAACGTAATTAGGTAACTGCATGAGAATCTTGCTCACTTCCTTTGCATATCTATCTTGGGCGTTTTTCCGTAGGTCGACGAAGCAAGTGATGGAGAGTGTGAGTCGGGGGATAAAGTCATGGTAGATGATGGATTTTTGGAACTGGGCTATGTCGCATAGGTAGTATATGTATGCGACATTGGTGATGTATATATCCCGAGAAGCGATAGGGGCATAGACAGCTTTCCACATTTGGTTAACCCGGGAGCAAGAGGTCATGAAAGACATCCGGACCGAGGACGGCATTTCGGAGTGCCAGGCGTCATAGATAATGGTTTCCACAAGCTCTGAAGGAAGGGTAGTCATGGTGCAGAAAGGAGAACAAATGGTCTCAGACTGGGAGTATGAAACAGTCTAGGTCTCATTCAACATAGACAAAAGTCACCCGGCCGATTCAGATTATACCGTACGGGGTTGTTTCTGTTTTGCCCCCTGTAACGCGTAATGAAGGCCTTGTTTTCCAGTTTTTTTCGCGTTACGGTATAAAAATTCCTAAAAATAAATAGATATCCTTTGAATCTGAGCAGGGAACACACTGGGGATACATGCTAAACCATTTTTCAGTCAATAAAACATAACATATCAGCGAAACCGTGGAAAATGTGTGCCTACCACAGCTTCAATGGTGCCTCTGTTGATGCCTGTTCAAGCAACGTAACGCATAGCTGTCGTGCGGTTTGCAACTTTATTTGCCACCCGTAACGCTCATATTTGTGCTGTTCCTGTCACTCAGGTACAGTAGACTAGAAGTTAGCGTCAACAATGACCAAAGTTCCATTGTTATCAACATACCGGTATTCACAGAATACTTCTCGAACAATGGAAATAGGTATTGAAGCAGTCTAACCTTCAGGGACAGTATATGCTCGCAATACAGGACGAACACGAGGACTCGTCGAAGGTCCAGAGGCAAGGGAACAATTTGCTGACTTGGCGCTGATCGATTAATTTTTTAAGTTGAAGAAAGGACAACGGAGAATGAGGGCGAGTACGATGGCGTCGTCCTGCCTATAGTACAAAGTGATCAGCGACGAACATCATTTGCGCATACACAGTCCGTCCTATGATACAGAGTGAATCTGAGATTTCGCCCTCTCGATTTTTTCAGAGTCCAGGCCTAAGCGTCTTTACTGCGCCTCCGGTTACCGGTTCCCAGCGTTGCTGGCCGTGCGTAAAATTACCAGTGTCCTGAGATTGGATTAAAGGATAACAACCGCCAATACCCTTGACATACGGACCCTCAGTTTTTGTGACAGATCGTGGAGAGCTCATCGATATACTGACGGAGAAGCATTGTTAGTAGTTTAAACTTGTCTGTGGGGTGCATACCTCGTGTAATGTCTCCTGGCAGTCCTAGCCTTCTGGAGGCGGGAGCATACTTTCTCGACGATTATTATGAGTCCAGGCTCGGAAAATGCCCTTCAGGCGTTGCGACCGATCTTGAATGGCCTTTTGCAAAAAAAAAAAACAATTGAATTAGTTGCGACACCCGATGAGGTGGCTAAGCGCTTTTTGTTGTGAAGAGCCAGTCATGAAATAAGCGGTGAGAATTGATGCTACGTCGGCAGCCGTGGTTGAAGTAAATGGGCACGTCGATCCCAAGTCGTAGGAGTCAAATCCGGCAGTTTCCGCAGGCCATTGATGCGAAGTAGGAGGGCTGGCAATTTCTATACGAACATTGCGGACGTCCAATGTGGGAGGAGTTCAGGACCCACCCTCACAGCGAAGTTCTGGGCCTGGTTAGCAGCTGACAAGGTCACCTAGAAGGAACCGGGCCGTTTTCAACTTGAATCCTATCGTCTCGTAAGCGGAAACAGCACCATGTTCCTGTACTTAATCCTCCAGGAATCAGAACATTCTTCGTGCCGTGGAAGATGATAGGTCTAGCTGACACCCGTTTTCCAATTAGTATCCTCGCCGTCGAGCCTGAGTATAAACGGGCGTTCGGCGTATGACACTCGAGCTCAAACGGGCAGATACACATCATAATCAGGAAATCAGTTCTATGATAAGCGCCACTTGTTCAGGATATAAGACATGCCGGGGCTGCTGTAAAGTGCTGATGATGTGAAGATGCTCTGGAAGAGGTACGAACACTGCACTGGGATCGGCGTTTTCCAAAGGAATTCCTCCTATACCACGCTGTGGGAGCCAACAAGAAGACGAAAGGCTACTAGTACCGTAAGATGGTCCAAACGAAGCAAAGTCCCTTGATTCCGCACAGTACCAAAGGACGAAACCCGATCCGAATCTTCGGATCCCAGCGGCTATGAACGCACAAATGTTCAGTCCCCAGCAACCATCCGATCCCAGCAGGGTTGAACACAGGGTCTCATTACTTGTTTCGATGGTCGATGAGAACACTGGATGGATCCAAAACGGAGTCCGGTGGGCATGATAAGGATCATCTTGGGTGTGCAGAGACCTTGAACCGGAACGGATATCCGAAATGGATGTTCTTCACCAAGGTACGCGAGACATCATTCATAATGATAGCTTACGTGTAAGTAACGGGCCGGCAAAATAAATGAGCAAGTCTGAATGCAGTGTATAACTTTATTGTATACGGACTAGTACATTGTCTGTGTGTATGTGCGAGTGGATGATCAACAGCCCCGTTAATGGAATAAGTGTGAGAGGCGAGAAGCATGTGCATGTTGTACAAAGAAAAGATGGGAATGATGAATGGTAAAAATACAATGCAAGGACGAAGAACGGGTGGCAATGAAGCGAAGAGAAGAAAGTATAAGGCGCTGGAAAAGTATTATGCATAAAATAAAAGGACAATGTTCATTACGATAGAGTAGGTCTGAGGGTGGACGGCGGCCATGAAAGCGAATACAAAAGCGAAAGCAGAGTCCGTAAATACGAAGCACGAAAGGCGCCAAAACCGAAAGATGATATGGGAAGGGAGAGAGGCTCATGCCATAGCGATTTCGATGTAGCTCCGCCATCCCCAGCTGCTACCACTGTTGAAAGACGCTCTGTCCTTCTCACGCGTACTGTCCTCGCGCTCGTTCCGAAGATCAATGAAACTCTTGAGATGCAGCCAGTCAGATCTGCTTCTCTGCGAGCCCTGCGAACGCTCTGAGACGGAAGGCAACATATCAATGGAGCTTTCATCAGAATCCGAAGACTCGTCGTCGTCATCGTCAGAAAGCTCATCATCTCCCTCGTCGTCAGAGAGACTGATAAAGTTCTGCGACATCAAGAGCGACTGCGTACGTTTTCGGTGTCCTTCAAGGGCGGCTAGGGCAGAGGTGCGGCGGAGGGTGCGGTAGCGGGTAGACACGGTAGAAGTGGAGATACTGCGAGCAATGCGAGGGGAGAGTAGTGGCGTCTTGACCGCGAGGGACTTTCGGGATCGGGACGAGGCAGGCGAAGGCAGTTTAGGCCTGGTTATCCGGAGAGGCTTGGTGAAAGAGTCTGGGAGAGTGAAAGAGGAAGAAGCAACGGGGGAATGAGTCGGCACTACCGGCAGCTCGGGGAGTGTAATGGATGGTGCAGGTTTGGGAGACGGCATAGAGCGTAGCCGCGGAGATGCTGAACGAGAGGTAAACGTCGGGGAGTCAGGAAGAGGACTACGGACAGAGCCTGATTAGCCAACGAACAAAAAGAGAAAAAAACAAAAAAACATACGGATGCTGCACCACTACCTCCGACCAGTGATTGTTCGACCCACGCTTTGAACGTGTCTCCGCCAGGTCAAGAGTTAGGAATGAGCGGAACTCATTGATATTACGCCTAGACTGGAGAGAAAAATAGTAGGCTGAAGAGCGGTCGGACGACGACGTGGGGAGGCTGCCTCTGCGGGGCCTGAGCTCATTAAAGTCGATAGGTGAGGCTGGTGAGACTGGCGAGGATAACAGGCCAGAGGTGAAGAAGGGCGAGTACGGCGAGCCTGTACGGAACATCGTCGTCGATGAATGAGAAGGTACCAAATCCTTTAAGAGGGCGTGTTATATAGTCTGCCTCATGGGCAGGGGCCGATAAAGTTTCCGCATCGTTTTTTTCAGAATCTGAAAATTTCGAATTCCCAGGAAGGCAAACAAGATCGGGCGTGGCCGATCCCATCTTGGTTGCTTTATTGTCACATCACGGTGACACTGCTTCGCGGATCCTGTCCGTCGTTGACATCGACAACTTGGAAACATACCCTCGAGTTCCACACACCGTCGGCGCAGATGATGTTCTTGCCCAGTTTTCACCTCAGTTAGGGCTGCCGAGCGAATATTTGTTGAACATTGAACATTACTGAAAGCATCTTCGGGCGCCACAGGCACCGCAATCTCCACTCGTCTTCCAGCGCCTATCATGCTATCCCTCCATCCGTACAAAAATACGATAACAATAACTGGTATGATCCTTTTCTGAGACTGTATTCACCCTTCTAGCCGCTTCGATATCGATATATTAACATCAGCGTCTGTCGAAGCCGTCCTCGATACCCGAGTCAGTCGCTGCGAGCACCGCTCCCGCCTTCTAATTCGTTTGTCATCAAGAGCGTAGTACTCGGCTTCCATGGCAACGACTACAGCTGTAATTGGAACATGGCACTATGTCCACCGATCCGAGTCTCCGACATGTGGATCCACCACGTCCGTCCATCCTCGGTCTGTTTCAGCTTTCAAACTTTTTTACTGCTGTTACTACTACTGGCGCTGAGGTGTCCGCAATCCCACGGCTTCGCGTGCATATGGTGATTTTCACAGTACGTGATGATGATCCAAGAGCCTTTATCTCCCGTCGCCGCCTTCGTCCTGCCTCGTTCCTTTTTACATACCCCATCATCTCGCTGTCTATAGATACCCTTCGCCATCCACATGATCCTGCTCTTCTCAGCCTTTGTCTATTGATCATTTTGCTTCTGCAGTCTAGAATACTGATTCGCATAATGAACGCTTACTCTGCCGATGTCCTTCGCGAGACGAGAATGACTCCTTCGTTCTCGGAGTTCCCACAGTCTGCATCACTCTTCTCACCTTTCTTCTGAATCCGTTTGCCGTGCACATCATACGTTCGACGAACAATGGAAGGGTCGTCCTATGATCACAGTGGGTCCCCATTGTCCTCAATCTGCGGATCAAGTTCCCCTCTGCGTCGATAACCGTTGAAATAATTCACGTCGCAGAGAAAAAGGAAAATGTCAACCAACCGTCCAACTGACTCACCTTGAAGGCAATTAATCGGCGTCCACCACCTATTGTCCGACGTCATCGTAATGCCATTTGCGATCCTCAGAAAAGAACTGAAGAATTCCCGAGTGCCTGACGATGTATGTATGCCAAGGTCAAGGCCGGGGAGCGTTGCGTGGCCCGACCAATGCCGATGACTAAGAGCGGGCGGTAACGCACCCTTTTGCACCGGCGAAGCTTTGGAGCGGGATAAGGCACCGAAGGTCATTGGAGCGCTCGTGCAGGGTCGGTAAAACGATTCATTGTCGGGAGTGTGGGGTTCGCGATTTGTATTTTACTTGGCTGTCTGATTAGGAACATGACTCGAATTTGTCACCTTGCATGCAGGCTTATTATTATGATCCCAACTGTTGCGCGCTGAGGAGTAATTCTAATCAGCCCTAGCAAGTTGCTATGCCATTGTCTACTCGTTGGAGCCGCACTGTCAATTGTTCAAGGCTTATTGTAGCTTATTGTAAGCAATGTCTGCTCGTGACTGTATATAAGTACGTATAGTTGGATGGGTAACACGTCTCCACATCAGTTCTTTCCTTGAAGTACGGGATCTACTAGTTCGTTGTAAGGGTTTCAAAGACAAACAAGTCATAATCCCCGTCGCCATACATACTTACATAGTCGACTTGGAGGCGCGATTCGCCAAGCGCCTCTACCATCGGCGGTTATGTCAGATAAATGTGCTAAATTTTTATCGAAGCCTAGCGAAACGTCGGCCGAGAAAACATGAACTGTCCTCGCTTATCCTCGTTGTTATGTCGAGGCGTGGACCACGGCGATCGTCAGTTCCCCACTTCCCCAAGCGACTCCTAAAAAAATGATACCACGGAAGACCTCTTCGGCTCTAGCTCTTAGACAGCTCGAACAGCTTAATGTATTCTTCCACCTTCTTCCACTGGCGAGTAAACGCCGTCAAACGGCGGGCGGTTGACGGCGCAGCAGTTAGCCAGTCGGATTCTAGTGGCAGCAAGCGCATATGCATGTAAGCTTACTTGACAAAGGTGGCGCCCTGACCATAAACAGTAGTGTTGTCGAACTAGATGGGGCGGGCATTTACTGGCGGATGTCTCAAATAATCGTACGACACGACACGTCTGGAATGCAAAGAAAATGGGTGGCGGGGTTGTCAGGTGTCGCGGCACGAGGCAAAGAGAACTGTTCGTTCCTATTGGACCCAAGGCGGGTTTTGTCGTCAACTGATATCGAGTCAGGGTTGTGCCTGGATTTGGTGGCGGAGAACCGAGGCTAGCATGTGTTACCGGATATTGAAGGGGATGACGGTAAGTAGAACGATGATTTGTGGAGGCCAACGTTCATTCATTCACGAGGTGGGCCGGAGTAGATGGTGATCTTGAAAGGTGAGGAGCTCTCAGTTATTGGTTGGCATATAGGAACGCCGGAACTAACGTTATGAGATGCAACTTCATCTTCCGTTATCGCATCGGATGCAATGTAAACTGAAACTGCAGATGGTACGATGGTCAGAAACGTGATAAGAACAAGGGAAAAGATGTACTCTGAGTATTCAAGCACCATGCCCTGAGGAAACGTCAATCGTTGCGTTACCAAGTAGTAAGTTTAGAGGCATCAAAACAGCCACAGGGCTCACTTAGGCCATGGTCTGTAGAATTAGAGCGGACAGACCGCCGGCTCCGTTAAGACTAGTTCTGAAATCAGGTCTCGACTTCGGCTAGTTGTGCCAGTGATCGATAGGTAGCCCTCGAGGGGAAATAGCAGGCTCGTTGGAAATGTGTTGCCGGAAAATCATGTCATGCCAAAAGAGGACCTAGAGATAAGAAATTATTGTGAGACATGACCCTTGTTCAGTGGTGCGAGGGCTGCGTACATTTCCTCATCAGATACTAAAGGCATGTGTTACTACCCGTAGAGGCCATAGCACCATAAAAATACCAACGGAATACGGAATAGCTCCATCATTCATTCATAGTGGCAGGTTCCCTGGAAAACCCTAGGTCTTGATGATGATGGATTCTTGTCAAGCATAAGTAGGTCTTGTCGATTGCAGGCCGGCGGCGGAGCAGAGATAAGCCCGCGCTGTCATTGCGGTGTGGGCGTTTGACGGTCTCTATTATTTTATGAGGAGAGAGACAAATAGAACGGCAAAGCGGCTGGCGCTTGTTCCGCTTTGGTAAATTCCTTCCCTCATGTAGGCATGCCTCTCGCTGCGCAAAAAGTTGACTCCTTCGCCTCTGTCTCGCAGCCCCTCAGCGCGTCCTCAGACAGCAACTCCAAGACAGTAGTTCGTCTCGCCAAGGAAAACGCGCGACTCAATGCTCTCTTCAAGACGACGCAGACCAAGCTCGATTTGCTGGAACGCTTTGTACGATTTCTAGCGGCGTTTGGTGTGGTTCCAGAGCTCATGGAGAAGGCCGAACAAGCTATGTGGGCTGCCTCGACTCCGATGGCTCCTCAGAGCTTGGTCCCACAGACGAGCTCTTCGTTCGAGTTGGCAGTGGACCGCCAAGGGTATAGGGTCAAGAAGAAGGAGCAGGCTCCGCATCATATCTCGAATTGTGATTACCTTATGCTGGAAGAGCCTCGTGTCGTTGAATCGATTGAAAGACTCTATGGTCAATTTAGCGGGACGGACTTGGGATCATTGGAGGGGAGCAATACGAGTGTTGAATCCACTGGGGTATGCCTTTTCGAAGTCTACGGTGGTTTTAGCTGACGTGGGTAAGATTATGGTCGAGCAGGAGGACCAGACTCCCAAGAAAATCAAAGCACCGCTTACTTTTGTCCCTCGACCGCCTACATTGAAACACAAACCGACGAATTTCCGGCCGGACACGGATTATCCTCCGATCCCTGTAAAGACGAGAACGAGTTCGACTACGCGAGCGACACCCACATCGCAATCAACACCTATGCAAAGAACCGCTCTAGTTCAACGACCATCCAACCAAACAACGCCCATTCAGCGAATTGGGCTCCAAGCGTCAGTCGAGCGACATACTAGCCCCGGCCATTTTTCATCCAACCCAAGCACTCCACTTGCTAAGACCGTGATTGACTGTGCTACACCTTTGCGTCGGCAGAAATCTTCCACTATACCAGTCAAAGGGTCACTATGCAGGCCTATGGTGTCTTCCGCGATGAGATCCGTTTCTGCTGGCCAGACTTCGATGATGCCTCGGTTGTCTTCTCAGAAAAGGCTGTTGGAACCTAGGAAGGAGAAAGAAAACGTAAAGAGGATCGTTGTATCTCACTAGTCTGTATCATGTCACTGTATTCTCCGTGGAATCGAATAAATTACGAGATCACCTTAGCCTAGACTCCGAAAGAGACGGCTTCAGCAACGCGTCGAAGTACGCGACGTGATCACATGATGAAAGGTATATATGATCGTATGCCTCCTTTCGCTTTCTTCTTTCTACTTCCATGTCCTACCCAAGCACAAGATCTATTTCCCCTCCTTCTTCGTCACCACCATCATCCCCCAGCCCATGCATAGACTCGTCGCCGCCATCCTCGCCCGATATCATTGCCTTTGACAGCGAGCCTGAGTCGTTCCATCCGTCGCCCCATCCCTATGCCGCAAGCATCAAGGCAACGAAAAGGCCTCCGGAATATGATGCCGAGAAGGGAAAGTACGCGAACAAAAGACCTTTGCCCCAGTCGTCTAATGACCAGGTGGCCAAAAGAAGGAGGCAGACGCCGCGGATGGACTTGAAGGAGTTGGACTTTGACGACATGCTGATCGACTCGGTCGAATTGAATGTTGTCGCTGATACCAGCCTTGACGCTGATACATCCTTTGAACTGGATCAGTCAGCTCTCCTTGCGCAGAATGAAAAGATATGGGAGGATGCTGTTGATGAAATCATTCGCTCTGGATACGGCCAGATTGACTTGGTGTAAGCAGCCTACGCCTTTTCCATGCTATTCTTTACTTAAATTTTCCTAGCGGGAGGGGTCTACAACTTATCCCGCTCTCTGCTATCTCCGAACTGTCCAATTTCTTTGTCACGTCGAATGAGCAGGAGCGTGAATACGTTTCAGAGTCACCAACTAGTCCAATTTTGCGCCAGACAGTGTTCAAACGAAACTTTACAGCTCCTGCGACCACAGACGCCTCAAAATCGCTATTCGAAACGCGTTCGTCGACGCGTAGTGCCTTGTCGTTAGGCGTGCCGCGGGAAGAAATCCATTTGCAGTTGCGGAACAACACGATTTCTGTGCTGCCTATAGATCTCTTTGACCTGCAGAAATTAACACTTCTTGGACTCCGTATGTCTATAATCTCTTTCCTGCTGTTACTTTGGTCATCGATTAAAACTGGCAGAACAAAACCGCCTGACATACATCCCTCCCGAAATCGCTCGGCTGGAGAACCTTCGCGAGCTCAACGTTTCGATGAACAAACTTGAATACCTCCCATCCGAGATCCTGCGCATGAAGTTTAAGAAACTGACACTCATAGGTAACCCATGGAAACAAGCTCCAGATCGATCCCCGCGGCCCATATCAGAGACGCGACATCCTCTCCCGCATGTTATTCCCCTTTACGAACTGTGCCTCCGCATGCTGCTCTCACCTCCGTCTCCTCAGACTGTTCTGGAGAGGTACTACGATTTCCCTCTCGCTGAAAACCAGTACGGTATCCCTGGCCGGAAGCAGCGGCCTTCCATAGGCCCGCACCTAAAGAGCGTGCTGAACGCATGTGTACCGGGGTCGGTGTACGTCGATCCAGACCTTCCCTCCCCACCACAAGGGACGGGGACGGGCGTCTGCAGGTGCGGCGGTGTCTTTGTGCACCACGCAGAGGAGAGGTTTACCTGGGAGAGCATTATTGCAGGGTTTGAGTTGGGAGAAAGAGCAAAGGTACCGGTGAGGTGGAGGGGCTGTCAGTGGGGGTGTTTGGATTACTTGGAGGAGTCGCAGGAAGAGAAAGAGGCAGTTACGACAGAGCTTCTGAGCGATGAGGATGTGGTCAGGCCCATTGAGGTCGGACAAGGCGAACTGGACTTCTCGGATGATGAGACGTAGGGTTCGACAACATAACTGTATCACTAGTTCCTCGGAATAGGCCATGTTTATTAACATTGTACTGCAATCACAAGCGTTCCTATAAGATTGACCTGGCAGACAGTACTCCATGACATTGACAGACAATCTTGGGGTTTATTGCGGGACTGAAATCAGAAACCAGTATTGGTCTGATTCAAAGGAATCTATTAATAAAGAATCATCAGAACTAGGAGAGACTACTTCTTGCAGATTTCGCTCAGATTGTTTTCATTGAACGTCATCTGCTCTCCTGACGTCGGGTCTGGTGACCCCGACGTGGTCGATGTTCCGTCGCTATCATCGTCCTCCGACGCTCGTCTTGAGGATTGGGTTCCATACTGCGTCATAACAAATTGCAAATACTGTATCATAAAGTCGTTCTGTTGCATATCAGAAACGATATATGTCACGAATGACAAAATCGCTACGAGCCTCGCTTTGTTTCTCGGCGCTCCATGGGGTAAGCACCACGTCAGTCAGCTCTGGCGTAAAGAATGCACCGCCAGGAAGATAATTGGCTTCTCTGTCCAATGATCACTATAAGTGAGTAGAACTATCGGTGAAAAGACATGGCCGCACAACCAAGGGCCTTGGGTAAGTGCGTTACCAGCAAGCAGAAGACACTGCTTGACGGAATTCACACAATCATTCTGATCCTTCGAATCTGAGATTATCTGGGATATGGGGGGTTTCTCGGGATTCTTAGAGACGTCGGGCAGAACGGTCCACCAACGGTCTCCTCCATCTTCGTGATCCATTTCAAGGGCGCTTTGTCGGATCTGACGACGGTTACTGACGGAAACTTTACACAGCACAGACATGGTAACACACACCTCTTGGAAGAAATAGATTTCGCTCTCATGTAGAGGACGACCGTTGGTGTTGGTGATGAGAATTGCACGGGTCGTCTGATTGTCGTTGCTGTTCTTCAGTGTCCAGTTTGCTGCGATGTAATACCACCGACTGCCTGTCGGATCCGAGTTCATCTGTTTTATGCCCTCATTTTTTGGTCCGTCGTCCAGTTGTACTGTCATCGTTGTCTCGAGGCTGCTCACATTTGATTGGAGGTGCAGTGCAGAGTTAAATATAGGGCTGGACATACGAGCTCGTCAAAGATCCGTATACACTGTGAAAATGACTTACATTGCAGATGCTGATATAATGGATGTCAGACAAATAAATAGGCGCCTAAGATCGGCTGGCTTCATTGGCGTGCCAGACGTGATGAAGGGGGGTAGAGAACCAGCTCTGTTAGCCGTTTTCATGGTCAGTTCTTTTATATAGCTAAGTTGGCACTGCATACCAGTGGTGGATGCCATCGCGACGACGTATTTTGGGCCGAGGCAGTGCGAAATCTTTTACATACTGAGAGACCGGAAAGACCGCCGCTGGAAGAGCACAGAGCAGTTGAACGACGAGAGCAATTCATCCGGTCCGAGTCTCCGGAGAGCATCATCGGGAAGTGATGTTCAAATTAGGACTCGGCACCCATGACATTATACCGACATGTCGCTCTGCCCAGGCTACAAGCATGTCGACGCGTTCGGACCAGACGACGAATATGATGACGAAGAAGAGGTATCCTATGTTACCCTCGATCTCGGAAGCGTCGAACCGTCCCTACTTCCCAGCTCAGCAAACTACCGGCTCATTGGACTCGATACACCCACTCCGTTTTTACAGCTTTCTGGCACGGTATTGAAGGGACGACACGAATGTTTGCTAGGCACCGAACTGCTCTTTGTTGATGGCAAAGGTAATCCTTGCATTTTCGATACCTTTCTTGTTCTCACCTAGATAGATGCATCTGTCGACAGGAGTAAACGGACTGTAGCATATCTTGAAAGCACAAAACAACGGGTCTGCTTCAAGGAAGTTCGGCTACATCCTAAGGGTGAAGAGAAGGAAAAGGACAAAGAGGCAGAGGCGGACGAAGACAGTGGGAGACACTCATTGGATCGAATGACGGGAAAGCAGGCCCCACCTCCGCGAAAGAAGCGAGCGAAGAAAAAGGCGGAAGATATCGCTGAAGGGGAAGGTGCACCAGAACAGACAGGGAAGAGTGAAAGGAAGGGAAAAGGAAAGAAGAAGCAGGTCGATAATGCCTACGACGACAACGACGAGGAGATGATGTAGCTGGTACGTTCTAAGTTCTATGCCCGCTTTACCCTCCTTCGATTTTCATAGGGCTAGCCCTTTTACAGCGCACTATTTGTTCATCATTGGATTCTACACGTACTCTTATTTCGTTGCAGCGGGACACTGTGGGTGTTTCTGCACAAGTGACCGGTTCTGTACACTGACAAACCACGATTAACAGAACCACATTTCTATGAATGTATCTATAATTTCCAATTCTATAGAAGAGGACTACTTCATGCAGAAGGTACCAATTCGGACTCGGAATGTTAACGCCAACCCCCGCTGGCTGACTGAACAAACGCCGAATTGCTGACATTTAGCAGCAAGTACATTAATACTCTGTGGTCCTTCCTTCCTTCGGTGCAGATGCGGTAGCCACGTCGAGATTAGTGTTAGTGCTCTGCTGCACGCTATAGTTACAAAGGTGTCTGTTGAATGAGACATTGCCTTTTTACCCGCAGCGTCTCTATTTCTTCTTGCTCTTTCGCCATGACTACACTTCCTCCAGAGCTTGTAGAGTCTGGCATTCTGAAATGCCGTCCTACATGCGGAAATCGTTCATGAATGCTTTCCCCGGATTAACCGAACATGGAAAGCCGTCAACGCTCCTATCGCTCCTCAGGACATATACATTACCAACCTCGCATACATATACCACCTAGGCGACATAGCCCGCCTTCGAAAATCTCTCATCTACCATGACTTTATACCTCGGCTTACCCGCCCCATTACCTGCTTCATCGGCCTCCAAGAAGAAGCGATGGAAACAGCGGTGAAACATGTATATCACTATCTCGTCGATCTACCGAACGACATTGGCTTCAAGACTCTTTCGTCGTTCCGTACATTTCTTTCGTGCTCACATTGACCGATTTCACGGATGCGCAGCTCTCTGTTTGTGTCTGCTACCACAGGTCCTTGTCGATAATCACAGAATGCTGTGAGGGGGAAACAGGGCCAGATATACATATTTCCATAATTCACCCTTCCGCAGCGCGTACAACACTTCTCGTTACCCACAGTGCACATATTGCAAAACTGCGGCTCGATGTCCCTGGGGGGTTGTTGTCGCTCCTACATACAAGATTATTGACGAACCATTGGATAACACCTGGATGGTGTCCAACGTTACTATCAAATAGAGAAAGCATATCAGAAACAAGGGGATATCAATCGGCACTTGTGGACGGCTTCCAACAGGTCTAGCAGTACGTGAATGGAGCCTCTCCCGTCCGCTTGGTCTGACATCCGCGTATCTAGGATTGGGATGTCTCACCACTCTCTTCAATTGTTCGGAATACAAATGGGCGCAGCGGTCTTTGCCTGAAAAAATCCGATCCTTGTTGACAAACGTATCCCCCAGTCGTTCCTATGTATATTTTATGAATGAAGTAATAGCAGTAAGTAGTAGTTATGCGCGTAATATTATCTAGGCACTGCCCAAGCATGATTCGATGACGTTCGGAATCCTTTCATCGACTTTGGACAAGATATCAACCAACTCATCCTGTATGGTTCTGTCAGCAGGGTTATAGCGGAGGAGCCGAAGGCACTGCTCACCCATATTTTCTCCTGCGCTTTCAGGCCCCTTTCGCTTATCGCAAAATCACTGACCTCTACGATCTTTGAAAAAGATACATAGCCGCCGCGTAGACTATTCTCCTCTTCTCCCCCTCCAACGGCAGCCCAAACCAGCTGGCGGCTACCTTCTTCTGTTGTGTAACCAATCAACTTAACCATGGCCCAGTCAGCAAAGGCCATATACCAGGTAGTTGTAAGGCTTCGGCGCAACTCTGACTCGCAGAAGCCAGGGTTGATGGCATTGACGATGATCGACTCTGGTAGACGACTCTGAAGGGAGCGAGTAAAAAATACATTGAGGACTATGCCGAATGATTAGTTGCCTGACACGCGGGAAATTCACTCTGATACTACGTTTTGTCAGATTGTAACGTTCGCTCTGCATGTTACTAGTCGTACCAATGAATATAATGTAATTAATAAGAATCAGCGGAAGATACCTCGGTGTACAATACTCCTTGCTTGAGAGTGTGGCCAATATATTGCCGTCCGTAACATTTTGCGGAATATTCGCCCAATAATGAACATCGCTGGCTACGACGCAGATGCGTGGCGTGGTATTGTGTTCTTTAGCCGTGTGTAACATGCGAGGAAGCAGACGTAGTGCAAGTAAAGGGGATGCGATGTCGTTGATTTGCAGCCTGTATGAGACATGAGGAAAGTGTTAACAGGATCCCACGAGCAGACATACGAGGATTCCCATCCGTCAACAGTAGGACGATATGTCTTATCCGGAATGACGCCGGCATTAAGAACAAGGATATCGAGGCGACCACCGTCAGCTTCGAACTTGTTCGCAAAGGCGGTGACAGATGAGAAGCGACTCAGGTCGACCAGCCAGAGCTCAGCTTTCTGGTAACCTGTTTCATTTCTTAGCCCTAAAAACACGAAATTTAGCTCGAATATTTTTTCAGGTCAAGACGACATACTCTCCAAAGCAGCCTGTCCTCGTTCTTCGCTCCGGCACGCCAAGATAATTCTCTCTGGATTCATTGTAGCAAAATGTTTGGTGGCCTGGAATCCTAGACCAGTGTTGGCGCCAACTACGATAATGGTCTTTCCAGAGAGATCGATTTTGACGACCGGAGGCATCGCGGTTCTTTGATCTTTGAGAAATGCGAAGAATGATTTCCTGGCCATGGTGGGTTGTCGAAAGTTGAAGTCGTATAGTTGGCCTATCAATTTAAACCATTTGTGCCAAACAGTGATGCCGACAATACGTACTAGTGGCGGGTGACGTCAGAAAGTCCAGTAATGGCCGCACGTACTCGTTATGATAGTATCCTTGCGTCCGGCGTGCCTGAAGGTACTGTGCCGTGTAATGATGAGATAGAGATACATAGAATCCCACGGTGTGGATGGAAAGGCTGTATTACGCATGTAAGGAGACAGTGAATGTGAGTAACGATACAGTCAAGATTAGTGCCACTTAGCGATATACGAGACACTTACGATTCCCTCTGTTTCGCTAATAAATAATTAGAATGTGACAGGCGATCCGTTTTCGTATACAAGCAAGCAACTACGCTCTTGAAGCATTGGTTTGAGATCTCGTAGTAACTGTGCGGTGACAGTAAACCTCCAATCTCCATGAAGAAACACAGTATCCACCGCCGGAAAGCACTCCGTGAACAAAACATGTGCATGAACCTTCATCAAACCATTAAGGCTTCGGAGAGGACCAGATGGACTTGCAAACAAATGAATACGCTTTATTGAAGTATAATACTTCTTTGTGGCATGTCTTGAGGATTCGTGCTTAGCAACATGGACATGGCCAGCCGGAACAGCAAGTTCCTCGCACTTTGGGAAAACGTGGAACAGGATGGACAAGCGTGTTGCCTCCAAGAAAACTGCACCCTGTAGCTCCAGCACCGTAACTTGAGGAAACTGTGGAAGTTGCGAAAGATGGCAAAGGCTATAGATGAGTGCACTGTTAATAATGATGTATGTCAGAAATGGGACACGAAAAGGTTGAGGCATGGGACACTAAAGCTTTGAGCTTGGATTGAGCCGTAGATGGTCTACACATGCCACAGGAAAACGGATGACAATTAATGACGATATTGGTATTTCGTGATTTTTGTCAAAGAGTTTACCGAGAAGCAGAGCAGACAAAGAGGATAGGTAGTTCAAATTCGGAGCGCGGGCTGCGATAGACATGAAGGCTGAATCTGAAGCATAGCAGACTTCGGCACCATAATCGGGGTGGCCCGAAGTCCCATCAACACGTTTGAGGCAATGGAGTGGCGGAGTTTTATATTCATTGAATCCGTCCCAAAATTTCAAAGTCTGCTGAGGATCGCTTTGCCAAAATTTCGAGACGTGGACATTGGTTGAGTATGTCAACGAGCCTAGAAGAGATTTCTGTCTTGGTCAAACATTTCCAACATTTCCAGGGAAGGTACATATGGTCCAGTTGTGATCTCCTCGAATAGAAACTCTGTAACGATGATATTCCATGACATGCAGACCAAAGATATGGCTGCCTTAACCTGTGAATGTATGCTTGATGAGTCGTCGAGCACTGGGAGTCAGTGCTACTCACCTCCCACGTCTTTTCTGGTCCTCATTTATCTAAGTAAGGTGTGACTCGGAATGGCATACCAGAAAATGATATAAAGAAGCTCAGGCGGCAAATCTGGTGGGCACTCTTGTGCAATGGAGAAGAACTATCACTATGGCAAGGCCAGCATGATAATATCAGTGTCCATCTAAGCGAATGCCCACGAGAGTAAAGTGCAAGGTAAAGATGGTCAAGTTGAGGGCCGGGCCGAAATAAGCGCGTTGTTTGGGAACAAGTGCTACAGGCAACATCATGCCGGTCGCCGCCGTAAAGTGATTTCCATGATACAACAAAAGTTACCTATTCTAACAACTTTCAACTCTACCTCTTGCTGAATGAGCTACGCATTCTCATCTGCTCCCCATGATAGTATATCCATATCGGAAACGGTATCCCTAAAACAATTGCCAGTCCTACATGATAGATTAGTGTGCATTCTAACATAAATAATATTAACATACCAGCGAGCAACGAATTCCCTCCTCCCAGGCCCAATGCATCAAACATTTGATTGGCGAAGAGAGGAAAAGCAAATCCAAATAATGATCGAAACACCTTTTGACATAATAATGAGCTTCAGAAAGCGGCCCAATGTTGACACTCACTGCAGCCGCAGCCAGAGCACTGGCAGCATAGGAGAACGAGTCCACAAGATACAGTTGAATCGGGAGGCTGTTCTTTCTCGTCAGGGCGACTTTAGGGTCCAGAAGGAGGCACCCACTATGTCGTCATCATCCCTACCAGAACGACGGTAAGTATCAGCGGAGGGAGACGGGTAGAAGGACGATAATTACCGAATCCATATATCCCGGAACCAATGATGGGCATCATCCAGTGTGCATGCTCTTGGGCAGACCATCCGTACCACCTAACAAAACATGACGTGAGCCTCAAAAAATACTGGCACAAAAACCGCTAATACAGTAGTCCGACCGGGACAAATAACGACCCAAAGAAAAGTGCAGGTATTCTCATTTCAGGCTTTCCCTGACCACCATGTTTTTCTGCGAGCTAAACATACGAAAGTAAGGAGATTGCTTGTATGCAGTCATTTGGGTGACGCACGTAGTGATATACTTGATCAGCAAAGCGAGCACCGAAGAGAGTCGCCAAGATGAAACCTCCACCCAACCCGAGATAGACGAGACCGCCGATGCCGGGACCGAATCCGTATGCTTCCTTGAAAAAACCTTGCCAGAAAGAAAACAGAAATCAAAACAGAAAGATCTCGTAGTAATGACTCACTCACTTGCAAAGGTCGCGAACATCAAGTAGTAAATCCCTGAACTTTTGATGAGTAACTCTTCTCTTAAAGCCGGCTTCTATAGACTGACCATACATACTTCATCGCTACGTCAGAAACTTAAGTCCACGGGAAGACAAGAGAGAGTACTTACAACGCCATGTAGAGACTTAAGATAAAACAAATGAAGCTTCGCGTAAGTAAAATGACCGGCCTACTCATATTCAGCCACAGATATTGCCATTTCGATATTTGCACGATTGGCGCCTGCAATGCAGACATGCGGGGGGACATTTTGGCGCGTCGTAAGCGGATAATGGGTGCGTACGTTTCACGGAGGAGGGGGAGACCCAAGAGACTAGCAAGACCGGATGCACCTATACGTTTTACTGTCATCAGTGTTTTCGTCCTCGTTTCCTTGGGGTTTATGACTCACCGGCAATTGTTATGAACACATACTTAACACCGACGGTCTGCGCAATGAAACCACCTGCGATAGGGCCGACCGCCGGTCCCATCAGCGGACCCAGAGTGTATAACGACATAGCAGAAGCTCGGTCCTTTTCCGAGAACAGGTCACTCACAGATCCGCCACCACATGCTATCGGCGCACTTCCAGCAAATCCGCCTGCAGAGAACACCTATTAGGACGATGATTTTGAAGCGTAGTGCCCGAGGTACATACTGAGAAACCGAAATGCTATTAGTGCTCCCGTATTAGGCGCGAAGGCGCAACCTAGGTTGAATATCAGAGAAAAAATGTTCCCTATATGTAGAACCTGAAGGATATCGAAAAGGGCCATCAATAACCAAACTTCCGTGGAGATAGCTGGTAAAACAGACCCATGTCCGACCGTACATCTCAGACATCGGAGCCAGGAATAGAGGCTGCGATATATCAGTTCTTGGCTCCAAGAAAAGAAACAAATGTTGGCGTACTCCGACAGCAAACGATGCCAGAAACACACTGAGAATCAAGGCTGTCGTAATAGTGTCCGTCACTCCATATTTTGCCGCGACTAGCACATATAACAAACGTCAGGTGGATTTCAATAGATCGTACACAACGTACTTTCTGGGAGTCCAGGCGCCATCATACTTGAGGCTAGCGGCGGTATCAGTGTGTAAAACGAGACCTACAGTGTATATTCCCGATCACATAGAATCAGAGAGAAAGATAATAACCTACGATGAACACCATGGTCCATTTCTTTGGGCTAGGCCAGTTTCTAGCGTTCATAGGATCATGTTCCCAATCGTCTTCGAGGTTGTCGGTAGCTTGTTCCTTGGTGTCAAGAGGTAACTCAGGTTTTTTCTGTGAGTCTTCGAGTGCGGGGTCATTTTGCGGCCAGACGTGAGTTTCGACGGAAATAAGTGAGTCGGTATGCTGGAGATGCTGCCCTACTGGGCGTGATAGCGTAGGGTGCAAGTGCAAATCAGCCATTAGGGTGTAGTGAATAGCGGATCTCTTTTAGGGTGTTTTATAAAGTAGACTGCAGGGCGGAGAAGGATTTCCTCATTACGGAGCATTTGTATGAAAAAACATCCGTGGGATGATTTATCAGCCCAGAAGGTTCTCTGTGCGGGGGTTTGTACGCTCCCACACGAAAGCGACACCGTATGATCTAACGCCAGGGCCGATGATTCTTCCTGCCGGAAAGGCAATTGAAAACCCGATAGGAACGTTTCGATATGTCATTTCATTTAGTCACTCATTTTCATTTCGGGGTTTATGGTGTGGTGTCTTGGTGGTATCCTTGCCAAATGAGCTGTTATTCTGATAGCAGGAATAGGGATTAGAACTACGAAGAATAAACATGAGGAGCGCTCGTAGAAACGGTTATAATAAGAGGGCTTAAAGAGATAATGGGAGGGGCTGTCCTATCGAGATCGATAAGGGTAAAGACCATTTCACACTCATTATTACAGACATCCTGGCAAGGAGATTATTAATGATTGAGATAGCGGGAAAAGTTAGGAAACGCACTATCGACGCGTACTTCAAATCTACTTGCCACCGGTTGTGCCCATACCCATGGTTGCCTTGAAAGTGTCATAGATCCACCATTGGAAGCCTGGAAGAAACGCGTAAGGATGTGTGCGATCGAGATCAACACATTACTTACCAGTCAAAGTACCTAGAATAATGTCAAGGTGAGGACATATATGTCAATCAACGTGTCAAAGACACGAACCGATCATGAGTACACGAGTTCCGAGACCCTTGGTGGCCAAAGTTCCGAATCCAACCTCGCTGGCGATGGTACCGATCGACTTGCCCTTGTTAGCGGCCTTTCCGAGTTGCGAGACGAGGGAATCAGCAGGGTGTGAGACGACAGCACAAACAACACCAGCGATATAACCAGAAGCGAAAGTAACGCCGAGCTGGGTGGTCTTGCTGTAGGTTTCCTTAGGCTGAGGGAAGACATGGGTGTAGAACAACTGGACGGTCTTCTCGAAGAAGTAAAACTTGGCCATGGTATAGGGAATCTAGATATGGATAAAGATGAGGAAGCTATGAAAGGTCTAATCTTGACACGGACCTGGCGCGACCAGAGAGGGACGAGAGAACCGAAGGGGTAACGGGTTTCGACCTTCTGCTTGCTCATTTCCTTCAAGGCAGCGCCGAAAGCGGTAGGGAAGGTGCCGGCGGGACTGGTCTGAATCTTAACTTTGGTCATCTCGAGGGGACAGAGGGCGACATCGGCAAAGGCTTCAGCAGAAGCAGAACCGGCAAGCCAGATAGCACCCTTGTATTTCTCGGAAATCTCCTCACCGGCCAAGTTCATGTAGAAATCCTTGAAGACTTCATACAGACCGTACTTGAACATGCCCTGAAGTGAATAGCCGACAAAGGTGGGTCCGAAGCCTTTCCAGATACCGTTGGCACCTTCCTCCTTCAGGAGGACTTTGAGGCCTGACCCAAGACCTTTGAATTTCGCAGGGTCAACCTTGGATTCATGAGGATGAAACGCCATCAAACTTTATGAAAGTACAAGTACGCACCTGCATGTTACATTTGGTAACATCCAAAGGAGTGATACCAGCGTGGGTGATACCGCAAGCGAGCACACCTCCTAGCATACATTTTGAGTAGTAGGCAGCATCGTGAGGGACGGGTCCAAGATATCTTTGGGAAACAATTGTGCAAAAGAAGAGAAAACCAGGCTGGGTGAGCCACGCCTAGAATCCGCGGACGCGCAACGTACCTAGCATCCCATTTTGCAGACATTGCGGAGAATTAGAAGGTCGTTAAGAAGTAAATCTATGCTCTAATAGCGACTTAGGATTGCCTGTCCCAAGTGCAAGAAGGCGTCGAGAGCTGGGGAATGCTCGTGAGGGTTGGAAGCGAGTTGGTGAGTTGGCAAGCGGGACTGAAAAATATCCCGTACAAATCCGTGATTTGCCGAGCCAATCATCCCTGCCGCTTATGTAACGAACGGACCGTCGTCGTCTACTAAATGTTTTTTGACTAAGCTGTAGTCTCACAAAATGGAGATGGTATCTTACCTTCGAGTCCTGAGCCCTTGTGAGACTCAGGTGTCGAAACGGGGTAACAAATCCAATCCTGATAGCCATTGCGGTGGACAGTATCAGGATTCGAACTCATCTCGTGTGAATGAGCTTTCAGTTATTATTTAAAACTTCTGTATGCTTTTAGATAGGATGGAGAATATTCCCCAAGTTGGACGACACACTCATAACTGTAGAGGCTTAAGCTATATCGATAGTCCGAGCGTCCGAGGATGTTCCAGAGAACACGAAGTACCATCATTTCATTGGATAGATGGCAGGGTGCCTTATAAGAATGCTGAGTCCGCGGTAGCAGGATGCGGATGTTATCATTTTTAACGTCTCCGGCGGCAAGGTTCACTCAGGGCTCAAACATGTGTCTACCAACTAAAATGTGTTCGAATTCTTCGATACAGCGTAAATGATATAACTAACTTATGCTGAGATAAAGTAGTAGAATACATACTATTAAGTAGGATAAACTGTCCATTTCAGATCCTAAAGCAGAGAAAACGATGCAAGCTTATGAATGGTACGTTGAATGCGCTTATCGTTCCTCCACACCCACCCATTGCAAGTCACTAGGCGAATCCCAGGTTGTGTGGCCCGAACTTGAAGGCCCTTCATCTGGGACAACCCTGGAACGTCGTAGCTCCTCCTTATACGCTAATGAAGGTGGCAGTACTACGCTCCTGGAAACAGGTATGTATAAGATCGAGTCGTGGACGGGAGACGTCTGACGGAGAGGCGGCAAAGTTAAAGGCCCATCCTCATCCTTGCGTGTCCATTCAGGTGCTTCATGGAGCTGCGTTTCGTCTATTCTCGGTGGGGATGGTGGTGCTGGCGCTGGCGCTGGTAGTGGGGACTCGGGCCTGTACGTTGGAGACAGTGTACCAGCGTCCACCTCTTGAAGCCAAAGATGAACATCAGTATGTTTCGACTGGCCCCTCCGTCTCTTCGATGATTCCACGTTGCCACGGTTATGATCCCTCTCTGCCTCGTCAACCGACCTTTGTCGCTTTCTTGGCGCTGGCATCAACAATGGAACGGGAGTCGGACCTACTCGGGGAACCAAGAAACTTCCTTCAGGGCGAGGGTCGTCACGGCTATGGAAGCGTTCTTGTTCCTGGACATATGGGCGGGAGGACCTCCGTGTAACATCAGGTAGGTCGAAAGCATCTTCACCGCCATCTCCATGTTGACGATGGGTACGTTCTTCGTAAGGAGAACGTTCGCGTCTCCACGCTCCCTCCCTGTGTTGTGGGGAAGTTCCGTAAACTGGATCAGATGTCTGTCTTAGTGGCTCTACAAGGGGAGACCGTGGGCGATGATGAACTCTCTCTGTGTATGATGGGTGACGCCAATCTGAGAACGACTGCCTATACTCTTCCGGTCCCATTGGGTCACGGCGATGGGCATGCACAGAATAGCCCGGTCTACTTTCAGGTAACACGTTGGTGAGATATCTGGAATGCTCGGGCAATAGGTCTCGAGGGTCTGGTGGGTGGCAAAATTAGGATAGAAAAAGACGAAGAAAAATGGACGAACTTGGAGAACGGGGCGCGTACGCAGGGTGAACATAGCTTGTAGCCACCTCGTTTCTTAGGCTGGGCAGAGGTCAAGCTGAGAATCAACGAATCAGTACCTAAACGTACCCGTAAGATGCCCCTCTTTCGCTACAACATGAATGAGATCAAAAAAATGAAGGAAACATTTGCGAATAATGGACATACAGTGGTGGGGGATAGACAGAGGCTGGAGCGACATAATCTTGGAGTAGCCGCTCAACATACGACAAACGCTCGAGTACGTTGCCAACAGAACGATATGTCTCCCGTACTTCGTTTAGCAGTCTTTGATGGAAGTCTTGCTCTGCGCCACTGAGTGGCGGGGTGTAGAGGCGGGTAGGTGCTTGAGAGGATTGAGGGTAGCGTTCGACGGACATTTCGTGTCTAGATTAAGAACTTGCGAAGGTTGTAGTGAGATTCGAGTCGATGTGGTCGAAGTGAAAGGCACAAGCAGAGATGATTAACAACATTTATAGGGCGTTACCGGTCACAATGTTCCAAACAAGAGAAACAAAGGCAGCCACAAATGCCTGGTCAAATAAAGGAAAACGTGGCCGCCAAGGATACCGCAGACAAAGGCAGGCCTGGTCATCGTTGGCCTTCGTTAACAACAACGTCCTGAAAGAAATGATAAGTGCGTCGGTAGGCGGTGAACATGATCGGACCTACAAGAATTAAAAGATATAACAACCAGGTACCAAGGTAGATTCCCACCCCTTGAAGGCGGCTGCAGCAGGACTACCGGATGATTATAGGGACGCCATACAAATCTATAAAAGGCATTATAGAGCGATGAATAAGATACTCTGAGGCATTTTTTAAAACATTCTTCATTCACAATTCTCCTGCTCACAGACCTTCTGCCTTCTTTCTCGCCTCTGCGAGCATCTCCACACTGATCATCTTTATCCCCCACTTGTCCGCGAAAGCACGACAATCGTCCCGGCGCATCATGCTTCCCTCCGGGTTATCGTTTACCAACTCGCACAGCACCCCGGCTTGCGACAGTCCCGTAAGGAGACAGAGATCTACTCCCGACTCCGTATGCCCTCTACGGGTAAGGACGCCGCCTTCGCGAGCGCGCAAGGGAACAATGTGCCCTGGGAGCAGGAAGTCTGAGGGTGTGACGGTGGGTGAGGCAAGGGCTCGAGATGTCAGCGCTCTATCATGGGCAGATATCCCGGTGGTAGTTCCTATATACTCGAATAAACCGATAGGATACCACGGCCAAGATTCTGTACGTACCATGTTTGTAGTCGGCCGTGATGGTATAGGCTGTCCGATGGCGATCCTGATTATTGTCAGAGACCATCATAGGAAATCCCAGCTGGGCAACTCGTTCCGGAGTCAGTGCAACACAGATATAACCACTTCCCGAGCAACGCCAATTAGAAACAGACAAGTTTGTCTCGACCGAAAATACATACCTCGTATGCTTGATCATCCAAGCCATCTTTTCCGTCGTGACCGCGCTGCCAGCAATGATCAGGTCCCCCTCGTTCTCTCTGCTCTCATCATCCATGACAACCAAGAATTCTCCCGCCTTGAATGCTGCCAGCGCATCGTCCATCGAGTCGAACGCGAACTCGGATCTTAGGGGAGGGCTTTCAGTGAGCGTTGGACGCCACAGTTGTGTCTTGGGATTCGTGGGGCTGGCGGTCATCGTCTGGGTGCTGTGAGTTGCAACTGGCGCCATAGTGAGTGGGAGGTTAGAGGACTACGGTGAATGTGTCATCCTACAGGCCGCGGATATATAAATACCAGGAAAAGGACGGAGGCTGGCAAATTGCTAATTGATCGCGTAACCGGAAATTGTCAGATGCTTCAGATGACTAACGCGGACACTCCCAAGTTTTTATTGTATTGATGCTGGGACTTCAAGCTTTCAATGTTCCTCTTGTCAGAAGCGGTATCCATGCGAAGAACAAGTCGTACTGGATTTCAATGGAGAGTTTTCTATCCTATCGTAGCAGCTCCAAAACCTTTTGTACTCTGCATTACTCTGTACCACATGATCTGACAAGCCTGGGTTATATGTGGTTGTATCATGTCCGGGCTCCAGACGTGATGGGGCTTTCATCGCGATATAGACGCTTGCAAAAGGAAGAAGGCCTGCGATCGATGAGATCTACAAGGCGAGCCTTAACTGAGTTGTCGCGGTTTAGCTGCCAGTGCTAGCTATCACTCAGACTTCAGACACCTCTCATGACATCTCACCTGAGTAGCAGAGCCAATAGCAGGACAAGATTGGATGAAAGAGTTTAAATCAGACTGATGCCTTGCTGGACGCCAGAACCTAATTATGAGCCTGGGAACACGATCCTTTACACGAATTCAGCAAGAGTGAAGAACATAGGAGGATAAGGACACGATGAAGGTATGAAACATACAGAAAAATTAATGAAACAAAATGTATAGCGGATAGAATGGTATCCAGAAGCAAGACTGGTATAGTGGCTGGATAAATATTAACGAGCACACGACTCTTTGACCGAAGTCCCAACAGAATCTCCAACCTAAATCAGGTCAGCACAATCCTACGACAGATGAAAATAAAAGCGCCTTACCTTCACTAGCGTCTCAAGTGCTTCTTCTGAGTTTTTTATGAGATCAGCATCAAACCTGGGAAAGATGGTATCAGTCTTGGCGGAGCCAATCAGTATTAAAATCACATACTCAAGCAATCCTCTCTCAAACAACGCTACAATGGTGCTGCCACCATACCTGAAGCACCCCAATTCCTCCCCCCTCTTCACCGCAGCGGACTTCTTATCATCCGCATCTCCTCCGTACGTCCAGACGACACTACCCACCAACAACGCGCCAACAGCAATGAAAGCCACTTTCTTTCCAGTCGGCTCATGTGTCATGTATATTATCGACCGAACATTCGCCGTGAATACGTCAAACGAAGGCTGGTTTACTGCTTGCGGGTTGACTAGAGCAGCATCAGATAGGCAATATAAGCGAATCGCGACAGGTCATACCTGTATAATATTGGCCCGGAACATTGACGGGCTCTCCATCGATCACGCCGTCAATGGGGCAATGGAAGCGATGGTAATCCTGAGGCGCCAACCGGAATATCGCCATACTCGAACCATCAAAAGTGATAGCTGTGTCGGAGGTGGGAGGAACATCCAACAACTCGGGGACGGTAAAATTACGTCCTTTCACCCAAAACTCCCGTGCCAAATCGAAGGTCTGATACACAACGAGGCGGCAGTCCGCTGCGCTACATATCCCGAGGGTATCTTGCGCATTTTGCACTGGCCGAGCGTCTGGCTTCAGTTTTCTAGAGAAAAAATCATTGAAACAACTGTATTTCTTGATGTCGGGTTCCAATAACTCTTTGAGTGAAAGAGAATACGTCTTGACAAAGGAAGGAATAGAAGCCACGGACCCGGGACTGTCGTATATCTTGCCTTGCTAGTAGATGGCTCAGTGGCTGTGAAAGATGCGGAAATTAAGGCTTTACTTTGATCGACAGTCGTTTCAGAAAGTTTGCAACCGTCTCGATTCCCAGGAGGAGAATCTGCCCTTTGCCGTAAAACAAAAGATGCATGCCAATTCTATCCCAGCTATCAGTACGTCATTCATACTTAGTAGTATACATCCACACCTTGCATAAATCGGCATACTTTCAAAGACCTTCTCCCCAGTTCCTCTGACCACAACGTAGTTTCCAATGTGGTACTGAGCTGCAAGTTTCTCCAGCTCGGGTAGGAGTTTGTGTATCCAGGGGATCCTAAACATATGCAGCATATGCATATCCACCCCCTGTGTGACATCGTTCGCATTCGTTGCTGAGCTATTGATGAGCGCTTCGAGTGTTAAAGCGAAGTTGTCCTCTGTCGTTGAGAGAAAGCGTTCAAACTGGACATCCTTCTCTACTGGCTTGTCGGTCATGTCGGCCATAGACATTTGACGCACTGCGACAACGGGAGAAGCTGGAAGGCCATGCGGGATGGATTTGTGGAGTTTATATTTGAGAAAGTTGGGGATTGTAAGCATCGGGACCGTGCAGGAGACCATGGCGGAAGGGGGAGGAGAGGGAATGGGTGTAAAACGTTGTAAATAAAAAGACGCTAGCGTGATTTTGTTCTGCGGTATTCAGGGGTACACGTCGATCAACAATTACGAGAACTAACGAATGATTCAGGAGCTTGACGCGCGGAGGGTGTATTCGAAAGTTGGAAGACACTTTAGTGACTCCGTAGTCAAATATGAACGATATCATTTCATTCTTAAGGGAGATTTCCTTACACCGTGAACCGCCAGCGATGTCTTGACGGCAATAACACGCCTGTGTGGGTAAGATCAGCTGCGGTATCGATGAGTAAATGAACGGCGAGGTAGCACATCGCTTACTTAAGAAACAGGATCATACCATGTGTCCGCGATATGGGAGACCTAAGCGCCAGAGTAAAAATACCTTGACACTAATTAAGGAGGCCATCTTTCACACTCCCTCACCATGCGAGGGCGCTGGCCAGGACCAAAGGCTGAGAGCTTGCAGTGAATGACAATCAAGTGATACAGATGGAAGGACGATATGAGAGGAACATCTGTTCTGAGTGTGGATGAGCGGTTGTATGCCTGCCGTGCTCAACGCGTAGAAAGTCTTGAACGAGGGCTTGTTACACCAATAAGAGCGATGCAGAACCCTAAAGATATCATAGGGACTATTAGGAGATCGCCTATAGGTGCGTTTGCGGCAATGCGTATTCATTGCCATGGGTGAGAAATCGGCATTTGCCGTCAGACTTTAAACTCAGACGGACTCGGAACCAGTGGCTTCACGGCCCGAGGTTTCACGTTCATCGTGCACATGCGTCAGTAGCAGTTGAGATCTTTTGGGTCGGAAATCATAGAATCTTTGGACACAAAGCCACGTTACACGCGCAATTCACAAGGGTTTGTTGGACTTGCTCCTCCCGTGGTATGCAGAATGTTAGGCACGAATTAAAGTTGTTTCTTGTAGCGGGCAAATCAATAATATTGACGGTTACAACTGCCTTTTTGGAGACAAGCCACTTTCAATAAATGTCTTGCTGCCCGCATCAATGGCGTTATTTGAACAATACAGAAATAAACATCGTACGTACTTGTCTAAGCCGAGCTTGGCTTGGTCCCTGGCCTTCCGATGGGAGTAATAATGGTAGAATGAGTGGTCAGGGTAAGCGATCTGGAATATGGCGATTGTCAATACAAACGTGTTCATTGGATCGCGTTCTGGAGTAAAAACGCGTGCAGCCTCGCGTTATTCTAGCTTGCCATAGAAGAGCCCTAGACGAGGGCCTCGAGGCACCTGATGGGGCCCAAGGGGAGATATTTGATGATGACCGACGCGTCGAGGAAGCGGAGCGCGTCTTCTCTTCAGATTTCGGTTCTATGTAAAAGTTGATTATATGACTCGCTTATTCGGAGACATGTGAGTGACCGCACGATGGCGGAGCCGGCATCACCATCAATGCTTCAGCTGGAATATGAAATGCGGAAGTATTCTATGCCATGGTTGTGACTCAGATAAGGCTAAAAGGCGTTATCTGGACACAATATAGCCGAAATAGGATAAGGAGGAACGACATCTCGCGTTGATAATAAAAGACGTGACGTGACAGACGCGTTTTTTGATCACGTGCGCGATTTTTTTTATTGGCGTTGTTTGTAGACAGTCAACGAACTTTGGGTATATAAACCACGCCATCTGTCCAATCCCTCTATCTGCAGGACCACCTTCTCCGTTGTTTTCTTTTTCATCTACGGCCTACCCTCGCCCTATTCTCCGTTGCAATGTCCGCCGTCACTGTCCCCATTGCCATTCCCGCTACGCCCAGCAAAAAGGTACGTCCTGCTTTTGCTCCGCGTCTTATATTACCTTTTAACACGTTTCGCCTAGATGACCGCAGACTTTAGCGCCAGGTTCTCACTAGAGTCACCCGTCAAGAAGATTGTCGATGACGAGTGCTGCTCAACCTTACCTGAGACTGTTGGTGACTTCGACGGGGAGCTCGAGGACCTCAGGAAGCAGTATGTTGGTGAAGTTGACCTGCCTGAGAGTACGTTCTCCAGCCCAACTTGTATCGCGTTGATAAATAACTTGGCCTAGGCGAGGAGCCTCTTTTGAAGGAAACCAAGAGTCGCTTTGTGCTGTTCCCTATCCAGTATCACGAGGTGCGCGCCGCGTTCCTCATCCTAACGATAGCACTGACCATGGTTTAGATCTGGCAAATGTACAAGAAACATGAAGCATCTTTCTGGACCGCAGAAGAGATGGATCTGTCCAAGGACCTGCATGACTGGAACAACCGAATGAACGACAACGAGCGTCATTTCATCTCCCATGTCCTCGCCTTCTTCGCTGCTTCGGACGGCATCGTTAACGAGAATCTTGTCGAACGCTTCTCGAAAGAAGTCCAGGTTGCTGAAGCTCGCTGTTTCTATGGCTTCCAAATCATGATGGAGAACATCCATTCTGAGACCTATTCCCTCCTCATTGACACTTATATCAAAGATTCCGCCCAGCGGGAATACCTTTTTGATGCTATCGAGACTATTCCTTGCATCAAGCGTAAAGCCGATTGGGCTCTTCGATGGATCTCTGATGAACGATCCACCTTTGCCGAGCGTCTCGTTGCCTTTGCCGCCGTTGAGGGTATTTTCTTTTCCGGCTCGTTCGCTTCCATCTTTTGGTTGAAGAAGCGCGGTTTAATGCCTGGCCTGACCTTCTCCAATGAGCTTATTAGCCGTGATGAGGGCATGCACACCGATTTTGGATGTCTTCTCTTTAGCCACCTGAAGCGTCGTCCTCATCCTGAAGTTGTCAAGCATATCATCGCAGACGCCGTTTCCATAGAACAGGAGTTCCTCACTGGTATGCTATTGCTTTACTTTGTCGTTTCCGTGTCTTATGTTTCTCATAGATGCTCTCCCCGTCTCCCTCATTGGCATGAACTCAAAGCTCATGTGCCAATACATTGAGTTTGTAGCTGACCGTCTACTCGTAGCCCTTGGCAATGACAAGGTGTACAACTCAATGAATCCCTTCGACTTTATGGACATGATCTCGCTGCAGGGCAAGACCAACTTCTTCGAGAAGCGTGTCTCAGATTACTCGAAGGCCAACATCAACCACTCTACCACCGGCAGTACTGTTGATTCATCGAAGACATTGTAAGTTTATTGATACTTATCCTGTCCCTCGTGCTGATCATTGGCGATTAGTGTTCTCGATGAAGACTTTTAGATTCTCACCCTGGCCTTTACACCCATCTCATTGCCGTACATTTCTCATTATTCGCATTGCATCTCACCGTTTATACATGCATTCAACAACGTTATTATTGATTTTATCTATGCCGTCCGTACGATTGTCCCTTTAGACTTGTAACTGTAACATTGTAGGATATGATATACATTAACCAACTCACTTTGTACATCATGGGGAGTGATAATGCGGCGCTCATGCAGCCAATCTTATGCACGAGTACCGCGAGTATCTACAGAGCCGGCTTGCCAGGCTACGTTGAATCTTATCGTTCGATCCGGACTCTAGGAAATGGGCTTGCAATATGTCTGGCATCGTATCATCTGGCTCATCTGATTACTGTTGCGTCCACTTACAGTACTATTTGAACATTGTTACTATAAGCTCTCAGGAGTGAACGGGCAGGGGCAGATATAGACAAGACGTCAGAGTCCGCATATCTGGGATTCCTCTCGACAATTATGATTTGTATTCAAGTCTGCTGGCTATTGAAAGAGTAAACGAATCCAAATAACTCAGAGTCAATGCTGAGCTGGTGACTGATCACCTGTACATATATAGTCATGAACGCTTTTTTGCCGTGGGATACCTCTCAGTTTTGGATTACCGTTTGAAGGTCGTTCGCCTACAAACATCAAAGTGTTAAAATAGCTTTTATTTTCCATGACTTGGAACTTGAAACATCCCCTATATAATTTACGGGATGTTGGAGGAGATCCATTTTTATATTCGATGTAGCAGATACACCATTATTGACAATCCAAAATCGTGCAACAAAATTCAAAAAGGAGATAGGAGAGCCCGCCGACATATCTCCAAACGCTCGTGGCCTCCGGGGCCTTGCCATTGACCCATCTTTATATTGATACAAGAAGGGGAAAGAATCGAGCATGCCGGTGACATTGACCATTCTTATAATGGAATGGGCTCCGTACGTCCACAGGGCGTTGGCTTGTACGACACTGAAGGGATTGTGTGTTAGTCCCTCTTCCGACAGACGAAGACCAGCAGAAACGTACGTTCGAGGCGGAGGTTCAAGACATCGGAGCGATCCACACCGTCAAAGTACGCATGACTAAGAATACCACGAGTAGTATTTCGTTCGCTAGCGACGTCTTTGATCATCTATAATGACATGAATACAACACAGAAAAGTGACAGTGGATAAGACTTGCCGATTTCACCATGTCTGCGGCATGGACATCGAAACGCTCCCAAAGACGGGGAGGGATATGGAAGCTCCCGAAATCGCGAGTGAAGATATCTTTGTTCTAAATGTCAGGCAAAAGTCAGCTTGGAGACCCTCTGTTGACCAGAAGATCCTCACGTTGGGACAAGTAAGCAGTTCCGCGAAGACGACACCTAAACTGTATACATCGGCAAGATCTGCCTGGTAGGATGCGCCCTTGTACTTTGGGACAACTTCGGGAGCCATGTAGCCGACAGAACCACGGCCGTCAGAGTCAACGATGCAGTGTCCACGAGAAGCAAAGCCGAAGTCGATGAGCTTGAGGTGGCCGCGCGCGTCGATCATGATGTTTTCCGGCTTGATGTCGCGGTGGAAGATCATGTTGTCGTGGAGCATGCTCACAGCGATTATCTATGAAGGAATCATCAAGATAAAATGAAGGGTGTGCGAGGCTTGGACGTACGAGTTGCGCACAGTAGAGCTTGACAAGGTCGGGATCGATGGGCTGGTTGGCTTCAGAAAGATCACGAAGACGGGACACAAGTGACTGGGGGTAATGTTCCTGCAATTATCATAAACTGTAAGTCAAATTGAGTTTAGATATTGTCCTCACCATGAAGATATAACACCAGTGCATATCCTGGCGATAATCTACTATTTCGGCGAAGAAAGGACACTGGATTCGGCGTGTGTCCCTGAGGATGGCGATTTCTTCTCTGATGGCTGAATGGTTGTCGACCGTGCGTCGCGACCGGCCTTCCTCGATGAGAGGGATGTCATCAAGGATATAGTTGGACTTGTCGAGGGCTTTGATTGCGAGAACGCGGGCGGCGCGACCATGCACAGGCGTCGACTCGCGTGCTAGAATAACCTGGGCGGTAGCGCCATCTCCGACAATGCCAGTGAAGACATAGGTGATGGGCCCGATTTGGAGTGTCCGTGGAAGGGGGTGACTGGCCTGCAAGTTTGCGGGGAAGGATGGTGTGACTGAGATGGAGCACGCAGAGTCCAGGCTACTAGGCAGGGTGCCAACAGCCGACGCGACGCGACGGTGCGTGGCATCTTGGTCAGCGAAAGCTGCCGACTTGTCAAACTGCCCCTCCGTTTTTGGTCGCACACAGGAATGTTGGAAAATGGAAGTGAGAACGTTGAAGAGTTTAGACAACATGAGATATCGAATAATGGTGGAATAAGAATAAAAGATGGCTATTTTTATAGGCTTTTGCATTGCACGCGCCGTCCTAGAATCTATTGTTGTAGGCAGAAATGCCACCAGGTGTGCGATGGACAAAGACGACTACTTTGTCTGCACATTGTCTGCACGGCAAACATTGTGCCACCCCCCAGAAAGGCATTGGCTTGGTTTTAGGTAGCGATAATTTGCAAGTCGGGGAAGCACACATTGTCAGGTCAAAGTGCGAGAGACGTGAAGCCAGTTGCCACCACCGTAGAGAAACAAATTCGGGTGGCCAAGATAAGATCAAACATGGTTCTCAATCATGTCTATCACGTAAGCCAAACCGGGGGATTTTCAAACCCGTCGTTCGACGTCCCTTCTTTGACGACCGTCACATTGCCGTCCTCTTCCTCCAAGGCTGGCGGGCTCTATATATCTCGTTTCTCTTCCTCTCTAATAGTCGCCCCCTATGTCGGACTACGACTCGTCTCGAGAGTCGTCCCCGTGCCGCGACGACAAGCCTTCTCACAGTGACTTTTATCTCGGCCTCAGCCAGGGAAGGCAGCCTTCAGATGCATACGACACTCTCCTGCCCCCATGGCGGGCAGCTATCCGCCGAAGACTCATCCAGAGCGTGCACCTCGAGTCCAAGGTGATAGCGTGCATGCAGGTGTGTTTTCAACGACCTCTTACTTGTCTGGCCTATTGAAGGGTTTCTAGGAATACATACGCACTCCCTGGCTCGACGCCTATTTTGTGTATACTTCGTCTTTAGGTTGGTATGCCACCGATCATGCGTCAGACATTGTCTAACCAATTGCTGGCGTAGGAACGCATACCTTCTTCATGACCGTGCTTCCAGTGCTGTATTTCTTTGGATATGAAGACATGGGACGCGGGTATGTCTTTTGCTACTGTTTTGCCAGTTTGACACCAATAATTCATTTACCCATAAGGCTCGTTATCGTTTTGGCCCTAGGCGTGTACTTTTCCTCATTTATAAAAGATCTTATCTGCTCTCCGCGGCCCTTTTCGCCTCCCGTGACGCGCCTCAGTGAGTAATATCTCAGAAAGCAACGAATATTCTGATTTGCTGTCTCAGCCATCGGGACACACCACCTCGAGTACGGCTTTCCTTCAACGCACTCCACAAATAGTGTCTCTATCGCGCTGTTCCTTTTTGGCCATGTCTATCTCCTTACGTCCGGTGCATCTAACTCCGAAATATCACCCATGATATCTCCGTTCACCTACAACGTCCTCGTAGTTCTACTCGTGTTCTACACCTTCTCCATCGTCTTCGGCCGGCTATACACAGCGATGCACTCCTTCACTGACTGTCTCGTGGGCGTCATCCTAGGTACCGGTCTCTGGTGGGCCTACACCAGTTTCCCCGGTATCCCGGTCAAGGTTCCTTCTACGTCCACAACGATCTACCTCGCGCGCGGACTCGGTGCTGGAAAGTGGATGGATGATTGGGTGCAGAGTGGAGGCTGGGAAGTGCCCCTGATACTGATTTCTGTTTGTCTCCTTGCAGTAAATCAGCACCCGCAGCCAGTAGATGATTGTCCGTGTTTCGAGGACGCCATCGCGTTTGGGAGTGTCGTTCTTGGACTTTTAGTCGGGTCTTGGGGCGTATCCTTTACAAGTCTCTCCGAACGCCGTGCAGTCGTTATGCCGGGAAGTGGATGGGTCTTTGATCAGTCCTTGGCAACATGGATAGCTGTGGAGCGCGGCTGGAAGGATGTGTGCTTGTGGTGGGGTGTGGCAGCTTTGAAGATGGTGGTGGGGATCCTCGCTATCTTTGCGTGGCGTATTCTAGCCAAGTCAGCGCTGCACATCACCCTACCGCCGCTTTACCGGTTGCTTTCCAAGAGTTTCCAGTTGCCAAATCGAAGGTTCTACACGCCTGCAACGGATTACAAAAATGTGCCCAGCGAATTTGCTCACGAAGGCGGTTTGAGGCCGATTCCTAGTGTCATTGATCTACCGGGAAGCGTGGGGATGGAGGTGGGTGAAGGAAGTGCGTTTTCTTACCGCACATCTAGAACCAGGGCAGTTAAGATGAGGAATGGGAACGAGAAGGTGAGGTTTGCGATTGGTAAGGGCGCCGTTGAGAGGGAACAAGAGAAAGAAAACGAGGTTAAACATTATGATGCTGATGGTGAATTGTTCTCACTCGCATCGTTATTGATGCTGTATTGACATTTTTTCTAGTGCTTACGAAGGTTACTGTCTACGCTGGTATTGCACTTTTGGCCAGCCAGGCCTTGCCTGTCATGTTTGACGTTCTCGGGTGGGGAGTGCGGTCATGGCCTGTCGATGCCTAAGGATTAATATTTGTGACATTCTGCTCCAACATTTTGCTACGTTGATACAGTATTACCATGTAAATTCGGAGGGTCAATTTATTTCAGCTTACTTGATTGGATGCAAAGCCGCGTTTCGACTGGTGATACTGCGGAATCGGACGGTGAGGTCTGAGAAAACAAGTTGAATGGGTTGGCAGCGGAAAGCGATGCAGTTTGTGCATTACATGCCATCTCCGGGCATTTGTCTCATACTATCTGTCGTCGCGCTCTCTTCATGAGTCTCGACCAGAACCTCTACACCCTCCTCGTCACCCCCAACAAGGACCATCCCAATGTTATCGACCTCGTTGACCCCTCGGGAGTGACCCATTATAGGAAGCAACGACTCGCTGGCCCTGTGTATACGATTGAGGTGTACGGTGCGTTTCCTACCTCTTACTATCATCTTCGTGCTCATGAACAGGCAGATTTCATGTCCGAGTCGCTGCTTGTAACAGCGACGGCCCCATCCGCTTCGAGCAAGACCAAGATCCTCGAGCTATACAACCCAACTACGACAGTCGAACTCAAGTACACCGGCACACTAACATTTCGATGGAATTTTAAATGGGAGAAGTGAGTTTGGGTGTGCCCTGAGGCCAGGCTGGATATTGAGAACACCGCTAGCTTTGAATTCGAATGGAAACGCGAAGAATGCTTCATGCTCCGGAAACCCGACCCTCCAGTCCTCGTCGCTATTACCAAGGAACCTGCTGGACGGCTCAAGACAAGCTCGATACAAATTTTGGACTACAATCTGAACCGGTAAAGAGTACTAGCGCTGCTGTTCATCACTGGCGTTGATTGATGTTTATCAGATTCGACATAGACGATAGGAAGGGCCTGGAAATCGTTATACTGACGGCGCTTCTGACGTTCCAGGACACAAATGAGAGCTATCATGGATCACCTAGGGATTCGGAGGGACTAGTCAAGACCAAGTCGATCCCGACACTACCTCCTCCGCCACCACCAAAGCCGCCTGCAAAGACTGGCGTGGATAGGATAGCAGAAATTCAGGCCATGCGTGGTGAGATTAACGAGCTCACTGTGGAGGAAGAGGGAGATATCATGCATTACGCCCAGTACTGCTCGAATTTGCTCCAGGTGCGCCACTATCATAGCAATTGGATTTCAACCTAATCTTCTTCCAGGACGACGCCATGCTCTTTGTCACTGTACGGTCCTCTTCCGCGACACAAGTTCCCAAAGTGCTTCAAGTAGTGGAAGAGACGAAGCGCATACGGCATAAAATCGGCCTGGACGCCGAAATCTTCCAATACGTTCTCTACGACACCCTTTCTCAGCTACCCCGGCGAATAAACCTCAACGACACGCCCGACAATAAATACGTACCTCCCAACAGCCTTGTTGTCCACTTGAGCAAGATACCCATGCCAGAGCTGCAACCCGCAGTAACGCCCGCACCCATCCTCACGAGCACCTTACCGCCAATATCCCTCAACTCCCATCCTGAGAAGGAGAAGAAACGTACCTTCATTTAATCTATTATCCGTGCATTTCTTATCTCACAGGTACATTACAGCGAAGAAAATAACTCGACGATCTCGATCCGGCTCCACGTCGCCGCCTCCTCCCCGCGTCCATTCATACCAGGTGTACCCTCATCAACCGTCGCCTTCGCCCTCCCAATTGAATAATCCTGGAATATATACCGCGCCTCCACCGCAAGTCCCAGCGAGGCCCGTGAATAACATGGTCTCGGGTTTATTTGATATACTGCATTATAGGAAGTAGGAGCGGAAGGACTATGTATTCCATCTGACATGAGGAAAGGTGTATGGACTGTACTTTTACCACTACATACTTTTTTTACAGACCAGACGGTGCCTATTCTTGAAAAATTATCACCGGCCCAGCCTCAACATTCATTTTGAACGAGTTTCTTCTATCTTTTTCCACATGTCAGCGTGCCATATTCATCCAGCTTCTTCATGGCCTACTGGACGTGCGGTTAATCACCATTTGCTTCTAGACCTTCTTCTCCTAAGCACCGAGGCTCGATGGTCACTCGGCCTTCTGTACCTTTCCTGGGGAAATTCGAGACTTTGATTATCCTTTCTTCATCTTTCAGTGCCATCGCCATCTGAGTTTTACTTCTCGGGCTGCGCTAGCAACAATTGACAGGCCTGATCCCAATGAGGCTTCGAAGGCGGCGTCTACTATGCTGCAATGGCCATTGACTCTCACGATGAAGAAATAGAAAATTGGGCAAGAGCTATATACAAAAGACGTTACGCTACTTTGACAAAAGTACAGTCCAGTGCGACACCCAGATTGCTCCGATCCTTGATAATTTTGTCCCCAACAACTATCAATCCACTCTCGTGCTTCTTCTCATCACGAGCGTACAACGCAATTCTACGATTTGGCATCTGCTTCGCGATGAAACCATACGATTTACCCTTCCCTGTAGAATCCTCATACGCCCAGAACGCGAGCACCTCCTTGTCCGAAGGAGCCGACAGCGAAATGTATTTCTTCACGCTCTTGCCATCAAGCCCCGAATAGTTCCCTCCTATATAGCCTACATTTCCAGACTTCCAGGTCTTGTCTGTGACACCTGTCTCGAGCGCGAAGCTGAACACTGCGCCGGAATTGCTCTTGCGTGGACTGACAAGCGTGATGGCACTCATGGAGTATCCCAAGCCTAGGTGACCAGCTCCAAGCTCTGTACCATCAGCGAAGCGGATCTTGTATCTGGAGCCTACAGTGAGCTTGGCGCCTTGCGAGTCGACAAGATCCTGAAAGGAAGCAAGCGTAAATATACAGACAAGTTCGAGAGGGATATGAAGACACCTACGCCGCTGGTATCAGTAGGCGTATGTGTACCCGTTCCGGTGCCAGTAGGCGGGCCTACTGACGGGCCAGTCGGTGTTTTATTTGTATTAGGTGCTGGCTTGTCGGTCCCAGTTGGTTGTTTAACGGTGCCGTTGGGTATGGTCGTTCCAGTTCCAGTACCCGTTCCAGTACCCATTCCCGTTCCTTTATCACCTGTCCCAGTGCCCGTCCCAGTGCCCGTCCCCGTCCCCGTTCCCTTATCTCCAGTCCCAGTCCCAGTCCCCGTGCCAGTCCCGGTCCCTTTGTCCCCAGTACCGGTACCAGTGCCAGTCCCGGTCCCGGTGCCAGTTCCTTTGTCCCCAGTACCGGTGCCAGTTCCCGTCCCAGTTCCCGTCCCCGTTCCATTGTTCCCAGTGCCAGTGCCCGTACCGGTGCCCGTACCCGTACCCTTATCTCCAGTGCCAGTGCCGGTGCCAGTGCCAGTGCCAGTACCCATTCCCTTATCTCCCGTACCAGTGCCCGTACCCGTCCCATTGGGCACACCATTTGGTTTGGTTTCGGGTGGGCAAGTAGGAGGAGGCTTTGTCGCCGATTCGGGAACCTTGGTGTGGGTTTCGTCGGGCTTCTTTGGAGGTTCAGAGGATTTGGTCGTGCTCATTCCTGTCCCATGGGGCTCCTCTGGTTTCTTCGGTTGGGGATTGCAATCGTCTGGCTTCTTTGGTGGATCGGATGGCTTTGTCGTACCAGTCCCAGTCCCAGTCCCGGTCCCATGAGGCACCTCTGGTTTCTTCGGTGGCGGACAGTCGTCTGGTTTCTTTGATGGTTCAGATGGTTTCGTCGTTCCCTCATCCGGTTTCTTTGGCGGTGGGTCAGAGGGTTTGGGAAGATCCTTCGTTCCGTCAGGTTTCTTCGCGGGGTCAGTTGG